CTCCCCATCTCACTTTCTCCAGCACCTCCCTCCTTGCCCGTGGCGGTAACCGATGCTGCATCATGCGGTGGTGCGCTTCCCCCCGCCCTGTGTCCTGCGACCACAGAACAAGCCCACTATTAAGTAGTCAGCAGAGTTCAAATCATACGGCAGATCTTGCACTTGCGCCCGGCGCTCTCAGCAACACATTAGCGCGGCTTCACCGGATCTGTCCATATCTTTGACACGTTCCCGTGGCGAGCCGAAAGCAATCACACACTGTCCAAACCCTCCAGATCACGCACACACACACTTACACCGACCGGTTGAAGCGCTCCACCGGACTACAGACTACAGAGAGGGAGGATGAGATGAAGGGAGATGTTTGGGTAAAATGAGGCTCGAGAAGGGAGGGTGACTTACATAAGGCTTTTGCGGTAGAGGCACACGGTGGAAAGCCGTTTTAACATTTAAAGTCGAAATGAAATCAAAATGTAATCTTATTTTTAATATATTGCTTGTTATAAAAGATGTGTAAAAATTTCCAGTGAATTGTGGCTAATATTTTTATTATTTGATACTAGCAATTATTGGACACTTATAGCTTAAATAGTAATTACATAAGAACTCATAATATAGTTTGATTTATACTCTACTCTTATTGATTAGTTACAAATTCTTATTCAAATAGACAGTGTGTTTATTAAATAGTAGGCTAGTACTTCTTTTAAAAAGTTACTTGTAAGATTTTTTATTTTAGTATTGTTTTACTGACTGGTTCTTCTGAGTTCTGACACAACACGTTACACAAGGACCATTAAGAATGTAATAAATAAGAACTAGTAACTAGTTGAAAACACTAGTTTGAGTAATAAAAGCAGAATAAATATGCTTGAATACCTAATAAAAAAGTAGTGGTCTCTATCTGTTAAGCCAGTAGTAGCCTATAGGCAAGGCAAGGTAAACTTTATTTAAAGAGCACAGTTTTACACAACCATAGTTGATCAAAAGTGCTTTACAATAAAATAAAAAATACATAAACTAAAATACAGATGTGAAATAACATGCATGCATGCATCATTTAAAGGCAAGGAAATAAAATTAAGTCTTTAAATTAATTTTAAAAGCATCTAATGATGGAGAAATCCTAATTTTCAGAAGGAGACTGTTTCAAAGCCTTGGGGCTGCCGCACAGAAAGCTTGCTCACCTTTTGATTTGCAGCCTAGATTATATGTTAAATTGGCTTGCCATAGATGTTCTAAAACATGGCATGAGAAACGACTAGTTCCTCTGGAGGACTGGAAAGAGGGAGGGAGAAGAATACGGAGTACAGAAGACTGATGAGGGTTTATGTACAATGTGCACAGTCGGTCGGCGAGAAAGGCCTCAGGACTGGATTGTAGGCTTGGTGGAAAGCAAGGAAAGCAGGAATGGGAATGGCTTTTGAAAATTAAAAATGTGGCAAAGAGCAAAAGAGAGTGGGAGAAATGTGGATGAGGATGCGACGGGAAAATGGGAATATCAAAATACAGCAAAGATAATGTGAATCAAATAAAGACAGGAGTTTCCGATGAACAAGCATCAATGGGATCATCATTTTGAAAGTTTCAAGCAACAAAGTGTTTTCTTGGTAGTTTATTTGGTGAACGATGTATACATTTCATCCTGTGTCATGTCATGTCCTCAAAAGGCTATTCATTCAGTCCCCATGTGCACCTGTAGTGTAATTAAAGGATTTATTTCCCCAAACCATTCACCATTAAATGAATGGTGACTTTTTTTTAAGACTCTAAAATCTCCTTCATTTCATGTAAAGGTTAGACAGAAATCTCTTCCATTTCATGTTAAATTTCTCAGTGATCCCTAAAACTTTTCCTAAAATTTCTTGTAGGGTTTTGAATGGCAGAAGTGTAACTAAATAATGACAGACTTTTTATTTTGGGCTGAACTAACCAATTAAAAACCATAATGTCACAATCACCAGAGATCCAGGCTTGCAGATCGCTGGTAAGTGATGTTTTGTAAACAAATTTCGGGAGGAGCATGCGCAGAAGTTTCAGTATCGAATACGTCATTGACAATTATCCCATCATCAAATCAGCTCTTGAGCAACCCCTATATATACCAAAGCTGTCTTACCTGCAGCATCTCACGACTTTAGCATCCCTCCCCCACCCCGTCACCTCACCTCTTGCATTACATTCCCGGGGGGAGCGTTCTGGGGCCGGACTAGATACTTCGCTCGACTCCCAACTCCTCTTTGTTTCCTGATAAGGGGAATAACTTGAGTTGGGGTGTCTCCTCGAGCTCAGAGCCATCCCCCCAGACAGCATGCCAAATATGCTTTATACTTAAACGAATGCAAGTGTGAACTCGTGAAAAATGCGCCACCACACCTTATGAACTAAAAATCCCGTCATGCACCTCACACACACCTGTATTCGGAACTCCGATGATTACACACACACACAGCTGGTAGCTGATCTAAAACTTATTACTGATATTTATATACTGATTACATGGACTATTTATTCAGCTCACATTCACACACACTTTGATGAGTCTGGTTGTTTGATCACTGTTAGCATTACGAAATGGTTTCCTTGTCTTACCATGTTTTTGACCTTTGTTTTATTTTATTGTTTATGCTGGTATGAGGCTTCATGAAACACTGAAACAGTCAAAGCTTCTCTACAGTGGCACTTTTTGGTCATTGTTTATGTATTGCTCTAGAACAGCTTCAGCAAAGAAACAGTAGGTAGAATTTAGGTTTCAAGTGATTTAGTGAAGCGGTGAGAGTTCCAGACTAACATGCTGAGATAATTGGTTCGAATCCAGGGTGATGCAGCTATAGATGTTAGCTTTAAATGCACTGTTCTTGTAACCTGTTTCGTTTTAACATTGATCTCACATCAAAATGATCACTTTGTGAAAAAATTTGTCTTGTTTTGGTCATAAAATGTAACAGTTACTCTGAGCACATGCACGATCCATTATTTACGACCCTGTCAGTCAAATGCAGGGTTGCCTGGTCTGGAAACATTTCTGAAATGACCGATGCATTGAATTGCTTTGGTCACACAACCTAGTGTTTCACGCAACTGTGTGTTTCAAATCACCTTAGTCACGTGAATGTGTTTCGAATCACCTCACGTGACCTGGGTGATTCGTATCATGCTTCGATGCAGTTTTTCGTAACACTTGCGCTTCGAGATCTCGACACTGTGTTGAAATGTCAGTTTCACATCAGCCATCCCTACTGTTATGCCGTCTGTCATAAGCATTCGCCTGTTATTTTGACCAGGCTCTTAGGATTGCCCTCATGCTTCAGTTTGTACCTGCTTGAACATTGCCTGCCTGACTAATCTTGTATATTAAACTGCACATGGATCATCTCTGTGGATCCTCATCTAACACATAAAGATAAAACTGTATTCTCAGATATTCATGGAATAAATTTCATTTTAAGTATTCTTTAATAACATACACTTTTTAATAAAGTTAAACTTGTTAAACGCACACTTTTAATTTACTTTTAAAGCATCAATGTCAAATGAATGGTCTAAACATTTTAAATAAAATCTGTACATTATTTCCATTGTGTACGAGTGTTGTCTTTTTGGCTAACAAAATGCAGTACTGAGATCATCTTCCAGGAAGCGACATGACTTTTACTTGGCAAGTAACAGTGCAAACGTGAGCAAATTGATAAAGACTCTTGTGGCCTTTTTGACTCCAAACTTAAAATGCTTTTTAAAATGGCAGCATTTGCAATTTAACAATACATTTCTTTAAAGGATACTTGAGATACTTGTAGGACAGTTCAGCTGAACATAAAGAAGCAGTTGAACATGAATAAAAAAAACGCTGGAAACCGAAACCCATTGACATTCATAGTATGAAAAAGAAACATAAACAAAACCAGTGGTTACCAGTTTTTAACATTTTTCAGCATATCTTCTTGTGTGTTCAGAACAAATAAACATAATGACTTGTTTGTTTGAAAGGATCAAATAATGATGGAATTAAATTTTTTGGCTTAACTATCCCTTTAAAAGTTTGTTAGGCAATGCAGATCAAATATCACCCGAAACTTCTGTTTTTCTTTTTTATGCCACCATGTTCATTTCTCTAACAATCTACATGAGTTTAATCCATGTATTCCACGTCTTTATATTTGTAACACACTTAGTTGCCAACTCTTCAGTCAAGCGTGACAATACACATTAAATTCTCCTGATTAGCTGCGAGACAGTGAAAGCAGCTGAAGCTGAGTCATAACCATCTTCTGCCAGCCTAGAGCGCGTCAACATTCACCCGCTGCGACCCTCAGACACGTTGCTTCTTTTCCTTTAAAACGTAAATCCACTGCCTTTTTAAATCTCCCCCAAACAACGTCTACACCAAATGACCTTTCCTGTCATCTCCAAATAAAATAAATAATCGGCAGATACAAAAATGGGAAAAGGAGACCTCTAGTGGGTGAATCCCGTCAAAAGGCAGAGAGAGATAAATTAAAGGGATTTCCAAAAACTGAATATTGTCATAATTTACTTAGCCTTCACTTATTCACTTGAGTTTCTTTATTCTGTTGAATACAAAAGAAGATATTTTGAAGAATGTTGAAAACCTGTAAACACTGACTTCCATAGTAGGCCTATTTGTTCCTACTACAATGCAAGATGGTTCTCGGTTCAAAGTATCTTGAGGGTGAGTGAATTTTTATTTATTTTTGTATCTTATTAACTCAAAAATATAACTAAATATAAAGAGTTATATAAATATAACTTTAAAAGTTAGTTTACAGGAACATAAAAAGTTTGTCACCATTTACTAACCCTCAAGTTGATCCAAAACTAAAAGAATAATCAAAATATGGCAGAATCTATACACCTAAAATGTACTTCTGGTCTTACTTTTCCTGCTAGTTCTTTCCCTGCTTGAAAGATATTCATTATTACAATATTTCAGTAAAAAGAAGTTGGTTCTAGAACAAATTTTCTCATGTTTTACAATCACCACCAATTTCTCCTCATGTTTATTTAATACAACATCATTGAAGCATTTAAAGTGTGACACAAACAGCATGCCTACAACACACATTGACTAAATTATTTTGGTTCATTATACACCGGCCATAAGCTGTGCTGAGTGAATCTGAGTACTCATGATTATTTACTGTGGGTTCTTGATTGAAAACCGGATGCCATGTTTGTTGAGACGCTCAATTAGGGTGCTTCTTGCAAACACTGAGCCTGGAGTGAACACACCACCTCTATCAGGACAAACAAACAACCATAGGTAAGAAAGGGTTTATTCCTAATTGTTGCTCAAATAACATTTAGTATGCATAACGGAGAGTTGAAATAATTTTTACACATTTACATGTTATTTTGTATGAAAGTTTAGAGAAAAAAAAAAATCAAACATCAGTATTTGGATTCAACCATAGCAATTTTATGAAATAATCCTATCGCATACACTACCTGACAAAAGTTTTGTCGCCTATCCAAGTTTTAGCAACAAATAATAATTTGACATCTAGTTGATCATTTGGTATCAGAAGTGGCAAAAGCCTCTAGATTACGCTCATTTTACCAAAATAAAATATGATCATGCCTTGATTTTTAATTATTTAATTAGGACAGTAAGGTCTGACTTTGACCCCCTTGAGCTTGGAGGACTGCATCCATACAGCTCTGCAATGACTGCAATAGTGTACATGTCTGGTGACTGCAGATCTTTCGCACACCCCACATACTGAATGTAACCCCAAACCATGATTTTTTCCTTCACTAAACTTGACTGCTTTCTATGATATTCTTGGGTCCATGCAGGTTCCAATAGGTCTACTGCAGTATTTTTGATGATTGGGATGCAGCTAAACAGATAATTCAAAGGAAAAATCTATCTTCTGACACTTTTCCAAACGATCAACTAGAAGTCAAGCTATTATTTGTTGCTCTTACAACTGGGATCGACGACAAGATTTTTGTCAGGTAGCGAATATTGATGTTCATCTTTTCTTTATCTTTATTTCTATAGCGCTTTTACAAAGTAGATTGTGTCAAAGCAGCTTAACATAGAAGATTATAGTAATTTGAAACAGTAAGTAAATAAAACAATATAGAAAATGTTAAAATATGACCAATGGGATCCATTTTTATTAATACTAAAATAAAAAAATCAATTGTACTAGAAATTTAACAGCTTTAATAAAATTATAAAAATGATAAAAAAAAACATTAAAAATGATATAGTGGGTAAGATTATTCAATGAATATTTAATATTTCAATATACTTTCTAACTACTGTTTATGCTTACCAAGGCTGCATTTTGTATTTAAAAACAGAAAATATCATAAAATATTATTACAACTCAAACTAACTTCTATTTTAATATATGAAAGCTGAATACTCAGCAGCTATTAGTTCAGTTTTCAGTGACATGGTCAATACTGAAAACAGTTGTGCTACTTAATATTTTTGTGTAAAATGTGCTACATTTTTTCAGGGTTCTTGATTAGTGGAAAATACTAAATGAAGCTCAATTCCTTTGTAACCGTATAAATGTCTTTACTGTCACTTTCATCAGTTAAATGCATTCTTGCTGAATAAAAGTATAATAAAATACGAATAAAAGACAAATTCTTTTATAATGCATATGCAATAATAACTTTGTTCATGAAAAATATATGTAAACTACAAAAATATTACAAGCCTGTTCCAATAGAGTTGGCTTTAAGAACCAAAGTGATTCAAGATACTAGTATTCAGCTTAGAGTGCAATTAAAAACTTAACTATGTTAAATAGGCAAGTAAGGGTAACTAGGTATATCATTATAATGATTGTTTGTTCTGTAGACAATAAAAACATGTTTTAATTTTGACCTTAAAATGGTTATAAAAATAATAAAAAGCTGCTTTGATTCTAGCCGAAATAAAACAAATAAAACTTTCTCCAGAAGAAAAAATATTCTAAAAAATTCCCTGCTCTATTAAATATCACTTGAGAAATATTTGAAAAAAAGAAAAGAAAAAATACTAAAAACCTAAAAGAGCTAATAATTTTGACTTCAACTGTATATTATATATTGAGTCTACATTACTCACTTGTTAGGGAGACAGTGTGGTTCATTCAGCAGTGTAATAGCAGCCTGCACCATGGCAATCGGTGTTGCGATGTATCCTGGCTCTGCAAATTACAGCAGCAGTGCGATATCTGAGTATTTGGGGAGAATATTTTGAGTCAAATCTAATGGAGAATGGGTCGTTACCTGGTCCTGTTACTTCGGTGCTTATTGTGGAATTTGGCTTGCCCTGAGAGGGGTCCTGTCCTGTACTGTAGCCCTCCCCCCAAAACCTCATACAGAAGGAGGTCCCATCCATCTGAAAGTAGACAACAAGGGCAGCAAAACATTAAATATGACTTCCACAATAAAGCCGAAGTCTGTGTGTGATGTAGTGGGTATTGTGTTTTGAGAATTTCAATGCATTTATTGTACCTGCTTTTTTGATGGTCCACTCTTGGAGAACAAACCAAAGGAGAAAAATTCTGGAAACTAATGAAGAAAAATATTGTTGTTACTCATGAGTTTATATATAGCACTACACTGTAAAAAGTGATTGGTTGCTTTACGTAAAGAAGGGAATAAACTTGTTGCTTTAGATGACGCTGACTTCACTTTTAAAAAAGTCAGTAAACCTGTTATAACTTTGAATTTATAATTATGCACATAGTTAATTAATTAAGACAACTAAACAGCTTAAAAGCAATGGGTTTCCTCACTTTTTAAAGAAAAGTCAACCAATCATTTTAAAATCAGAGGGTTTACTCACTTTAAAAAAAAGTCAACTAATTACTTTGAAAGCAATGAGTTTACCCACTTTTTAAAGAAAAGTCAACTAATTGCTTTAAAAGTCAACCAATCACTTTAAAAGCAATGATTACTCACTTTAAGAAAAGTCAACTAATCGCAATAAAATCCGTGGGCTCTATTTTAATGATCTAGGCATAAAGTCCAAAGCGTAAAATCACTAAGGGCGTGTCCGAATCTACTTTTGCTATTTTAAAGATGGAAAAATACACTCTGCGCTGTGGCGCAAGGTCTAACAGGGTTGAGCTTATTCTCTTAATGTGTTCTGGGTGTGTTTTGAGAATAAACCAATCAGAGTTTCATCTCACATTCCCTTTAAGTGTCAATTGCATAGCGCCATGGCGCATTACCTATTACATGGTGGATTTTGTAAGTGGAAAAACTGAACGCTTCACTAGTAAGAAAACAGTTAAACAGCATCTGCACGAGAGGATAAAAAACAACCCTCCTCCAATCGGCCTTTACTTTCACTTTCTCGCGTATAAGGAAACGTGTTGTATGCACAGACATCCATTGACCTACATAATTAATTTTGTTTGTTAAGCGCAAAGATTTGTTTCAAAACTATTTCTAAATTCAGTTTTAATTTCCAGCAAACTAATAAATGAGCAATAATAACAAAGTGTTGTCAAAAAACTGAGTTATATCCAAACACACATGCTATGCCCCATATGGTCTAAAACCTGACAGGTGGGCAAATCTTTTTTTTTCATAAAACAAACATAAATATGCATATAATAAATAATACTACAAATAATAATAACATTATACAAAAGCAAGTTGTCATGAATAAACTAAAAATGCCTCCTGAGATGAAGAAGGCATGAAGGCGGTGGTTTTTATATTTATGTAGAAAATAATAATTTAAAAAATATTTTAATCCTTTAATTCTTTTTCATTTGTAAAGATATGTCTGTATTGCTGTACATTCTGTGTGTTTTAAGCAATGTGTAAGGTAGGCGCACAATCAACGCGCTCTGCCCTGGACTTTAGACCTGCTTTTTGCAGGTCTATTTTAGTTCCTCAAAATAGCAACACGCCAATAATGTGCCTTAACACACCTCCATTATAGACTGAAAAACCCATAAGTCCACAAAGTGGCGCAAATCGATTTGCTATTTAAACAACAGGGCAGAAAACTGGAAAATTAAGGTTGCGTTGGTCTGAAAATAGCAACACGTTGTGCAAACACGTGTTTCCCCTTATTGCGCCGGAGTTATGATAGATAGGGCCCAATGAGTTTACCAACTTTTTAAAGAAAAGTCAACTGGTCGCTTTAAAAACAAAGGGTCTATTCGCTTTTTAAAAGAAAAGTGAACTAATTGCTTTAAAATCAAAGAGTTTACTCAATTTAGGAAAAGTCAACTAATCACCTTAAGTCAACTAATCACTTTAAAATTAAAGGGTTCACTCACTTTAAGAAAAGTCAACTAATCGCTTTAAAATCAAAAGGTTTACTCACTTTAAGAAAAGTCAACCAATCGCTTTAAAAGCAATGTGTTTACAGCAATTAACTGACTTTTCTTAGATATGGATTTCAACTCAACCAGTTTACTCACTTTTAAAGTAAAGTCAACCAATTGCTTTTTCAAGATTGATGACCAACACATTTTTTTGCTGACATAAAATTAGCTTTTAATGGCGAATTTGGATAAACTATCAAAATATGAGGAAGTGTTCTATTGGCAAGAGAAAAAGGAACAAACTACATGTGTACAAACAAACTACAAATGATCCTAGAACAGGGTTTTGAAATTTTTATTTATTTATTTTTTATTTCTTAAAATGGTATCATACCTGAGTCAGCAATCCTCTGCCGAGACTAAATTTGACCATTAACCAGAACATGATGCCTGCAAAGAGGGTCTTCACCACAGAAAAAAGCCCACCAATACCCACGTATGCCATGTACTGAACCTGAGGAAGAAATACCATAGAGAAAACTAATTTAACCTTCAAGCCAACAGCCATCTGATTCAATTAAATGAAAGTATACAAACAAAGCAGGTTAAACACTAAACTACATACATTTACGAAGGTTACATTATTAAATAAAATTAACATTTATTCATCATTTACTCATACTCAAGTTCCAAACCTTCATGAGCTTTATGAACTTTATGAACACAAATCAATGGCTGTTTACAACATGCTTCAAAATATCTTCTTTTGTGTTCAACAAGTATAAAAGAAGTGTAGGGGAGTAAATGATGACAGAATTTTGGGTGACCTATGCCTTTAACACATATTTCTGAGGCCAGAGCAAGACATCAATGAAAACTCCAGCCCGTCTGATGGCATCACCCTGTTGACCCTCATGACATCACCCTGTGCACTGTGGACACTGCTATGGAGATGAAAGAGCAGGACGGTGAATCACAAAGGCTGTGAATCATCTCCTGCTCTTTCCATGCGGGCTTTCAGAGCACTATCACTGTAATCACGCTTACACAAGACAAGAGCCCAGAGAAATGTCATTACAACTGGTAAACGGCGTAATTGTGTTTGGAAAGCAAGGCGAAGAAAATGTCAAAGACCGTCTTTTATAAGAGGATGCAGATGGGTTGGAAATAAGCCATTAGATCTTCACTGAAATAACACTTTTGGACACTGAATGCTGTTATTTTTTTGTTGAGAAACTGGTTTAAAATTGTTCTACTCACAAGACATTTTGACTTGTTTTATTCAAATTACTATAATTTACTATGAAAAAAAAACTTTTAATTTTAACAGCACCTATTTTAACCATTTTTTAAGATTTAATATAAATCTTTTGTATCTCAGGAACTTGTCTGTAAAGTTTAGCTCAAAATACCCATCGGATTATTCATTATACCTATTGCGACTTCCTGATGCCTCCTATAAGTCGCTCGAGAGGCAGTGAGGGTCCTTTATATTTGTGACGCGCTGGTGGCTTTAGACAGAGACACTGAGCCCAAGATGTTATATGGAAAACTTTATGTAACTTGAAGCATGAAAAAACAATACAGCAATTTGTGTCTTTGAATACCTGTTTTGTATGGTGCCGATTATTGCGTTGGTGTGATGATTGTTGCGTGTGCCGTTGTGATACAGTTTTGCGTTGCTTGGTATGCGCTGCTGTTTGCGTTGCTGTTTGCGCTGCTGTTTGCGCTGCTGTTTGCGTTGCTGTTTGCGGTCAACAAAAATACGGCTACCCCACTCTCCTTCTCTCCTCCACCTGTGTGATTGTGCACGCGCTTTATATGTTCGAGCAGGTGCCAGTTATGCCCACGTGACCAAAACATAAAACGTCACTGTGAAACCCAAACCAATCAGTATACAAATAAACATTATAATTAAATGAAAAGTAATATGGCTCCTATAATACCTTTTTAAATCCGGGAAATTCGAGCTGTTACCACATTGTAGCTGTTTTTGTTGCCTGTGCCTTTAATGCGAATGAGTTGGTTTTCCCTGCCCACCGTTCCCATGTGCGTGTCAGAGCCGTAGCCTTCATGTAGATAAACAACACGATGACAGACAAGAATGAAGCAGATCTCCCTTACTACAGTAAGAACTTTCCCAACGGTTATTTGTTATATTTGTTGTGGGGTCAATGCAAGCCTTTCTGCAATGATGAGTGCAATGATGCATAAGCGCACACCCAGACTCACACACGTTTAGCTTTGCATTTTTGTACGGAAAATGTGACTGGATACACGTTAATATCCACTGCAGTATGGATATCCGTTATAATAATATACAAAATTAACCTGATTCAAGTCCACAAAGCACGATTGAAGCGTCTTCTTTTATAATGGTACTGACTGTGGCTGTGGTGATGAATTATGTATCTATTTTATCATTTCCCTTTATTACAAACATGCACTGTTTTAAAAACGTGTTAAACTTGTAAAACTCACTCTTGATTACATTTGAACAGAGCTGAACAGATCTTTTAATTCGTTACCTTCTGCACGTCCTGTCTTATGGATATGATTATACGCGTTACTAAGGAGATATGTTGATAAGCGCCTGTCAATCAATTCAGTTGGCAGGAAAACCACATTCCTATGTCACGTTGCGGTGGGCCTCAAAATGGGAGGGATTTGGATCCTATTTTAACGTCAAAGATTTATTGTGTTCATATCACCCCAATATGACTGTGGACACACTACACCTACACACAGTTCAGTCCAAAAAAGTACAAAAGATGATTTTCATCGTAGGTGGCCTTTAATTAAAGGTTATAATTGATAAAGCTATAAGTATATTAAAATACATGCAATGACATTGTTTTTACTCAATTTATTATATCTTTTCATTTTGAATAATATACAATGTATGTATAAATATATATAAAAATATATATAAAAACACATCAAATTTAAATAGACTGCGCACCCAAAAATGAAAATTACCTCATCATTTACTGTCCCTCAAGTGGTTTTAAGCCTTTGTTGATTAGAAAAAAATATTTTGTAAAATGCTGGCAGCTGGCACCCATTGACTTCCATTGTCATTTTGTTCCATCTTTGGAAGTCTATGGGTGCCAGCAGCCAACATACTTCAAAAAAATCTTCTTTTGTGTTCAACCGAAGAAAGAATTTTCATTTTTGGGGTAAACAGCTTTAAATTTAAATGTTTATGTTAATGTTTATTTGTGAAGGTTGTGTAACAATGGCAGAGTTTACATTTTTGGGTGACTTATCCCTTTCAATAATTTACATTTTGAAGGAAAATCAGAAGTTCACAGAACAAATCATATATGTAGAATTGTAAGGTGTCTCTTAAGTTCTGTGTTCATTCATTAATTATTTTCTTTTCGGTTTAGTTCCTCTATTAATCTGGGGTCGCCACAGTGGAATAAACCGCCAACTTACCCAGCATATGTTTTACGGAGCAGAAGTCCATAGACATGCGCTATAGATGAAATGGGTAAGCTAAATTGTGCGTAGTGTGTGTGAATGAGAGTGTATGGGTGTTTCTCAATGATGGGTTGCAGCTGGAAGGGCATCTGCTGTGTAAAACATATGCTGGAAAAGTTAGTGGTTCATTCAGCTGTGGCGACCCCTTATTAATAAAGGCACCAAGCCGAAGGAAAATGAATAAATGAATTTTATAATTGTTTTTACTTAGCTGAAATGAATATCTACACAACAAACAATATAACAAAACAAACAAAATAAATATAATCATAATAATCTTAATAATTATATCAACAAATGCACCAATTAATCGACTCAAATCACAAGTGTGTCAAACGTGTGTGAATTACTGTCAATCTACAAACTCACAGGACTGTGTTTTTGTTCCTCATGCATGAAGCGCTGGGTCCGTCGCACCACAGACGGATCTGAGCCCATGAAAGGGATGGCATACTGCTCAATCTCCTTACTGAAGAATACAGCTCCCCTGGGGTAACACCGAAATAGCAAGCAAATTAACACCAGTACAGATTTCTATCCTTACAACCATTCTCCTCCGCTCCTCTGGGAGTCAGCAGCTATATAAAGCACACGAACCATAGTATTAATAGAAGGAGATGTTATTTTTGAAAAACTCTAAATCACCTCTTTTTAATGCGAGCGCCGACAGCTGGCAGAGGTTTATGCCCAAACTTCTTCCTTATTCTTCTGAGGTTGCCACTGTCAGCAAAGCCAAAGATGGCCGACTGCCATGTTGCATCATGGGCACATCCTCCCTGATGAAGAAGACAAGACAGCAGAATAAAAGCCAAGATGTCGACTGCTTTATTGAGGACATGCAATGCGACACAACCTGCCAGTCAAGTCTTCATGACCCTTTAAAACAGCAGGAAAGACAGGGATGGAACCCTAATGGACATTGACAAAATTGATTTAACAACATATATAACACATTACACAAACCCTGTTTAATTAAAAAAAAAATCGACATTTCCCGCCAATGTTTGTTTGTTTTTAATGAAACAAATCACTGTTGAGTGGTGATACGGTGGCTCAGTGTTTAGCACTGTCGCCTCACAGCAAGAAGGTCGCTGGTTTGAGCCCGGCTGGGTAAGTTGGCATTTCTATGTGGAGTATGCATGTTCTCCCCGTGTCTCCAGTTTCCCCCAGTCCAAAGACATGCGCCAAAAGTGAATTGGGTAAACTAAGTTTTCCGTAGTGTACGAGTGTGTGAATGAGTGTGTATGGATGTTTCCCAGTACTGGTTAGCAGCTGGAAGGGCATCCCCTCTGTTAAACATATACTAGATAAGTTGGCAGTTCATTCCACTGTGGTGACCACTGATGAATAAAGGGACTAAGCTGAAGGAAAATGAATGAATGAATGAATGAATGAATGAATGAATGAATGAATGAATGAAATCATTGTTGACTCTACTTTTGAGCATGTTTTTCCTATGAATGATCAGTGTCGTACTGTTAGAGACCATAGAGAAAAGTCATTTAAACCAAAGTAATAGCCAACTGATTCAATTCAATGAAGGACAAATGTACAAACAAAGCAGGTTAAACACTGTACTGCACACATTTGTGATGGTTTCTATTGATCATTAGTTATGGCTAAACTGCCCACTTGTATTTGATGTTGATGCTGCTCTGTTTGACCACATTTTTCACTCAACATTGAAAGTTCTTATAATTAGCTGCGTGCCCATTACCCTTCAAAGTGGACAAATTGAAATTTTGAATCAAATATATAATTGAAGGCAAACTTATTTGCCCTTCCGTGAAACCTTTACTATTTTTCAAACATTTTTTTAAGAGATGTTTAACAGATCAAATTTTTTTTGCGCTATTTCCTATAGTATTTTTATTCTGGAGAAAGCCTTGTTTTCTTTATGTTGACTGGAATAAAAGCAGCTTTTGAAAACAAACCAGATTTTTAGGTCAATGTTTTTAGCCCCTTCAACTGGGTATAGAACATATCACTATCATCCAATGACGTGGTTAAATAACCTAATGTGACTAGTTAACCTAGTTAAGCCTTTAAAATGTACCTTAAGCTGAATACTAGTATGTAGTAAAATACTAGAACTAATATCTAGTAAAATAACTACCAAAATATTATGTACTGTCATCATGGCAAAGAGTTATTAGAAACTAGTGTAACACTTTATTTTAAGGCACAATTCACAGTATTAACAAACCATTAAATAACACTACTAGCTTCATTGTTTGTTTGGTTGTTTATTGATTGCCATATCAGCAACTTATGGCTATTTCGTGGCAAAATTAATATAAATAAAATATTATATGATAATAACAACTTCATGTTTAAATAAGAGATGATACACCAACAAATGTATAAATAGAAATAAATGCATAAAATTCATAACAAATGTATAGTAAAAGTTAAATATGATCTTTCAATTCAATATTTGATAAAAACCTTAAAATGCTTCCTGATGATACCTTTTTATAAACATCCATCAAAGTGTTTTTATTATAAAAAATATTGTGTAATAGTACATAATCTTTCACATTCGAATAAAAAAACTAATTAATTTTGACATATTATTTCTTAAAGACAAATTTTGTTTTGCTAATGAACAAGACAAAATCTAAGTAAGAAAGGCATTTTTGCAATGCAGAAATTCTTAGTTTAATCCTTTGGGATATGAGACTTCATTGCATTATTCATTCATTAGCAGCTGCAACTGTGGATTCCCAGAGTTTAATATTAGCACTGCTTTATTCCTACATCTAACCAAAGCTTTGAATTTTTAACAACAGTCAGTCAAATTCTTCTGGAACGTTAATATGGATCTGAAACGTGGTGAATTATGGCTCACCTCGGGTCCAGTGCTGATGGTTAAAAAGCTCTCCACAGCGGTGAGAGTTCCTGTGAAAGCCAGACAGAGGAGAAGTCATGCATCTGCTGCTCTACAGGCACATTTGCCCACAGCAGCACTTCAAAGAGCAGCGACAGACATGCACATCCTGAATGAGCTGAGCAGCTTTGCCTGTGTCACTGATACATCCCACTAATTGGGATGGGATTAAAGAAACTGACTGCACAAGGGTTCGTGTGATGCAAAGGTCAAAGGCCATTCACAGGGCAAATATCACAGTGACATATGTCTGCTTTAACATTAGGACACAAATACACATTAAACCTTTAAACATCTGTTTTTTTTTTTAGTAATAGATGGGTGTTTCGTTGTATTGTACATCAGAAGGCATATATAATGTTGTGACATGACGTCGTATATAATAATATGATTAATATACTATTTGTTTCATAGCAATTTGTAACATAAAATATAGTTATGTAATATGTATAATAAAGAAATACAGTTGAAGTCAGAATTATTAGCCCCCCTGTTTATTTTTTGGCCAATTTCTGTTTAACGGAGAAAATATTTTTTCAACAGATTTCTAAACATAATTTTAATAACTCATCTCTAATAACTAATTTATTTTATCTTTGCTATGATGACAGTACATAATATTTGACTAGATATTTTTCATGACACTTCTATACAGCTTAAAGTAACATTTAAAGGCTTAACTAGGTTAATTAGGTTAACTAGGCAGGTTAGGGTAATTAGGCAAGTTATTGTATAATAATGGTTTGTTCTGTTGACTATTGAAGAATAAAAATTGCTTAAAGGGGCTAATAATTTTGACATTAAAATGGCTTTAAAAAAATAAAAACTGTTTATATTCTAGCCGAAATAAAATAAAAGACTTTCTCCAGAAGAAAATATATTATCAGACATACTGTGAAAATTTCCTTGCTCTGTTAAACATCATTTGGGAAATATTTAAAAATAAATAAATAAATTCAAAGGGGGGCTAATAATTCTGTCTTCAACTGTATATATAATTGATTGTCCATAGCTATATTTATGTTTTAAATGAACTATAAAACCTTGACTTTTTAACTGCATTTGATGTTGATTTATTTTTTTATTTTTTTGCAGATGAAGTAAAAGAAAATCACATGAAATTATATTTTATAGTACAGTTTATATACAGGAATCAGAGATTAAAATTGAATACCTTTTAAGACCTTTTTTAAGTCTCTTTGTAGACATTTTAAGATCTCATCACCAATTTAGGTTTCAATCGGGAACATTGCCGACATTTTGACTTAAGTTGGGGAAAAGGAATATATATTTTTTTTATTTTTGTCTCTTTTTTGTTCATTAAACAATTGTATTGGTATTGCTTAAGGTGAAATATTAACAGAACTTCTTCTGTTGAGTGCGATATGTTTTGCATACTAATGAAACATTTTTGCAGAAGTAGATGAAACTGATTGTCTAAAATTAACTTAATCTCTGCAGCGAAACTTCCAGTGAGCACAGAATATTTACAGTTGAGAAAGGCTTAGGCTTTTAATATTGTGCAGACAATTCATACAAAAAGAGAATGTATGTATGTGTGCGGCCAATAGAGGACTGCAGAATAATTGACAAGTGATGAATTTCACAAAACTCCACCTGTTAATATCAGCTGCCTATAAAGGCTATAGTCAGGAAATGAAAACTGTTGCGCACCTCCTAAATGTAACCTTTGCATTGCATTGAGGATAACAGAATTCTGTAAATCAAATTATTTATTTGTATCCAATAAATTGCTAATATGTTAAACCTTAAAGAAAAACTCCTGACTTTTTTATTGAACACTTAATTATTCCAATTATGATTGATTATTCCAATGCTTACAGTATATTTAATAAATAATGATTGCAATAAACTAATCCTAAACTAAAACTGTATTCATCTACTAAATAAAAACGCTAATCCAACAGGTGGCGCCTTTATAACAGCAGGAATAATAGTGTTTCCCTGGTTACTGCAGTAAACAAAGCAGCAGCAGGATTTTATTGATTTCATAAACCACACAGCATCCGAATATTCAAAAGTTTAATTCAGGCAAACTTTGGCATACTGATGCAGGATTTATTACCTTGTAAAATAGCATTTTAGACTTTATAAGGGCCTTAAATTTCTCTAAATTAATTTATCAACTTTGAAGGATTTTAAAGACCCACTGGACACCCAGTAATAATACATAATACAATCACATTTTACAAATACAATTTAATTATATGTGTTTTTATGAATAGACTTATAATGAAAAATTATATTTGTACCGATAATAAAACATTGACAGACACGCAACCCACCTTTGAAGTGATTCTGTGTATAAATGATGCCCATGTCTGCAGGTATTGAATCAAACCCACAGCTTCCAATGACATACACACCGTTCTTCTCAGCTTTACTGTGGTACATCAGTTGTATCCCCTCTAAAAACTACAAAAATCAACAACAATTTCCCTAAATTAAGCAGCACAACTGAAACACTGAAAAAAAGTTTCTTGAACACAATGATTTCTGCAGGATAGGGTTGTTCCGAAACCGATACTAGTATCAGAAATACTCGCCGATACCGATGCCATAACTTTTGCAGTATCGCCGTGTAGTTCCGATTATTGAAACCATAAACTGATCCGACACCATCTTTTTAAATGAGACATACAGTATGATCGCTTGCTTTGTTTAACACTGCAAACCCGGTGTTAGTTCTTCTTTGAAGAAGAATAGGGTCATGCACTATATTATTATAAAAAGTTTCTGAATTAAAAAATTCAAAGAGGTTATTTTTCTATATTATTCATACTCATTTTTTACATTTCATTACTTTGTTGCACTGATTTTTATACAGTTATACTATAAAACTTATAATATATAGATTAGATTTTTTTAGTTTAGTTTTTGATTTGTGGTTGAACTTGATGCAGTGAAACACAGTGAATAAGATTACTATTGAATGTCTGATAATAAAAATACTTTACTGCATGTATTTGTTTTATTACTGAATAAATTTAAGCACAAGCACAATTTAAATAAATTATATTAATTTACACACCATCGTTTCTACAAATACACACTTATCTATCGGTTCAGTACTCTGTATTGGCCAATTGACCTTATTCTTCAATGTGGAAGTGCGCTGGTTTTTGCGATTAATTTAGAACTTCCAATTAAGTTTCCTATGGGAGAAATGACTAGGAATAATAAACTGCAGAATATGGTCAAACTACTTGCTCAACAAACAAGTGTTTGCATGGCTATACAGACAAAATAGAATAATATAATAAGTAAATATTATTTTGCAACATCAAGAAGCATAAAAAGCTGTTTTTAACATCAAAAAATGAATGGAAGTGAATGAGCCAGAAGTCTCGAGCCAAAAAGATTCAAATGGCTGCGCCTGTTCAAACACGAAGAATAAGGTGAATACCTTGAGCTCAGGTATGACAATTAGTATCGTTAAGGAAAAAAGGTAGCGAAACATCCCTACTGAAGGACAGTGGTTGCTGAAAATTCACTTTTACCATTACTAATTACATACTTCATTACATTTTAAATACATTAAATTAGAAAACAAATTTTGTTGACAAAATGTTTAAGAACATTGGGTTACACTTTATTTTAAGGTGTCTTTGTTACAATGTAACTGGTCATTTAACTACTGAGTAACATCAGTTCAATTACATGTACTCATTACATAATAAGGGATAAGTTTAGGTTTACCAAACATTGCAATTAAGAATCGAACATTGCAGATTTTGCTATGATTTTAAAATAAAATAAGCTGAGTTTTGGTAAAAAACAAAACGTTAAAAATCCAAATAATCCAACCAACACCAAATCATCAAACTGTATTTTGTCAAAAGCAGATTATAGAGCTAAAACAGGGTTTAGTGCATAACAATGGCTACCTGCGGTTCTCCACAGATGTCAATGCAGTGAGCCCCATTCTCAATACAGGCCTTCACCACCGGCTCCCCGTAGAAGCGATACTGTTGAGAAAACGTATCTGAGCCTCATATACTTCCATATATGCAATATGGCATTTTTCAGTCAACAGTTAACCCTCACAATAACACAGCTCCATTTATCATTTTCTGCATTCAGCCATAGTGGCACTGCAGTATGAATGCACAGATGTGTAAACTGACCTCTTCCTGTCCTTTTTTTACAATAGACTTTATTGACTTACTGGTCCCACACAGTTGAGCACAATGACAGCTTGTTTGCACATGATGGCCAGTGACTCTGCCTCGGCTACATCTGCTACAATAACCTCCACAGACTTCAGTTCGGGTTTACCTGCACACAAATAAAGAGATGTCAGAGATAAATGATTTCTCTCCTTTAACAGAGCAAACTGCTGCAGTTTTTTCACTTAGCTGCTGGTTAATGCAGGAGTTCAAGTAAAATTTAAAGACCTTCATGAATGAAATTTAAGACCTGTATGATAATGTTTTCATAATACAGAAAATTAGATTTGGACTAGCAAAAAAGAACTACAACAACAACGACAACAATAAAAGCAACACATATTCTAATGTGCTGTTAAAATTATCACTGTATATTTGAGGTTGTTTTACATAGAACATGTATTTCTTTTAATATTATATAAGACCTAACACAATACTTCAATGAATTTAAGACTTAAGACATTAAGAAGTTTTTGTAATTATTCTTTTTACATTTTTGGGCCCCACAAAAACTGAGTAATGCACAGATTTATTTATTTGAATTGTATTTATTTTATTGTAAATAGAGATTGTTCGCTGCATCCTTTTACTCTGTGACCTTTTGCACAGTTTTCAAATCCTGGAATATGAGTACAGGCAATTTCAGATGAGGATTGAATTGCCCAAACATTATGCCTTTAATCAACAATATTCTCAATCCCTGTAATCCCATCAGATAATCTCAACAGACAAAATCCTCTGAAGCTCATCTAATACCATGAACTGACTGTTTCATGTCTGCTCATAAATAACATAAACAGTATGGCTATATTAGTGTACACCTAATACAAGTTATGACCCATCTTAAATAACATATGTACAAAGTAATTCAGTTTGGCCTAGTAATGAAGTACTGTGGTGTAGCATTGCATTAAAGTAAAAATGTAGTCTTGCCTTATCGTTACCTTAATTATAAGGTTCTATCTGACTTTTTTGTCAAAATTGAGTTATTGACATATTCTTATTAAATGACAACTAATTTACATTATGGGATTTCTACATGATGTTTTTTCATAAGTTTTTACCATTTTAAGACTTTTTATTGAAAAAACAGATGTTACACATACTGTTTGCAATCGAATGCAAAACCTTTGAAGTTCAATATCTCAAAATCATCCAGAATGCAGATAGAACCCTATAATTCCAATTTATATGCATTATTTAAAGCTTATTTAAATTTTTAATACACGTAAAACTCAATTAAATACAGAAGTTAAAATGGGGGTGACGCGGTGGTGCAGTAGGTAGTGCTGTCGCCTCACAGCAAGAAGGCTGCTGGTTCGAGCCTCGGCTGGGGTAGTTGGCATTTCTGTGTGGAGTTTGCATGTTCTCCCCGTGTTCCGTGGGTTTCCTCAGAGTGTTTCGTTTTCCCCCACAAGTTTAATGACATACGGTACAGGTGAATTGGGTAAGCTAAAACATTGTCTGTAGTTTGTGTGTATGTGTGTGTGTGTGTGTGTGTTTCCCAATGATGGGTTGCAGCTGGAAGGGCATCCGCTGTGTAAAACATGCTGGATAAGTTGGCGGTTCATTCCGCTGTGGCGACCACAGATTAATAAAGGAACTAAGACGCAAAGAAAATTAATGAAATGGTATCTCAGAAAACTTTATTTAAACATTAAATCATTTTAAAAAGTTGTATTATTTAAATATTTTTGATAATAAAATAATGTACAGTAATATAATAAAAGTATAGTAAAGCTCAATGAGATACCATTTATTTTATATATATTACAATTTGTGTTTTATCTTTATTTAGATTAGGGGAGAGTGGAGACAGTTGCAACACTCTTTGCATTTCCTCCAGTTACTCAGATTTTTCTGGAATCTCAAAAATTTAATATAATAAACCCACATCTCTTGGACACCCACCCACATTGCTATAATATGTGTACATATGATAATATATGCAGAATTTAAACTTAAACAGACAGTGAAACATTGCAACTGACCCCGAGCAGTAGGACAGTTGCAACAACCCACAGGGACAGTTGCAACACTCATTGAAATGTAATAATTCTTTTTTAAAACATCAGGTTTGATTTTTTATTTACTAAATGTAAATGATTTAAAACGTCAAATTGGCCATATAAACAGATTATTAAAATAACAAGCAACAACCAATTATCAGGCATAAAAACACTCAAACTCTACACTGAACCTTTAAGTTACTAGACTACTTCTTTGAACTTTGAAATGCATTAATTAATTAAAGAAGTCATTTTTTTATTAAATTACATTAAAACTGTGATAAAATATAATATGTACATTGTTATAGCAAACTTTAAAAATTTATTTTGTAATTGAGGACCCAATTGTCAACCCTGATTAAACTGTCTATGCTGAGATACAATAGCTTTAATGCTTGATAGCTATTCCTATTTAAAGCTAAGAAAACAGTGACTTAAATTACACAAATGAATAATGTTCCACAAAAACAGTTTAGACAGTTTGAGAAATTTTCTGAACATATATATATATATATTTTTTTTTTTTTTACCTAAAATTAGTTTTTACTAAAGGAATTGTCACATGTAGCTGATTTCAGGAGGGTCTGAGTATTGAAGAATATGTAGTAGTTATGAATATCATCACTAGCTCATTCCTGAATGGAGGAATAAGTCTTGTTGCAACTGCCCCCACTCTCCACTAATATTTGCTGTAGCTATATATTGTATGTGTTTTTTTTTTTTTTTTTTTTTAATCCTTATTTTTATGTACAAAACTGATGTTTTGTGGCACTAATTTTAAACACAGTAATCCTTTCTGTCCTATTCAATTCGTTAATGTTTTAAATTGTTATGGACACTGAGTAAGCTGAGAAGTTCCTGTCAAACGCAAATGTAAACAGTGTGAAAGACGTACTCAGAGCGTCAGCTGCCTGACTGAGGGTTTTCTCCAGTCGGTGTCGACTTCGTCCCGCTACAGCCCACTGTAAAGTCCCTCCTGGACCCTCTTCAATGGTCCGTGCGACCTCCTCCACTACGAACTGTCCGGTGAAGCCGCTCGCCCCGAAAACTATGAGGTGATACGGTCTCTTGCTGGACGTTTTGAGCGCCGCCATTGTGTCTTGAGATCCGCGTGACGTGACGAGGTCGGGACGATCACTTCTGCTGCACCTCCAGGGTCAGTCACTTCAGTATCAGTGCAGAAATACTGCTGAAGACAGTTTTTAATCAGATTGTGTTTCTAAAAACTGCAGATCGGCCATAAACCGTTTGTGGTGCAAAATCCAGGAACTGACACACGTTGAAGTAGAGCGACATCTTGCGCTGGAAAGAAGATATTACAGATAATGATGCAAGCAGGTGGATACTCGGAGATTGTGACCACATATTTTAACAATGTTACATATTTTATACATAAAAGTACGGAAGCTAATATTTAAATACACCTGACCAAACAATAAAGGCCAGTTGAATGTCAATTAATATAATGTTAGATAGCTGCCTTCTATTAAATTAAATCAGTAAAATGCTGTCAACTTAAAAGTTACACTGAATATGTTTCTATTTATTTACATTTTAAAATATTAATATTATTATTTTTAATACAAGTTACTTCATATGCATTCATCTGATTTAACCACAACAGCACTAACCTTCCCACATAAAAAAAAACACTGTAGTTTTTTGTAGAAAACAGTTTGGTTTTTGTAATGTTTGTGCTTTATTGAACCATATTATTGTAAAGTACTTGAATTAAATGTTGTGGTAATTCTTTAATTGCTATGATAATATAATAAAATATAATATAACATAAATATAATACAATATAATATAATAGACAAATTACATAATAATGTACTGTAAGTTTTGTACAATAATGCAATAATATATATATATATATATATATATATATATATATATATATATATATATAGCTGAACTCAGAATTATTAGCCCCCTCTGTTTATCCCCCCCCCCCCCCCCCCCCCAATTTTTGTTTAATGGAGAGCAGATTTTTTTATACATTTCTAATCATAATAGTTTTAATAACTCATTTCTAATAACTGATTTATTTTATCTTTGCCATGATGACAGTAAATAACATTTTACTAGATATTTTTCAAAACACTTCTATACAGCTTAAAGTGACTTTTAAAGGCTTAACTAGATTAATTAGGTTAACAAGGCAGGTTAGGGTAATTAGGCAAGTTATTATATAATGATGGTTTGTTCTGTAGACTAGACAGTCGATAAAAAATATAATATAAAATGAATCAGAAAAAAATAAAAACTGCTTTTATTCTAGCCGAACTAAGACAGGACTTTCTCCAGAAGAAAAAATATTAGCAGACATACTGTGAAAATTTCCTTGCTCTGTTAAACATCATTTTAAAAAGAAAAAAATTCAAAGGGGGGCTAATAATTCTGACTTCAACTGTATTAGGGTAGCAACATAGATAATATTGCATGTGAAACAGCCACTAAAATAATCACACGTTTGTGCAACAGGAGGCCATTTTATTTTAATAGTCTGTGGAGTTCTTTATGGTTGCAAAACTGTGTAGAATTTGCACCTTTTATGGTAGCCTATTGCACATTTCTAACGCTTCAGTTCGAATGCACATCTAAATCGGTTCATTTCTGTTCCTCTTAATATGATTTAGTAGCTACAACAATCCTGGCAATCTTTAAAAGAATTCCCAAAGTAAAATTTTAACTTACTTTGGATTGTTACCTGATAGGACTGATTAAAAAACAATAGATGAAAACCCCAAAATAGCAACAGGAAACATTGAAACTATTTTTTGACCACTTCATATAACCTAATTTTGTTGGCAAACATGCTCTTTTGTAACAAATTTCATTAGGTATAATTTGTACAGTTATTTTAATGTATTTTTGTTGGCCAGTTATCTACAAAATAAACAAAAGGAATAAATAATTATTAGGTGAAGTGACATGCAAATAATACTTTTTGGCCTTGAAGGAATTATGAATTAAATTTAAGTAGGCCTATTATAACATAAAATATAGCATAATTTGATTTATGTTATGACTTATAGTATTCAAATACTACTTGGTATGGCAAGGTAGCTGGTATAGTATCGTAAGATTATTAATGGTATCGCGACAACCCTATATATATATATATATATATATATATATATATATATATATATATATATATATATATATACACACTAAATTACATCACAGTTTACTGCAAGTATTTTACAGGATTTATTACAGTTTATCAGTTAATACTACAGTATGCTGATGCATTCATCCACAAAGAGTTATAGACTAGAATAGATAAAATATAATATACTTTACTATAATGTGGTTCAAAAACACTATAACTCATTTACTGTAAATTATTATATAATTTTTTCATGTGGGTTGATTTCGTGAGTGCACAAATAAAACAACTCTAAATTACTTTTAATTATATAATAAACTTTTTCACAAGAGTTCATTCCTTAAAACTGAATTGGTCTGATTTAAAAAAATATAACATTCAGCTTTCTGTTCATAATGACACTTCCATATTCAATGTGTTTTTAGACTTTTATGGTATTTTTTTGTGATGATTCACATTTTGGAAAAAACTAATTAAACAATGTGAATTAACTATACACCTATTTCAAGCATTGTTCATTTAGCATTGCGGTAATGGTTGTTAAATGATCAAGAAGGAGCACTGTGCATCTTAATGCATTGTTTGAGAAATGTTTTATTGGATTCTAATATGAATTTAGCTATGAGTCAGTGTGACTCATCATTCACTGTTTTATTATATGTGGCAATTCCATTTCATTTCGGGTCATTTTCCTTACATACAGAGGAGTGATCGACATTTATAGGTTGAGCTGTAGAATAAACCTACTTTTTAAATATTTTTGAAGAGTTTATTTGCAAAAAAAAAATTTTGTGTTGTAATTTTTCAAAATGTTGTTTTTGTTGTGCATTGAAGAGTAAAATATTGATTATTTAGGAAAAGCCCTAAAACTGTTTTATGAGTTTTATTTTGTTACTTTCAGAAATCATGTTTTTATAGTTGCAAAAATCTTGATTTCTGACAAATTCTAGAAACAGTGGTATCTGTTTTTGTAAATAACTCTGATATTATATTATTAAATTGACTCTTACATTTACAGTTGCAATCAGAATTATTCAACCCCCTTTGAATTTTTTTCTTTTTTAAATATTTTCTAATTTATGTTTAACAGATCAAGGAAATTTTCGCAGTATGACTGATAATATTTTTTCTTCTGAAGAAAGTTTTATTTGCTTTATTTCGGCTAGAATAAAAGCAGCTTTAAAAAATTTAAAAACAATATTAAGGTCATAATTATCAGCCCCTTTAAGCTATATTTTGTTTTCGAACCTAATTAACCTAGTTAAGCATTTAAATGTCAAAGCTGTAAAGAAGTCTTGAAAAATATCTAGTAAAATATTTACTGTCATCAAGGCAAGGATAAAATAAATCAGTTATCAGAAATTAGTTTAGTTTTAGTAAAACTATTTTGTTTAGAAATGTGTTGAAAAATCTTCTCTTCGTTAAATAATAATTGGGGGAAAAAATACACAGCGGGGCTAATTATTTAGGGGTAATTCTGATTGCAAATGTATATGTATAATTTTCAGTCAAAATTCAGCAGATATCATGTACTAGTTGGGAAGAAAAAGCAAAAAAACTAACGCATAAGCAACATTAATATTAAAATATTTAAATTTTCAATAATTAATTTTCTATATCTAAAACAAATGATTGCATGCTGTCTTTTACAAGATTACACAATTTTCATATTTATTCTAGCGAACCATAAAAAAATACCAAAAAAAAAAAAGTCAGAACTGATCCATTGCCATATTTGCACTTCTTCAGTCTGGTCGTGCTATTCATTATGTGCTTTATACAGTAAACTCATCATAACGCATCTACTTAATCTACTTAAGATAACACTGCTAAATGCTGTAAACCCATTTTTTGCTAATTATTTTTTATACTCTAGGAATTTCAGTGGTTACAGCACCAATATACTGTAAAGTGCCAAGTCAAAATATCTTAAAAAATAAAAATATCATATAAACATTAACAAGGAATGTAGTGTCCTGAACTGGCCTCAAAGGCAGTTTTCAATGCGAGTAGTTATTGTTACGAGGAATGGCAGTGGTATATTAGGATCATCTGCAATAGCCTATTTACACCAAGTATATTAACTAGCTAAAATGATAAAGGTTTAGTAAAAATATTATTCAAATGTAAGAGCTTACAACACGACTATCACAAAAATCTGATAAACAATAAAACACTGACACTCAAACAGAATCCACCCTGCTCTAAAAAGCTTGAACATTTAAAGAGGCAAATAGCAAAACTGAGTGCATGTTTACGATAAACAAATCATTGTTGTGCATTGATACAGATCAGTTATTGTTTTAGTTAACATTCACTGAAGGCCTTAACCCTCGGGTATTGCTCCTTTCTGGTCAAAACTGACCAAAGACAGTATAATAATTACATTTCTATGAATATTTAGTTTTTTAGTCAATATTGTCATGTTTTTATTTTAATATTTCATATATTTATGGGAATTCATGCAACAAAATAATGAACCCTTTATTCAATTATTTTCTTTTTGACTTAGTCCCTTTATTATTCTGGGGCCACCACAGCAGAATGAACCGCCAACTTTTCCAGCATATGTATTCAGTAGTTATTGGGGAGTTTTGTTCTTTATGTTTAGCATTTAGATGCATATTTCTTTAAAGATCATCAAAGATCATTTATTTTTCTGATTATTTATGATATGAAGTATCATTATTTCCATAGTGTTTTCAGTCATATCAGAAGACAAAGAAAGCTTTTGTTACTCATAATCTAGTTTAAACACCAAAAATCAGTCAGAATTGAGCTGAAAATAAAAAACATGGGATTTAGTCTGTTTCTAAAATTTTGCGTGTTTACTTGTCCTAATGCCCTAGTAAAAAGTGAAGGGGACACTGTACTGTCAGTGAGTGCTATCTTTTGGATGAGATGTTAATCCAAGGTCTTGACTCTCTGTGGTCATTAAAAAACCCAATGTTACATTTCGTAAAATGTAGGGGTGTAACCCCTGTGTCCTGGCCAAATTCCCTCTATCAGCCTTTACCCATAATGGCCTCCCAATCATCCCCATCCACCAAATTGGCTCTATCACTGTCTCTCCACTCCCCCAATAGCTGGTCCTGTGGCTGCCGTCGCATCATCCAAGCATGCCGATGCTGCACACTGGTGGTGGTGAGGAGAGACTCGCTCATGATTGTGAAGCACTTTGGGTGTATGGCCATACATGATAAATGCACTATATAAATACAGTATACTTACTGTGTGTGTGTGTGTGTGTGTGTGTGTGTGTGTGTGTGTGTGTGTGTGTGTGTGTGTTTGTGTGTGTTGAGTTTTGTACCAAATCACTTAAGTAATTATTTAGAATTCAAAACTATTTTTTTGCATTTTTGTTTAATTTCTTTGTCATTGTTTCCTCTAGGATTTTATCCAGCTGTGGTGGCAGGCCTTTTACACAGATCTACCAACTACCTATGGGATTTTTTCCAATGACAAATGTCATGAACGCTGTATTACAAGTCGAGATCGCATTTATGTAATACGAGCATGCCAATCTTTTTGCTTGTGCTCTGATTTTTTTCTTTGTGCACACAACTTCTTGCACGGCCTTAAATATACGCTGCTCAAGCACAGATTTTCTTGTGCACTCTCAAATAAATGCGACTAAAGTACAATTTAGTGCATTTATGTGACAAGTATGTCTACTAGATTTATTAGATATGCTAGGAATATGTAGGTCTCTATTAGACCTACAAAATAGTATTGATGCGTCCTAAAGTAAAGTGAAGCAGCCATAAACTCCATGTCATTGTATGAAGAACCATAGACCCTTATCTTTAAATAAAGTATAATTTTGGACACTGTGTTCATCATAATTAAAAGCTGTGTGTTGTTTGCTAGCCTCACGCATCATGCATCCCTGTCAGTCAGTCGAATGTAACCTTAAAGGGTTAAACAAATGACGCACAGCACTACTATGATTCTAGAAAAGTTTGCTTTGTTATAATTCACTTACATTTTAATATGTTTTTGCGCGGTTATAACCTGCTATTTAAAACAACTGCAACAACTGAAGGTTTTGAATGAGAAGCTGTAGCCGTGTAGCTGTGGTGGGATTGAATGTTTTTGTGACACCCCGCCATAGAAGAATAAATGTAGCGGTAACCATCATTTAGTTTCTTTTGAATGAACAACACCCGAAGGTTAAAACACAGATTTTGGCATCAATATTAAACACATTACACAAATGTAATAATGCATTAGGAAGCCCTGTGTGACTCTCTAAAGAAACATTTAATAAGGCCAGTCTGGTATTGTGCATTAGTGCATATTTTTTTCAACAGAAATACTGTTATCATCGGAAAATTAGTATAGAAAGTCAGAGTTCCACTTATGTTAGCTTGAAGCAGCTGCTATGAAGCACCAGAAGTGAACCACTGTGTAAGAGCAGCCACTGTTCGTCGTACAGGTCCAAAGTAAAAGTCCATGTTCTGAGAGAAGTCGATGCACACATTCGAGTACGCTTCTCCAAGCAGACAATAGAGAGCCGTCCCACCCAGACTGACCACCACCGTAACCACACACATGAGGAGAAGGATGAGGCAGGACGCTCTGGCCGACTCTTCTGTGTGCATGAGATGAGAAAAATTTGCTTAAAGTAGATATTTCAATCGTTTGTGCAAATATATATCAGTATAAAACAGTTGAAGTCAGAATAATTAGGCTCCCTAAATTATTAGCCCCTCGTTTATTCATTTTCTCAGTTTCTGTTTAAATGAGAGATTTTATCAACACATTTCTAATCATAATAGTTTTAATAACTCATTTTTAATAACTGATTTATTTGATCTTTGCAATGCTGACAGCGCATGATATTTTACTAGATATTTTTCAAGACACTTCTATACAGCTTAAAGTGACATTTAAAGGCTTAACTAGGTTAATAAGGTTAACTAAGCAAGTTAGGGTAATTAGGCAAGTCATTGTATAACGATGGTTTGTTCCGTAGACTATCGAAAAAAAAAAGCTTAAAGGGGCTTGACCTTAAAATGGTTTATAAAAAAAAAAAAACTGCTTTTATTCTAGCTGAAATAAAACAAATAAAACTTTCTCCAGAAGAAAGATTTTTTATCAGACATACTGTGAAAATTACCATGCTCTGTTAAACATAATTTGGGATATATTTTAAAAAGAAAAAAGGGGGGGCTAATAATTTTGACATCAACTGGACAGTAAAAAGAGAGAATTTGAATATATTTTATATTTATAATTTATTTATAAATTATAATTTACATTTTAAGAGAGAGATCATTGTACATTCATACAGTGCTCTCCATTAATATAGAGAGGAAGAACTATGAGGTTACTCTGTGGGCCAATCGGCTGTTAGCATTACACTGGTTCCCTCGATAAAATCCCCATATATTTTCCAATAGCCTTTTCTGTTATTGCAAATAACTGTGCTGTGCTATTGCTATGTTCAAAGACAGTTCATTATACTTAAAACGTTTAGTCCATTAAGATAATCTTCACATATTGGGAGTGTAACTGATGTGTTTTATGCCTTCGAATAAAATGTGAATGTATTTAGAGTTATTACAGACCTTATTTAATCAGTTTACCTGAAATTCTGTTAAAAAAAACTTTACTAATGGAACCAGTAGTGCTAAAATACTAATTTGCTTCCAGGTTTTTGCATACAAATTCTGTTTAGCTACTAAATGTTTGTCTATTGTTTAGCCTTTTGGTTTTTTCCTCCAAGTATTAGGAGTTGAACGAGAGTTGAGGCTTTTTTCTTGAAAGCTTTTCAAGCAATTTGTGGTGTTGAAGATGAGACTTTCTGACCCAATAACTTACATTTTTATAACTATTCTTTGGGACAGACAGACACACAACCTTTTCCATTCTGAATCATTACACTTCCCATGGGCCGGAGTTTCTTCCTTACTCCTCTATTGGTGGTCATTTTCAGTGTTTTTGTTATTTTCCTAAAGGGATTGTTCACTCCAATTTTTTCCCCATCAGTAATATAGCAGGAAAAACAAATCCTATGTAAATCAGTGGTTACCGATTTACAACATTCTTCAAAATATCTTCTTTTGTGTTTAAGAGAAAAAAAATAAATAACAATATAAGTTAAACTGGTATGGAGCACGTCAAGGGTGAGTAAATAATGACAACATTTATATTTTTGGGTGAAATATGCCTTGCTTTTAAACCCATTTCATATTATATGAAGCCCAAGAAGCTTGCCATATATCATTTTACCCGAGTGTTTCTTCATATTTATTGCCTTGTAAAACAGCAGGTCAAGGTTGAACAATTTTCTGTTCCAAGTCAACCAGATTTAAAATACCAATGGGAAATACTTAAACATATATTGCTTACGTATATGAACTCATAGGGGTGCCATAATATTTTGTATTGAATTAGGTTTAATTGCTATATTTAATATTTTGTAATAATGTAATTTACTAATTTTGTTCAAAGGTTTAACATTTAAGAAATATTTTCATCAACTTTTCATATTTACCAAGGGAGCCAATATTAGCAGAGGACCCTGCATAAAGGCTTTAAAATGTGGTGAAATCTTACCTTGTTCAAAGGTATTGTCTGGCTCTCTGAAGCGGACTTTGCGTTTGCTTGAGTCTTTTTCTGAATCGCCGACTTCCTTGATGCAGATTCTCTTCTTTAAAATAGACACTAAGCCATTTGAAGGAAACATCTACAGAAAAATCAGAAAGACCGTATGAAAGAGGCTGTACTAAATCGATAATTTGTAGTAAACATATCTAGAAAATAATGTAATACCACTCATTTACCACAAGAGGTCGGTAAGTACAACACCATAATGAAATAATAGGAATATTCCACTCCCGATTCAATTCATTATGCTATGCTAAGCTAAAAGTGACCCTGCCAGAAAAAGAAATTTGCTGAATGGATTAATACATATTTTGAGGCAACTGTTTATCTCTAGGGGACTTGTAAAATGAGCCAAAAAGTGGACTGTTCCTTTAAGTGTGAACTGAACATAACATTACCAGACACTTGACTGCATGTTTCCATCAAAAGAAAAGCATATTATGGTTTAAATATATACAGGCCCTACATTTTATTAGGCGTCTTTATTAGTTTGTAGTCATGTTGTATTGTAAAACACGTTTACTGCTGTTGAACTGGCATACAGGTTAAATGGATGAGTAAAGGATTTGAAGTTTGTTTCAACAGTGTAAAACATAATACAAGAAAGACTTACAGATGTATCACATGCAGGCGTTTTTAAATATAAGTACAATATGAAAATTGGTAGCATTTTAGAACACTCTAGAACACTCTGTAACATACAGTGGATCTCAAACTTGATTCCCGGAGGGCCGCAGCTCCAACTCTAATCAAACACAGCTGACCCAACTAATCAAGACTGTTCAAATCTACTTGAGACTATTAAGCAGGTTTGAGTTGGAGATGGTTGGAGCTAAACTATCCAGAGCTGTGGCCATCTAGGAATTGAGTTTGAGACCACTGCTTTATAACATTCCATTTTTTTTAAATCAATGCATCAAAAATCTATAAGAAAATTTGAATACCTACATTGATATACATATCCTCTATTCTCTTTTCTAAACATTTATATCAAAAAGTTACTTGGATTTATTTACACTTTACAGCCACAGCCATATCACCCTGCAGCCCAAGACCGGTTACTCACTGAAGCTAAGCAGGGCTGAGCCTGGATAGTACCTGGATGGGAGACCACTAGGGAACACTAGGTTGCAGTTGGAAGTGGTGTTAGTGAGGCCAGCAGGGGGCGCTCAACCCGTGGTCTGTGTGAGTCCTAATGCCCCAGTAAAAGTGAAGGGGACACTACACTGTCAGTGGGCGCCGTCTTTCGGATGAGACGTTAAACCGAGGTCCTGACTCTCTGCGGTCATTAAAAATCCCATGGCACTTCTCGTGAAAGAGCAGGGGTGTAACCCCGGTGTCCTGGCCAAAGTCCCTCTATCGGCCCTTACGATCATGGCCTCCCAATCATCCCCTTCCACCGAATTGGCTCGATCACTGTCTCTCCACTCCACCTATAGCTGGTGTGTGGTGAGCGCACTGGCGCCGTTGTCCTGTGGCTGCCGTCGCATCATCCAAGTGGATGCTGCACACTGGTGGTGATGTGGAGAGACCCCCCTCATGATTGTGAAGCGCTTTGGGTGTATGGCCATACACAATAAATGCGCTATATAAATACACATTACATTACATTACACTATTTTACCCCTTTTTCAATATTAAAAATAAGTCTTTTGTGTCTCTAGAATGTGTCTGTAAAGTTTCAGCTCAAAACACCCACCATATTTATTATACCTTTCAGAATATTGGAATTTTCTGCTCTAAACGCAATTTGCTGTTTTTGTGGCCTGTGCCTTTAATGTTAGTTCTTCCCGCCCACCGTTCCCACATGCCTGTCAGTGTACCTCAATCTCCGTCTTGGCTGTGTAAGATAAACAGCACAGTGACAGACATGAAGAAAGCAGATCTCACGTAACATTTGTGAGAAATACTACAATAAGAACTTTCCCAATGATTATTTGATGTATTTGTTGAGGAGTTAATTCAAGTCTTTGGATAATTCACACACAATATTGTTTCATTGTTTTTGCAGGCAAATGTGACAGGATACACGCCTGTATGGATATCTGTTATGTTAATGTACAAAATAAACCTGATTTAATGTCCACAAACCAGGATTGAAGCATCTTCTTTTATAATTGTTCAGACACGCGGCTGTGGTGATAAAGTAAAGCTGAAGTAAATCGCTGTAATTCATTACAAACATGCACTTTTTAAAAAAAACGTTGTGAACTTGTTAAACTCATTCTTGATCACGTTTGTTGATTGATGATCAGAGAGCTGAACAGATCTTTTAATCCCAGTTGCTTTGCGCACATCCTGTCTTGTTGATACAACGAAAACAGATTAATACGCGGCTGTCAATCAATTCGGTGGGCGGGAAAACCGCACTCCTACATTGTGTTCCAGTGAACCTCAAAATGGCAGGGATTTGGATCCTATTTTAACGTCATGAAATTAAAAAAGAGACTTATTGTCTTTAGATCACTCTAATATGACTATGGACACACTATACCTACACAGTTCTGTACAAAAAGCTTACAAAAGTTGATTTTCATCATAGGTGCCATTTAAAATACTTAAGATGAGTATAATACTATTTCTCTTTTAATTGCCCAATTCATTTTGCCCAATTTAAGTCTTTCATAATACACTTAAGTATTATGTATTTTAATAATATAATGCTGTCTATATTTTGAAGTCCACAATTACTTTAATTAAAAACATACTTAAAACAATAGTTTACCCAAAAATAAAAATGCAGTTATCATTTCAGGCCCATAGCCAGCCAAGTAAAAGAGGTGGTTCTTTTTTCCCAAAAAGTGGACCTTTTTGCGGCCTTCTTTAGGCTGCTATTTAATTATGAGATTTAAATACTGCATTTTAGTGACATTTTAAGCTTCTACTTTAGCGAAATAGATTGTCGGACGGTCATCATAACAAAAAAAGTACATTTGAAAATTTATGTATAACAACAATAGCCAAAATAGTATTCAAATTAATTTTAATATCGTCTCCTTTGGTGCGTCACACTTTTTCATGGGTCATTTTTTGTTCCAAGCTTTAGATAAAAATTACTTATACAATATTTTCTCTATTTAAAAGCCATAGTCTAGTGAAAGATTACTTCACTTCATCAGATTGTATGTTTACTTGCACAGCTGGATGTCATGAAAAATAATTGTTGCATTGGCCAAAACTGATTAGCTGAAGTCACACCAAAGTGACAGCCAACAGAGGATTCCACTTGGTCCAAAAGCCTTTTTCAATGGATTATTTTCACTATTTATGATGGCATAGCAGTCAAAATAGAAAAAATGAGCTCACGTATGGGACAAATTCTGGACCTTTGTCAGTGAGGGGTGGCTCATCAGTCATGTATGACTTTCTTACTTTAGTAAAAAATAGTACTTGCAGTCAAACTGAAAGTAGTCCAAAACGTTATACAACCCACTTATTTTCATTGTACTGTCAAACAAAGGTTCAGTGCAACAACATGAGAGCTAATAAAAATGGCAGAATTTCTCATTTAAGAGAACGTTCCCTATAAAGTTGATCCTCTAATGCTAGTTTCAATAATATGCCAGCCTATTTCTAATTTGGTAAAGTCAAATCAGAGGCCCAAAAAAAGTGCTGAGAGTCTTCAAAACACTGTAAAATAACTGTCTGCAACTAAAGTCTGAGGGACATTTTATTTGACTCAAAAGATCTCTTTTAGTGAGTAGCATGCAATAGAAAGTGTTTCTATTTTTGGAGCTGTGATGTGCCAGCAGTTTCTTTTTTGTTGTTGTTTTAGTGGTGGAACACCCTTGCTGAGTTTTTGGCTAATGGAGGTGCATACTTTTGTCTAATTGTTGCTGTACACCAAGTAAACAAACAAATCATGTGTGTGTGTGTGTGTGTGTGTGTGTGTGTGTGTGTGTGTGCGCGTGTGTGTGTGTGTGTGTGTGTGTGTCTGTGTGTTTGGCAGTGCAGGAGAAGGTTCATGCAGTCGGGTTGTTATTTAAGACAACCACACCCAACAGCTTTGGGAAACCATACACTCCCCAAACGATGCTTTTTTAAAATTCCTGCATCTGGCTGCCATAACACAGCGATGACATCACACTATCTGCTTTCCATAAAGCAAAGAAACCCTGCGGCTAAGAGATGTGGTCTGAGAGTTGGAAGAAAGCCTTGACTGACCTTTCACAAAGTCATAAAAAAATCCATTTGGGGACATGAATTAATACATCACTGCACTACGGAACACAATCCATTCAGAGAGCGACTGCTTTGCGGCAGGGATGGGTAAAAATGCATTATAGATATATAACAGATATTAGTCAATCATCTTTTATATATATTCTGTATCCCAGGACTTTTGAAGTGTGTTTTTTCTAAGAGCAAATCGGGGGAAGCAGGGCAAAATGATGTATAGAGGAAAAATGAAGACAAAATGATATATATTAATGTAAATCGACAGATGTTTCTATATACTTTATCTGTATGCAGAGCAGAAATGATTATATCAGGATTTCTGCAGATTTCACCAAGTCAAATGTAAGCCTTTTTAAAACCTTTTTCTGAATATTATGAATGGAATTTCAGACTTAGACCACAAGCGCTGAGGTTAGAAAAGTATTTTACTGGGTCCATCAAAAACAAATCAAATTTATTAATTTCTTAGCCACATATTTTAAATAATGTGTCAAAACAAGCAAACTTTAGTTGTGAGCATACTCATTTATTTCAACATAACTTCTTTTAAAATTAACGAGTTTTAAAAACCATAATACAACTAAATGTGTGCACAATAATCTGTATAGGTTAGTGTCCTCACCAGAAAATACATGGAGAACCTTTTAAAAATGATATTGTAATATAATCAGGAAGATAATCAAACCATATTGGTAAATTGAGTTAACAAATAACACCTTTGGTTGAGTGGTAATGTGCTGATTGTGTAGCTGTACATGGACATAGGAAATTAAGACCTGTTTAAAATTATTTAAAACCAACAACACAATATTTCAGTAAATTTAAGACTTTTTAAAACCCTTCATTATACAGTGCATCTGGAAAGTATTCATAGCGCTTCACTTTTTCCATAATTGTTTATGTTGCAGTCTTATTCTGAACACAAATTTTGTCACAGTTTCGGAGCACACTAGCTAATAGACATCTTAAAAACTAACAATACTGATACTAACATCTAAATAACTTTAATTTCATGGGACCTTTAATGTTAGTTAAAGTGCAGGAAATCAAAATGTACAATTTTTATCTACCTAGCACACATTGTAGTGTTTTGCTGGTTTATTTAGTGTATTCTTACTTAAAGTAACCTCTGAACAGACATTTCAGACGTTACTATAAGTCAAATGATACAGACTATGCATCTAATTTTACTTTACTTTTAGGTTATATATGTAGATAGAAACACAAATGTCATGAGAAAAGTGTCTTGTTGTTAACACTTACTATGTCTATAGGTGCTCTAGATCTGCAGATTATACATTCACAATGGTATGAACCGTTATAGGCATGCTGAAATGTATATTTATCTGATTTTTTAATTAATATTTAAGAGACAGAGAAACCTATTTCTCACTAATAAAGTACTGAGCCCTCCCCTATACAGTACATCTTGTTTTAACGTCCTTCAAAGGGGATCAAGCGATAATTAGGAGAGTCAACCCCCCCCCCAAATCCCCCTGTAATTCGCACCCTGGTTCTAATGCACTCATAAACCTAATATATAGTGTTTACTGATGTTTAATTAGAAATATCAATAACCAATTTAATCAATAATTAGATCGTAAGAGCTTGTGAATAGGAATGGAATCAGGACATCTGAATCATTACCCAGCTCTGGTTTGTTTGAGACTGCAGCAGACGGATGGTGTCTCAGCATGCTTGTTTTTTCTCAAGGCAGATGGTAATAAGAGAGAGATTAACATGGCTCCTGTGGTGGCGTACCTCTTCTACCTGAATGAGGTTGTCCAACTCGTCCACAGGAGTCTGGAGCTCCGTATCCTCCTGTAGCTCCTCATTCCAGCACTCGTCCTCCTCGAGACCTTCATCCTCCTCTTCCTCCTCCTCACTGAACTCGCCATCATCTTCTGGCTCGCATTCAGCCTCCAGTGAGATCTGGTTCACTGAAGCTTGCTCTTGTTTTGATTTGCTTTCAGTCTCATGGGTTGGGCTAGTTCGCAGTTTTACGGCCTCCATGTTCTGCAACAACAGACACTTCGATCACACTCACAGAAAGAGAAAATAAAATGCATTGGAGGAGAATAAGGAAGTTGTAATGTTTTACCTTTTGCACAGAGAGGTTTGGTCTGAAAGAAAGTTTTGTCAGATTATTAATGGAGAGATGGATTTTCGTTTTGTTTTTTACAATTCTGTATGTACACAGAAGGCAATTTTTTTTAACATAACAGTGTTAATAATACATTTCTAATAGCTCATTTATTTTGTCTTCCCTATTATGACAGTAAATAATATTTAGCTTTTTTTGCAAGACACTAGGATTTAGCTTAAAATTCTAAATTAAGTAATTCAGCTAGTCCAATTAAGTTAATTAGAGTGGCAGTGATTTGTTCTGTATCTAATCCCAAAAATTATAATTTCTTCATTTATGCATTTTTTTTTGGCTTAGTCCCTTTATTAATCAGGGGTCACCACAGCAGAATGAACCGCCAACTTATCCAGCATATGTTTTACCCAGCGGATGCCCTTCCAGTTGCGAAACAACACTGGGAAATACCCATACACAATCATGTATTTTGGTGCATTTAAACAAAATTGATTAAAACAGATATATTTATTAAAATAGAATTTTAGTCACAGAACATCTTCAGAAACAGAAAGATAATACATTTAAACTCATATGAAAAACTGCAAAAACAACAACTAAAAACTAACCCATTTCAACAAAATTGTATATATTTTTTGTTTCTTTTGATTTTACCTCTTTTTTTATTTTTATTTAATATTTTCACAAATATAATATTGTAAATTTAAAAGAGAGATTGTGCTGGATATACTCATATATGCTGAGCACTGTGTATATATATATATATATATATATATATATATTTATCAATCAATCAATCAATCAAATATATATTTATTAGAACAGTGAATAAGTCAAATTTCAAGTAAAAGGAAACCTCATTTAGCTAAAAAAAAATTTCACGTAAAAAAAAACAAGTAAAAAAGTTCCGATTTATGTCATTGTTCTTCCCAATAGTTTTAACTTGATGACACAAGGTGAGGTATTGAACATTTTAAGTAGGAAAAAAACTAATAATAATAATAATAATGATAACAATAATAAAAACAACAACAATAATAAAAGTATAATTTTCTGTTGGTTTGGATGGGGCCTCACCTCTTGTGCGTTCTGCAGATGTGACTCAACACTTCCATTCGCTCTCTCTCTTTCTCAGCTCCATTAGTGACTAACGGAGAGTTACTTTCAGTTTTATCACTCATTTTCCTCTGAGCCTCTGAAACCAAACACACTCATTTAAATGTTTACCCAGTGTGTCTCCTTTTCTCTATTCATCCGTTACATATAGTTGAAATCAGAATTTTTTGCTCTCCTGAATTATTAGCCCACCTGTTTATTTTTCCAACTTCTTTTTAACAAAAAAAAATGTTCAACACATTTCTGAACATAATAGTTTTAATAACTCATTCCTAATAACTGATTTATTTAATCTAGTTTCCATGATGACAGTAAATAATATTTTACTAGATATTTTTTAGGATACTAGTATTCAGTTTAAAGTGACATTTAAAGGCTTAACTAGGTTAATTAGGTTAACTAGGCAGGTTAGGGTAATTAGGCAAATCATTGTATAACAGTGGTTTATTCTGTAGATAATGGAAAAAAATATTGCTTGAGAGGGCTAATAATATTGACCCTAAAATGATTTTTAAAAAATTAAAAACTGCTTTTATTCTAGTCGATATAAAACAAATAAGACATTCTCCAGAAGAAAGAACATTATAGGAAATACTGTGAAAAAATTCCTTGCCTTGTTAATCATCACTTGGGAAATATTTGAAAAAGAAAGAAGAAATTCACAGGAAATCCTATAAGTTTGACTTCAACTCTATACTGTATATAATAGGTCTCAAATTCAATTCCAGGAGGGCCGCAGCTCTGCACAGTTTTGCTCTAACCCTAATCAAACACAGCTGATTCAACTAATCAAGGTGTGCAAGACTAGAGACTATTAAGCAGGTGTAAGTTGGAGGTGATTGGAGCTAAACGATGCAGAGCTGCGGCCATCCAGCAATTGAGTTTAAGACCTATGCTGTATATGCTCACAGAATACATGAAGGCTATATAATAATGCATATCACTTTCTGCAAAATAATGTTCTAACAAGTCTTGCTCTCTGTGACGTTCTTGATGTTTCACTTTCACAGTGAGCTCAGATAAGAAGGGAGAGTCTGACCTCTGGACTTCAGTGATATGGTGAAGTTACAGAGACTGAGTTGGGAAATGAGTACATTTCCTCAGATCAAACCGTACAGCTGCTGTTTACTTACACAGGATGAGACTAGTTATTTAACATACAACAGTACTGGCCCACTAGGCTCATCCTCAATAGATAAAACAATACTTTCAGGAAATCCTCTAGCATGAACAATGCAGCCTCGTTAAAACCTTGTTTTTTTATTATCAAGCATTATCATCTGACATTCTTACCCCATTTCTCTTGTACGGAGGCCAGATTAGAGAGCAGTCTTTCATGATACAGTTTTTCCAGATGAAGAAACTCCACTGCCCACTTATCTGAGATGGTCAAGGGTTAAAGAAATGCATGCTTAAAAATATGTTCTATAAAAATATGCTTTATAGCCAAAATATTCTTACCTAAGCTACAAATAGGTTTTTCTTCCCTTTTCTGGACACATGTGTGAGTGATAAGTCTTGAGTGGTCAATTCTACATAGTTTATGTATAACCTGATTGTGTCAATTTTCAAATTGGTAACTATTTATTTTAATTCACTTCATACAATTTGTTGTTTATGTATTCATGTGTGTGTACAGTACATACAGGACCAAATTAATGTTTGAGATATTTTATTTGATTATTTATTTATTTGTTTATTTTAGAATTTAGTACTTTCATTCAACAAGCATGCATACAAAGAGATAATAAAGACTTGTATGTTATTTGTAATGGATGTTGAACACTAAAATAAAGAAAAAGTAACATATAACATGTAAAAATGTAAATGTATTAGCATTTTTGTATTAGAAATCTTCTAAAATGTTATGTTTAAATATGACAATATGTCATTAAATGTACTCATTTGCTTAAATTTCTAGCAGAAAAACAAATCTGCAAGTCAGGATGAAGTCAAGTTTATTAATTCATTAATTTTCGGCTTAGTCCTTTTATTAATCTGGGGTCGCCACAGCGGAATGAATCGCCAAATTATCCAGCATTTATTTTACACAGCAGATGCCTTTCCAGCTGCAACCCATCATTGGGAAACATCCATACACACCATTCACACAAATACACTAGGGACATTTTAGCCTATAATTCACCTGTACCACATTTTTTGGACATGTGGGGGAAACCGGAGCAACCAGAGGAAACCCACGCAAACACGGGGAGAACATGCAAACTCCACACAGAAAAGCCAACCTACTCAAATCAGCGACCTTCTTGCTGTGAGGCAAACATGCAACCCACTGCGCCATTATGCAGCCAAAGTCATGTTAAGGTTTTAGTTATTATTTCATTGTTTTGACATTAAAGTCAATGCTTTTTTTTTTTACAGAGGGGCATTTTGGGAATCAGAAAATACAGTGTAGAGCAAGAATAAATACATTTTCACAGTATTCAGTAGAAAAAAATGTTGTATATAATCAGGAAACCTACATATGAACACATCCCTCTGTATAAAGCTTAAGAATGTATGGCTTAGTGAAAGAAAAATTAAGAAAAATATCATTAAAAAATTGTTGTTAAAATTTACAGACATTGATAAAGTGTTATAGAATAAACATTTTACTGTGTAATTTGTCTGTTTTCTTTACATTAGACTAAAAAAACACTTTATGAAAAGTCACAATTGACAGGTGCATGAAAAAAGCACTTCACATTGAGACAGAAAACAAAGTAATAACAATATTTCACTATTACTGTTTTACTGTCCTCTTGATCAATTAAACCTAGTACCCAATACCAAAACTTAATTTCAAAAAGAAAGATCATATAATTATCAGAGGTGAAACACCTTTCTGCTTTTCTCAAGACGACTTCAAAATCTATCAACATCCTTCCTTTAGCACAACACCCTAGAAAGTCAACATGAAAAGACACACCCTAATGAGCTCCCTCATGGTTACGCGTGCCCTCGTCAACATGACAACATCATCAACAGGGACCATTTATTGATATTAAAAGAAAGACAAAGAGGAAACAGACAGAAATCAAGTGTAATATACAAAAGGATACAGTCCTCTTCAAGGAAGTAGCCCTCTGCTATCTGTTATAAAAGAAAAACAAATATTAAGCTTACCAATTCCTGGATTGTCATTTCTATCTCCCAAAGACGATTTACATGCCTCTCAATCTCCGCTAATAGAACTCAGATTAAGAAAAACTGAACTAAAGACTAACGCTCATGAGGAGTTTTAATGCCAGTGAGTGTGGATGAGAACTGAAATAACTGCTTTATCTTTGCTTATCTAATGCATTTGCTTAATGTAGGAAAATGAATCGTTTACTCCTGTATTGTTGATTTTATCTAACTAAAATAATCTCATTTAGGGGAAATTCTCTCTTCCTATTTATAACTCTACTGGGAGATTACGAAAACAACTCCAGTGAGAACATTTCGCTAGTTTGTCTTGTTGACAGATCTGATTATAAATGTGCATGGTGTTTAGTCCAAAAGTTTTAGAGTTTTTTTACATGCAGTCAAAATTTGAAGAAAAAAATGACTACTTTTTTAGTAATACATGTACTGTATCCTGTTTAAGCAAAAGTTTTAGAGTAAGTTAAGAGGAAAAAGGGGTTTAAAGAATATGATCACTTAAAGGGGACCTATTACTTAAAAATCATAGGAAATAAATCTGAAAAAATAAAGAATTGTGTTGTTTGAACTCATTTTAAATAAGTAGTTTAACAAGCAGCAAAAGTCATTTTGAGTGCATTTTCATGGATTAACACAACAGCTTTGCCAGCAATCTTTTCCTCAACCCTGACTTATTCTGATTACATACCCCTATGTACAATTCAGGAGAGAGCAAAATCCGTCCCAGGAGCTATGTTTTTTTTGCTTTCTCGAATCCACCAGAGGCCGCAGTGTACGCATTTTTTAGATCTCAAATTCTCTTACGAGTGCCTTTCGCGCCTGCTGTTCTTATGTAAATCCATCAGAAGTCACATGTCGACAGACTGATTTACTGACTGACCAACCGACCAATCCCCTGACCCCCCTTTCCCTAAACCCAACCAATAGTGTTTTAAAATGTACGGATTGACCCGCTCACCACCTTCCCTAAACCCAACCTGTGTTTTAAAAAGCAATCCAGGAAAAGAAAAGCCCTGTGGTTTTATCACGTTTTCAAATTTTACCACATTTTTTAGCTTTTGTTTTTGTCTTCCCTGATTTCTGGAACTGTTCTTCGCCGGACACAAACCCCATTGTTGCAGTCAACTCCGCTCTGCGTCTCAAGTCCACCGACGTACATGTCAAGCTACCGGAAAAAAAAACTAGTAACAGTGGAAAAGACGTCCATACAGAGGTAAGTGGTCAGCTGGTAAGCGCGAGAGCATCATTATACCACCCCGTATCGTTCATTTTAAAGACGAAATGCAGCCATACGTAGCTTTGGCTACACAATTCGCAATCTCCAGAAAAGTGTATAGGGCTACGTTTTCATTATGAGCCTACACTGTAAAAGTGCATGGTTTCACACATTTCATTCACGTTGTCCCAACACAAACTGATTAAGTTGACTTAACACTTTTAACAAATTTATATGGATCGACCATAAAAAAATTACGTTGTCCCATTGAAATCTCAAGAATTGTGTTGTTTAAACAAATTTTAAATTAGTTTAAATGAACAAAAAAAATTTTTGAGTGTATGTTGGTCTTTTTACTAAAGAAGGTTGAAGTGTGACATAAAATACCTTCGTAAATAAGTACAAGATAAATTCACATACACTGTAAAAAATGCTGGGTTCCACAAAAATCCATCACATTGTCCCAACACAAGTAAATTAAGCTAAAACTTAATTGTCTTTACAAATTTAAGTGGACTGAACATAAAACAAAAATCTCAAGAATTGTGTTGTTTCAACTAAGGGTGCTTTCACATCTGTAGTTCGCTTCATTTGGTCCAGACCAAGGGTAATAAATGATACATTGTTGCATCTTCTGCCGTCTTTGGGTCGTTTTCACACCACACTGCTGGCTTTGGTCCAAACCAGTTGAAACGAACCAAAATGCAGTCATCTGACAAAATCCACATCTCTCATTGGCCAGATGTTGTTGAAGATATTTCGTAAACTGCTTATTGATTGGTCAGAATTCACGTGCGGGAAAATGCCAGTGAACTCCCGCAGGTAAACAAAACCTTTTACTCTGGAGGGACGACTGCGCTGACTGATTGTATCCCTGCTTTAGACAAACTATACATTACGAAAATGAAGCGCGGCCGCAGCTGGAAAACAGTGTTTAATGCATCGCTCGTCACTTCAGGAGGAGACGTGAATTAATTTAGCTGAAATGCGACATGGTCATCTTGCTGAAATATTACCAACGATCTATCAGGTAATATTTTCCCCTCTTTCTCTCTCTCTGTTGGTACAGCGCTGTCAACAAATTTTTTTCCTCCATATCCCATAATGCACAGCGCATCGGCCTACGGCAGCTGAATTAGTCCAAAACGCGCAGTACTTTTTGCGGTTGGACCTGTTTTAGTACGGATCATATTCTCACCACAAACTAACCGCTCCAGGGTTCGTTTGAAAACGTACCGAGACCACCTCTTCAAGCAGGTCTCGGTACGCTTATTTTGTCCGCTTTTGGTGCGCACTAGAGTACGATTGCTGCATTCTCACCTGCCCAAACGAACCGTACCAAAAGGGGAAACAAACTCTAGTGCGATTCAATCGAACTAAATAAGGCAGGTGTGAAAGCATCCTAAGTTATAGTTTGAACTATGAAATATTATTTTTTGAATGTATCACACAATGAAATACCATCTGAACGAAACATATATGCTTCCTTCAAACTGAAATCATGGTGAAATATGTTGTGGAGTCAACTTTGCATGGCACTTACGGTCAAAATAGAACAAACATCTGAATTGAAAAGAGAAACATTAATTCATATTAACTCGTTCAAAGCACACACACCTGGTGTAAGGAATGTGGAAGGAGCATGTGATCATTGTGTTCAACCAGAGCATGCAGTGAAGCCAGAAGAGAAGGACTTGGTCCAGGTGCCAAAATCCCAGGAAGACCCTCTGAACAGAAAGAGAGAGATCACCGCATGAGAAAAGTCACAAACACTGCAGAATTATTACTTCAGCACATTATTAAAGCAGGTGGATTTTGACCATCACTGTAAAATAAAAGATGTGTTTTTGTTTGTGTACTTGTTTATGTGGTTTACGAGGACAAAAGAATTTGTAATGAGATGGGTATGACCTTGGTGTTACATTATTAAGGTGGTTTACGAGGACATGTCTGGTGTCCTCGTAATTCTAAAAACATAAAAAAACATATTTAACAGAGTCTTTTTACAATCATATTTGCCACAGGGTTTTGTGAGGGTTGGGTTTAGGGGTGAGGCCATATAAGGTAAGGTTAGGCCATGTAATAATAAGTGGCTTTTACAGTATAATATAAAGGATGCCCATGGAAAGTATCATAAACCATATACTGTATACAAGTGTGTGTTTACTAAAATAGGATTACTAAGTTACACAAAATTACTTGTTTTAGGACACTTTAGGTAAGTTTATTCTGTTTTGGGAAAGTTAATTTGGAAATGTAATTGATTACAGATTTCCCTATTTAAAATGTAACCAGAAGTGTAAATTCTTTCAATTAATTTATTAATGTAACTTAATGTGTAATGTGATTACTTTTTACATTTTAATGAGTTTTCAACTGTTAACCTAACAGTAGTACTTAGTACTGTCAGACATTCCTATATAATATTATAATAATAGTCTTTTAAAACACACCCACCATAAAATTGTAATTTGGAAAATACATACTTAAATTATTGATAGGATTGATGGGTATTATTCTATTATTATACTATACAGTATACTGTTATTATATTACTATAGACAAAAGGTGCTGCAAATAAAGATGAGATATTTAACATATCCTAGGTTTTATAGTAAAATGTTTAAATGTCTCTTTAACATTTTCATATATAACTGCCATTTGATTACCTAAGTAATCATGCTTTTCTCAGTAACTGTGACAGACTACAGTTACATATATTTTATAATTTATATAATGCCACTACATGTAACTATTTACTCTAAAACATGTACATTACAAGTAACTATTTACTCTACTAACCATAACTTTCTGGTCCACATCTCATTCCAAACTTGAAAAATGTTAATTAATATTTTAAACAAGTATAATTCATCAGTGTACTCTTAAATGTTGTGTTAAATTGAATTTTAATATACATTTTTGACTGAATTAAAGTCTTTATTTATTTATCAAGAGAAGAAAAAGCTTACTATGATCTCCAGAGCAGCTCTGGCTCTTATTATTTGCTGGACATCTCTCTTCTGGGTTTATGTTCTTGAGCTCATGTGTATCATCCTCCGCGTTCATGACTTCTGTTTCTGGCAGTTTGTTCTGATTCTCATCAGAGACTGTCAGGTAAGAGATGATCATGTCCTCTGATGCTTTGTTGATTCCACTCGTCTCTTTCCATCTCACCGATTTCCTGCTTTCGGACTCCCCCATAACTGTGATGTGATGACAAAGAAGATAGACCATAATCCAAATGAAACCATATCTATCTTGAAAATGTTTTTTTAAATTCTTCACCCTTCTGTCGCTTACGCATGTCATATCAGCCATCAAAGAAAGAATTCAGAGAGGAAACACTAGAAGGACAGGTTTTGTGTTGCTAAACCTTTTTTTAAGGCAGATTTTTGGGCCTTACTTGAGTTGGTTTGTTTTTTCCTGACAAAATATATTGTAAATTTTTGTTAAACATATTTTCTAACTTTTAAGTAAATCAAGAAATATGTATAATGTATAAATATTCAATATATATATATATTTAATTGAAACTTTATAAACCAAAATATTTTTAGAAATGTATTTCAGGGTCAAGAAAATACATTGCCAAGACAGTAAGTCATTATTTAATCAAAAAATTGTTTAGATGCACTGCATTCTAAAACTTCTAACAAAATAGAGTAACATAAATCTGAACGTTTGATAGACTGTCCTCTAGTGGTACATCCCAATGCAATTTCTTTTAAAATAACAGGGCAAATATATTGTTACATGACTTTATGTACAATGCCCAGCATAAACAAGTACAACCCAATTTCATTCATTCATTTTCCTTCGGCTTAGTCCCTTTATTCATCAGGGGTCGCCACAGCGGAATGAACCGCCAACTTATCAAGGATACGTTTTACACAGCGGATGCCCTTCCAGCCGCGTGTCCTAGTAGTTAGTTCATTCAATTCACCTATAGCGCATGTCTTTGGACTGTCAGGGAAACCGGAGCACCCGGAGGAAAGCCATGTGAACACAGGGAGAACATGCAAACTCCACACAGAAATGCCAACTGGCCCAGCCGGGGCTCGAACCAGCGATTCAGTGTTAACCAATGAGCCACTGTGTCGCCCTACACCCTATTTTGAATATGAATATTTTTATCTATTTCTCAGTGAATGCAGACAATCTATTTTAGTGCATTTGAACAAAACTGATTTATTAATCGTTAGTGTTATGTCCATTAAAATGATACTTTGGTCACCCAACATTTTTCGAATTAGAAAGAAAACAGAAAAAAAAACATACTACAATATCTCAACTACATTTTAGATATTTATGTGTTTGTCTTGTTTTTTCATCTTTTTAAACATTTTATTTAACATTTTCCCTATCATACAAGTTTGGGTGTACAAATTTCGGACTGTTTTCCTAAGTTATTTTTGCTATAGATTAGCTCCAGATTTGACTTTAGTACTGACAAATCTAATGTAATAATATTGTAATACTGTAAAGCAGGGGTGTCAAACTCAATTCCTAGAGGGCCGAAGCCCTGCATAGTTTAGTTCCAACCCTGCTCCAACACACTTACCTGTAGGTTTCAAACAAGCCTGAAGGACTCAATTAGTTTGATCAGGTGTGTTTAATTAGGGTTGGAACTATGGAACTGTGCAGAGCTGCGGCCCGTTTGGAACTGAGTTTGACACCTGTGCTGTAAAGTATCCTATAAAAAATATTAATTTAAAAGACAGATTTGTAAGGAGTGTCCTCATATATGCTAAGCACGAATTGTCTTGTTTTAAAATATGTTTTACAAAATGCAAAATATGGCCTAAAATCTATTGGTATAAGGTATATTTAGCAAAATAAAATTTAGTTGTATTTCAGCAAATTTTTGGATCATTTATTTGGATTGTGAAAAATAGTAATACTAGTATATATAATAGTCCCATTCAGAAAATAAAAGTAAAAGATTGATACATATATCTTCTTTTTCTAAATAGCACTCATGAAGCTGCCACAAACACAAACCGCCCAGGTGTTTTCAAAACCAGGGCTGGTCATAAAAGCAATGAATAATTCATGAAGTGGGGGCTCTTGTCTTTCACTCTATCTAGGCATTTTGAAGAATGGTCACTGAAACCAAAGACAGAGAGATGGAAGAAGGTGTCGGTGAGTTTTTGCATCGTAAATAAAGTGTTGTTGTCTGTGTGGAAACAGAAAAGGGCAAACAATGAGGTGAAAAATGCTGAAAGAAGACATGACCACAACTGGTCAGATCAGTGTCAGTGAACCAAAAGCAGAGTTAACATCTATACAGACTACTTTGATTGACACTAAACCGAAAAAAAAATTTGTTCGCACAAATCAAGATTTGTATTTTTTAATTTTTTAATTTTTTATAATGTATAAATTTCAAATAACTTATAACAAAATAATAATAAAAAAATAATAAAAATAATACAATTGTTAAAAAAATAACATAATTCTTTTAGAATATTTATTTTCTCCAGACTTTTGTAAGAATAAGTCATATGGACCACTTTTTATGCATTATTTGGTTTTTACAATAAATTCTAGGACCCTGAACACACCCGTGTGGGCCTCTGGCAGTTCTTAGGTTAGAAAACCACTGCTAACATGATTTAATATAATCTGGCAGTCAAAATCATTAATGTGTGCTGTTACCTGCTAAGTAAAGTCAGGACATGTTTGTTTAACAGCTGCCAGGTGTTCACCAACATGCCTGAGGGAGACTTTACAATCAATAAATAATATAATAAAATTGAAAAGAAAAGAAAAGAAAAGAAAAGAAAAGAAAAGAAAACGGTACTCCTTTTGGTCAACTATGAAGCGTAACCTAATTAAACTTCTAGCCTAATATGTGCACATTTTAATCAATGCGTCTGCTAAATGATTAAGTGCAAACATAAGCGGCTTAGATTGAGCCCAACATCATAAGGCAAACTGGTAAATTGCATTTATATTGACATTACAGCCCCAATTTATTTGCAAACAACGCTGCTCTGCACAGAAACACGCATCATTAAAAGACGATGGGCGCGTGCTCGCTGTAATATCCCGTAAACATGTCACTACGCCTTGCCCTTTATCACTATTTGATTTTCATCAGACATTTCACAAACGACACACAGACACACCACTCACGGAAATGTCTTTGTCGTACTTACGTTTAGTTTCTGTACTGATGTTACAGGAATCCGCACCTGTACGCGCGTGCACGCGCCGCGGTCATATATCTGTTCTCAGAGCTGTTCATCCAGCGACCCCCGACAACTCTCAGTGAAATACAGACCGATCTCAAATCAGTTTCGACACCCCGACTGTCTGTCTCCGCATCTGTGCAGTTGTTTATGATCCAAACAGGGGCGTTTCTTTTCAAGGTTTCGATAACCGGTCTTGCTGGGCGTTTAGTGCCACCCATCGGTTCAACAGAGCACTGACCATTATTGGTAATGTGTATTGAGCTATGGTATTGAGGTATACATAGACGTCTTTAAATTTTAAATCTGCATCTGAATGTCTCAAATTGTCTTTTTGTACAGAGGATATGAAGAAACTAGCCGCAACTATGATGTATTAACGTTAGCACTTAACGTTGGCCGCTAATTGTTAGCCGCAGCTGGTAGCTTGTGAAAATTACTAGCATTAGCCGACTTAAAGTTCCTAGTTTTCATGCCAAATGAATTGAGAAGTGAATTAATCATTACACTTAAGTTTTAATTTATATTATTCATTCTGACTTATAGTGCGGGACGCGGTGGCACAGTAGGAAGTGCTGTCGCCTCACAGCAAGAAGGTCGCTGATTCGAGCCTCAGCTGGGTCAGTTGGCATTTCTGTGTGCAGTTTGGATGTTCTCTCCGCGTTCACGTGGGTTTCCTCTGGTGCTTTGGTTTCTCCCACAAGTCCAAAGACCTGATACAAGTGAATTGGTAAGCTAAATTGTCCGTAGTGTATGTTTGTGTATGGGTTCCCAGTAAATGATGGGTTGGGTTGTAGCTGGCATCTGCTGCGTAAAACATGTGCTGGATAAGTTGGCGGTTCATTCCGCTGTGGTGACCCCAGATTAATAAAGAGACTAAGCCGAAATGAAAATGAATGAATGATTCTGAATAATATGATGTTAAAACAAAGAAGCATACACTCCTCAGACTGTTTAAATTAATAATGGAATCAAATGGACTGCCTGTATATACAGTTTTACCAATCCCTCAGCATTACATTAAAATATTTAATATCTTAAAGAATCTTTTTTATTCCCTCCCAAAAATAAATAAACTGTTATGGGCTGAAATTACAGATTGCGGGCAAACATAAATGAACAGAATATGCAGGAATTGGAGCAGAAAGTAAACGCAACCCTTTGCAAAATGGAGTCATTATGGTGGCTTGCTGCAATATGTCCCTGACTTAATAATAGGGCAGTTTCTGTGCTATCGTAACATCTTAGTGAACTCTTATAAGGGCTGCACTTCATCATAGCTGGGAAAGATGTGTTGTGACAGGTCTATAAGCTGATCTGTTGACTTATTTCTAGGTCTGAATGTTTTAGTATGTGAAAAAATAAATAATTTTAAAAAGAAAATCATGCTTTTAATTAAATCTAATGATCACAGTGAGTATTTAACATGTCAATAAATTGCTATAATTTGAATTAAATCATTTATAACTTAAAGACAATGCATACAAAAGTGCATAACAACTTTTTATTTTAGCATACACAAGAAATAAATAACTTTTACATTAGGACTTCCAAATTATTTGCTGTTAGAGCATCAGCAAGGGCAACAAAATACACACTGGGTATTAAAATTACCTTGAAAGGGATTATTTTAACTCTCAGTTAAAGTTGCTTTTGCAGAGGTCTTTTTCTAACCCATTATTTTACCCCTTTTAAAAAGGGTGTAAATAGGTTAGTTTTATTTCACACCCTTTCATTTTATTTTGTACTTATTTATTTTATTTTCAAAGAAAGTGGGTTACCACAACTTTTAAGTTTAGGCCAAAATATATGCATTTCTGTGAAACAATAAGGTGCTACAGTTTTTTTTTCTTATGCAGATAATCATAAAGTTATGCTTCAGAGAGAAACGGATTAAATACCTATACAAGCAGTTATATTACAGACAAAAAAAGGTTATACAAATGCAAAAAAACAAAACACGATTGTCCAAAAACACCACCCTATAGCTTAACAGTTTCAGGCGTGGAAAGCCTATCAGCCAATTTAAGTTCAGACAGTATCTGCAACCTATTGTTGTTAGCTTTAAGGCTAATGCTAACAGCACAAACCATTTACAGCAAATTAAATTTCAAGTAAATGCCAATGGAAGCTTTTGAGATCATTTAAAGGCATTGATTTGCATACAATTTCAAACAATGCATAACATGTAAACACTGCATGCTAAATTCCTACAAATGTAGTATGATCTATGGTGGGCCGATGCCTCCACTTTAGTCTGCACTTGGGTGTAACATCGAAGCTGGTGACCATCAACACATGTGCTTTACAGAGGTTAACATGACGCTCTAGTCGCTCCGTGACCACCTCCAAGGCCTCCAAATGCTCCAGGGAGTCTACCTCAAAGGTTTGCCATAAGTCAACTGCAAAATACATGAAACAAACAGCATCATAATTAATGAATAATCACAATCTGGAGTTTGTGATTCCCTACAGTGTTCTTAACATTTATTATTATGCATGAGCAATATTTTAACCCTTACATTCACGGGTCCATTTTGCAGGGTCCAACATCAGATGATGCTTGGCATGTTCCAGCTCCCGCTTGAGAGCACTATACTTGAGCCTCACCTCTGCTATTCTCTGCTGTCGATGCTCCAGAAATTTCAGCTTTGCACTAAAGAGGACTACACCCTGAAAACGGGGATGACAAAATGTCAGTTTCCCTCCATATGAAATGTGAGTGATCTGAGATTAGCATCACACCACAGGTTTACCGTTACAGTTGTTTTAATTCTACATATCATAGTACAAACAATTCAAATATTGCCTTTAAATGAGGCACAAAGCCATCAAATACACAGATACACCGAATTACACACTGTGAGATTTATTTAAAACAGCACAATGAATGAGCAACTGTACATTTGAAACCTTGCAACAAAATCCTACTACATAAATCGACTAAACAGTCACGTAAAAAAGCAATTCCTGAACATACAGTTTTGGTTTCTGTGATAACAACATTGTTTTGACAAAATGAAGCACCATTTGAGCAACAGTACAGAATATTAACAAATAATTAAATGAGAATTAATAGGAATAAACACAACAATGTCAAAGTTTCCTGAATTTGTACAGTACATTGCTGAATATAAACTTAAATCTTTTATTAAAAATGATAAAAAGACACATTTGAAAAACAATATAATGTAAAAAGTTTGCATATTTTTCAATAATGATAAAAAAAAACATGTATATAAAAGTCACATTTACTCTGAAATGATTCTAATCAGAGTTAAAAACAAAAAAGAAACAGGTTTGCAGGTTGTTGAAAACAGGTATATTGTTTAGGATTTGAAGAAATTAGACTGGAAAACACTACAAGATTTGAGCACTTCTCGCTCATTCTCATCTCACATTGCGAGGAGGAACATGTCAAAAGAAATAATACAGTGCGTACAGAAAGTATTCAGACCCCCTTAAAAATGTCACTCTTTGTTATATTGCTGCCCTTTACAAAAATCTTTTAAGTTAATTTTTTTCCTCATTATTGTACACACAGCACCCCATACTGACATAAAAGCATAGGTTTCACAACAACTCAGTGACTGTTCTTCAATGGCTCAGCCAGAGCCCTGACTTTAACCCAATTGATCATCTTTGGAGAGACCTAAATATTGCTGTCCACCAATGTTTACCATCCAACCTAACAGAACTGGAGAAGATCTGCAAGGAGGAATGGCAGAGGATCTCCAAATCCAGTTGTGAAAAACTTGTTGCATCTTTCCATGTGTTATTTCAGTTTTTCTTTTTAAATAAATCTGCATAAATGTCAACAATTCTGTGTTTTTTTGTCAATATGGGGCACTGTGTGTATATTAATGAGGTAAAAAAATGAACTTCAATGATTTTAGCAATGGCTGCAATATAACAAAAAGTGAAAGATTTAAGGGGGTCTGAATACTTTCCGAACCCACTGTTTATGCTCTATATCCAAAACAAAATATCAAGCATGTTTAATATCACTCAGGATGTATTCACACCAGGAAAGTCCACTAGTTCAATTGCTTTGGTCGGGACCAAACATAATATTGAGATTTTTTAATTGGTTTGCATTCACATTACACTTTTTGGAAGTGAACCAGAGATTCTAAACTAAACCATGTCTGCTGAAGTCAGACATTTATTAGACAGAAATGCTTGTACTCCTGTGGCATAGTGTCTGCCATTCAGCACTTAATTTGTGCCTGAACTAGCCGGATCTGGCACCTCTGAAATCTTATCCTGCACCTCATTTTACCGATCCCCTCCTCACATGCATCCCTGCCCGCTTTTCACTTTCTCCTGTGACTCCTTAACCCTCTTTACTTCCGTCCGGATCCTTTACATATTGTGCCTTTTGCTTGCACAAGCTCTTTGCTTTGAAATGTAGACACACACAAAAAAACGGTCAGTCGTAAAACGTGTATTAACCTGTATTGAAGTGTGTAGTTACCTTAGACAAACACAGAACAGACGAAAACTGCAATGCCTTTTTTATCCATAATAAAACTTATATTAGAGCTAGAGTTGGGGCATAGATTGGGGTTTGTTAGTGGTGGTTCATTAGAGAGTGTGATTGAAGGTTGCTTAGCATCAGCAGACACCACGGGAACACAACTCAAACTACGGGATCCAGATAATTCAAAAGGCACAGGGATTTCTGCAAATGAGTCGGATTGAGGTCTGATAATATTCACACTTTAAGTGAACTCTATTAGAGTTTGTATGGAAGCAGACTAAGTCCATCACTGCTGTTGGGTTTTTGTCCATTTGTTTGGTGCACATCAGAATGCAATTGCTATATTTAAAACCTGACCAACAGATCAACACCAAAGGGAAAACAAACTTGAGTTTGATTCAGTGGAACAAAACAAGTGTGAATACACCCTTAGTCTTGCATTGTTTTGTTCACTAAAGAACACCCAAAATTCCACCTGACTGATATCTTAATAACCAATTACAGTTTGGTTTGTTAAGCATAAAAATAATAGTGTGTTCCAGCCTTTACTTTCAGAAAAAAGAGTTGCAAAAAAGGGCACTTTGCAAAACAGTAGCATTTAAGCAGCTGATAAAATGGGAGTTGAGTCAAGCATTACCTATTTATTGGACAATACAAAGGTAGCCGTTTTTGAAAGAAATTCAAAAGCAGACAGGAAGACAGACAGACAGACAGACAGAGGATTTGTTTCATTGACACATTTTAAACCTCACCTTGTTCCCTGCCCCACCTCTCTTCTGTACGCCATCTACATTATCAATCTCATAGACTTTAATTTCATAAGAGTCAGAAACACTCCGATCCACTCGGTGTGTCTTGGGCCCGCTTAAGGATCTCTTCAGTGACATGAGGTTCTCTTGAGATGGACGTCTTACACTGGACCCTGTGGATAAAGACAATGAAGTGAACAACCTATTGTATATAATGCACATTGTGTTGATTCTGAACACTTCTCACCAATGTTGCTTCTTTTCTTGGTACTTCTTGCCCCTTTTGCAGCACCGAGTGAACAGCTCTGATCACTGATGGAGTTGTGTGTTGAACTGCTGCTGATTGTAGCCTCACTATCTCTAAGCATGCTTTCATAGCCACTACTAACCATACTGCTTCTGTTATAGAGTAAAGCCGTTTTACACATGGCAGGAGGAAGCTCACCACTGAGTACACTCGTGGTATCACTGGCATGCCCGCTGCAGTGTGGTGCCCGTGGAGCTGTAATCCGACTATACGGGGACGGCAATGTGTGAACAAATGGCTCCATTGTTTCCAATTCCTCATTTTCATCTAAATCAGACCCACCTTGACTAAATGCAGAAAGAGAGTCTCGACTGCTTCTTAAAAGCTCAACCCTTCCTTTCCGTATTGCTCCAGGGGACTTCAAACATCCATTGTTTTGACTTCGGGACAGGGAGTGTGTGGTCCAAGAGCTTTGGTTGACAGGTGCTCCATTTGGAGAAAAACTTGAGCTTCTGTTGAGCGGGTGTCTGGTGGGTTTGGGAGACAAGTTTGGCATCTTGTGGATCTTTGAACTAGTGGTGAATTTATTTCCAGTGGTTGACTTAGAGTGACCATTTTTAGATGTCCGGGTTGTGTCATTGGCATCATGCATTGGGAAGAACTGTGGAACCCTTCCAAGACTCTGACTAGCTCGACACCTCACAAAATCCTCAAAGTCTTCTTTAAAAGGAAGAGGGCTGCGTTGAGATGGAATGGATTCTTCATCTAATATGCATTTAGGAGCCACGTTGATGAAAGCAGTCTCTTCAAGGTACTTGCTTTTAAGTCTCGGAGAGCTAGAATTACCTTTCAAGCTTCCTGTTAAGCTCCCGCTATTACTCTGATCCCAAGTTTGGCTCCTACCGGATAATGCTTTCAGTTTTGCATTAAACAACTTACTGCTCTCTTCAAAATGAGATTTCGTAGCCTGGTTTAGCATTGCACTTCTGGCTGTTCTAGCCTCTTCTTTTGCATCTTTCCTTTTCAGATTGGGACTGTTGCTTGCAGATTGACCATTGGTAAATTCTTTTTTAGTATATTGTTTTTTCTCAAGAGTGTCTTTGGGACTGCATGGGTTCTTGTGTTCTTTGTTTAAGTGTGGACAATCTTTGACATCTTTCTTTTTGTTTTGGCACAACCAGCTCTGCTCAGGTTTAATTTCACAAGCAAATTGTCTGGATTTCGAGATCTCACAGTGAGGGTCAAGTTTAACCTTGGCTTCTTTAGGTATCTCCTTCACATCTTCTGTTAGACGCACTTCAGGCCAAGTCTCATGCTGCGACAGGCCTTTTGAATCAATATGTGCATTGATTTTAGTATGTCGGGCAGCTGTATCAGACGAGGCCATGGAGATTTCAGTCTCTGATGTCTGTGCATTAGAGGTGCAACTATAAAAACCCTCTGTTTGTTCTTCACCTACACTACCGATAATCCTGACAGACTGATTTCCTGGCGTTAAAGCCTGGAGAGAGTGTGACTCATGAATACTTAATATTTTTGCCTTTCCTTGATCAGTGGCCCCATTTATTGTTACCTCCTCAACCACAGTATACACAAGTTCATCTTGTCCATTAAGATCCAGTGGCTGCTGAACAGTCACAGTAATGGTGGCCCTCATTTCTCGTTGGTTCTTTAAGGTACAAGGTGGAACGTCTCCATTCAAAGAGGCAGAAACAGCTGGGGAGCTCAAACTGGAAGAGAGGGATGACGAAAAAGAAGAAGAAGAGGTAGATCTTGGAGAACTCTTGCCAATGGGAGATATTCGTGTTTGAGTTTGCATTGTGGAATCGTCTGATACTCTTGTTTTATCTTGGTCTTCAAATTTCAAAGGTAGTGAAGTGGGCGTCGTATCCATTTTTTTATTGTAAAGCATAGATTTGCTTGGAGATTGGCTAGACAACATGGAATTGATTGGTTTGACAATATGTGACTGTTGTGGACATGTGTTAATAATCTGTGAATTGGTGGTACATGGAATTTGTTCACTGTTGTGAATTATGGCAATTGTTTTTGATGAGCTTCCTTGTCTGGTAACTTCACATTTGCTTGACTCTTGATTATCCAATGAATTAGATTTTTTCTCAGCGTGATTTAAGTGAGGGTTTTGGTTTTGGTTTATGGCATGCACTTCCTGATCTTTGCAAGGGTCCAGCTCTGTTCCATCTATATTTCCCAGTCGATTTTGGAGTTCTGCAAATGTGTTACACTTTAGACACTCAAAATCTGATTTATTTTGCAATATTGTTGGTGTTGGCTCTTCTTTGGCCTTTTCTTTTGATATCTGCTTCATGCGATTGCCAATTGGTGGAGAGATTTCACAAAACCTCATCAGCGAGAGCTTCTTGGTCTCTAATTTGTTCTTGAGTAAAGATGGAATAATAGGTAAAACCTCTCTGCTTCTGTTTGTAACCTCTTTATCCAGGAGGCCAGACCGATCCATTGAGATAATAGTATCACAAGAGTTGTCGCTCCCAGGATAAAATGCTGGATCACTAGAGAAACCAGGAGAGGAGAGATCTTGATCCAGGGTTCCTGTCGATTGGAATCTCATTTTGGTGGAATTATTAACTTTCCTCTCATTGCCTAAGCTTCTTCCTCCAGGTGAGCTTGAGGAAGATTTCTGGGTAAAAAAAAAAAAGTAAAAGTAAAACTAGACCTTAATTCACTGCATTCAAAAACAGGACAATACGATTAAATTAAATTAAATTAAATTAAATTAAATTAAATTAAATTAAATTAAATTAAATTAAATTAAATTAAATTAAATTAAATTAATTACAAAAATCAATTAGATTACAAAAATCAATTAAATTAAATATTTACTTATAGATATTCAATATTTCATTATAGAAATAAAAATATTTTATACAATAAAATATAATTTCTTAATATAAAAGATTACCCTTGTCTTCTTTTTCTGCCTTCGCATTCGAGACACAGTCTGCATTGTACAGAGGCTTTCTGTTAGGTCTTCAGATAAAGTGGATATATGGGCAATAATTGTAGTGCAGCAGTTGACATCATTAAGAGAGTCTTGCAGAAGCATGGCTAATGTATTTCCCCTGTAATGAACAAATTATCATAGATAATCAAATATACTTACACTCACACAAAAAAATATTATTTCTGTCATCATCTACTCACCCTTGTTACATAAAAGTTAGAATTTTTAATGTACTGTTGAGCACAAAAGAAGATATAGTGAAGAATGTTGGAAACAAATAACTATAGACTTTTATAGTAGGACAAACAAATACTATAAAAGTCAATGGTTACATGTGTACAGCATTCTTCAGTATCTTTTCTCTTGTGCTCAACAGAACAAAAAACTTCATTTCAACTTCAGCTCCATTCAAAACAAAATTTTGGCTTGAACTCTTTTTTTCTTTGAAGAGAAACTTTTAACAAGATGTGATATAGGTGGGTTCAAAATATGAATTTCAGTTCAAAATAACACACAGATTATTTATTATGCCATGCTGTAAATTCCAATTTAGTTTTTGTGGGTCTTTAAATAAAAATGAGGCGCTGCTCCCCACCCTCTATCCGGAACAAGGGGGAGCATGTGTCTCAGACATTCTTTCACCTGATAGTTTAAGTCTTGTTAGTTTAAAGTCTTGATAGACATTTTGATGAGTACACACAAGCTTCAACAGAGACAAGCAACTTTCAATTAGTTTCAATTTTATCATCATAGCTTGATTTTTTTTACACCCAGTGTATACAAACATCTGTGTTTAAGCACAGTTTTAGAACATAAGTTCTGCATAATGGGTCCCCTTTAATGAAATAACTGTATTTTATGTCAAAATAAACAGTTAGTAAATTTCTGCCTTTATAATTGAGTTATACATAGACATACCTATTAGAAACATATTTATGTCTGTTGAGATTGGCTGTGATAAAGTTTCCCAGCTCAGCAAGGCAGACCCCACAGTTGCTTTCTTCTCTTTCCCCAACGCAGCTCCCTAAATCAATCAGGCTCAGCTTACTTTGATCTACATTTGCTAAGGAAAACACAAGTTATTAGCACAGGAAGTTAAACAAGTGATATAAAAGAAACATAAACAGAATATTAGGATGAAAAGCGAAGCACTATTCCATTACAACTACTGCCCAGTAGGCCTCTATACATCCAATTATCAAGAACTGGACTGACGATCCCTAATTAGCATCATAAAGAAGCATCTGAACTCACTCCCAGATTTGCTGCTGCTTCCTATGTGCTGTTGGCGAACATGCAGGGTGAAGAACATGTGACAGCAGTGCTTCCCTTCACTGTCCAGCGTCCCACTGCGAGATGCAATAGCCGCATCCAGCAAGAAAGCAGCTCTCTCTGGAGTCTGAGCATTTAGTACATTGTGGCTGCAGAGCTGGAATCAAGATAACACAATCCAATAATGAGACTCTCAAGTAAATGGAAATGTCTCAATTAACATATCAATGAGTCCGCATTAGATTTGTATTGATCGCAAAGGGTTATAAATGGCATGCAAAAGGCGTCTTAAAGGAATATTTGGGGTTTGGAACAAATTAAAGGAAGAGTTCATCTGTTAATGAAAATCTCAAGTCTTCCTTTGATCAATGAGAGACATGATGTGAATATGTCACAACATACATCATGCAAGAGGTTGTGGCAGAGTCAGACCAAGGCGAATATTTCGGGAACACTTTAGTTTAAGGACCAATTCTCACTAATAATTAGTGGCTTATTGTCTGCCTGTTACTGACATTGATTGTTTATTGTTATCCCTAATCCTTCTCAATACCTAAATCTAACTATTTCCTAAAGGGAGACCTTTTATGCCCATTTTTACAATATATAAATTAAGTATCAGATATCTGTTAATATAAGTTTCAGCTCAAAATAGCCCACAGATAATGTTTTATAGCTCTATAAAATGGCTCCTTTTAGGCTTTGACCTAAACCATGTCATTTTGGTGACTGAGATTTTGATAGAGGGCAGAGCTACAATTGTCTCTGTGATAATCTGAAAATTTAAAAAGAAGTGGCTCAGATAAAGGTAGTCGCTCGCTCACATTATCTTTGGCAGGTACGTCTGAAAACTCGAATGGCGGACTGCTGCTTCTCACTCAGGGCTATTTAAGCTAATAATGAGAGACTGTCACTAATAGACCAGGCTTTCCCTCTCTGATGACATGTACAACGGGAGAATGTGTTTGGGACAACATGAAGGAATTAAGTTAATTTATTCATGTTTACAAATTTAATTTAAAAATGTAATTTAAAATGTAAAATTTAAAACAATGGTGCAGTAGGTAGTGCTGTCGCCTCACAGCAAGAAGGTCGCTGGTTGGAGCCACGGCTGGGTCAGTTGGTGTTTCTGTGAGTTTGCATGTACTCCCCACATTCGCGTGGGTTTCCTCCGGGTGCTCAGGTTTCACCCACAGTCCAAAGTAATGCGCTAGGTGAATTGGGTAGGCTAAATTGTCTATAGTGTATGAGTGTGTAAGCATGTTTCCCAAAGATGGGTTGCAGCTGGAAGGGCATCCGCTGCATAAAACGTGCTGGGTAATTTGGCAGTTCATTCCGCTGTGGCGACAGCGGATTAATAAAGGGACTAAGCTAAAAAGAAAATGAATGAATATAAAACAATTACGTTGTCCCAATGATAACTTAATAAGCTGCAAATTAGGAGTATATTGAGCTAAACAGTTTAAAAGTGAGAAGTGTACATAAAAAAGTGTGGCCAGCATTTATAATAAAAATTATATAATGAAATCCTTTTTTTAAATTAATTATTTCACTAGAAAAGATGATTTTGTGAATAATTTTTAAGATGCATAAATGTTGTATTAAAAATTGTATTATTGAAACAATGCTATTGGAACAATATACATACTACTTAAGAAACAAGTGGGGTGTCTTTTGAAAAAATATACATGCCTCTAATAAACCTACAACTGTCTGACCACCTCAGATGTATTTGCATAATAAGTGTGACTTTACTCACTTTCTCAGAACTTTGTTGTCAGATTTTTGTATTCTACTTTTTTTAAGTTAAGTTTATTTATAAACTAATTTCGAGAGGACCACGTGCTTATGATTACCTACGGCTGGTCACACATTATCCAATTTATGATTCACCAATCAGATGATTCCTAAGCCACTATAAATACCCTAAGTTTCATATAACAGCCATCTTTATTTTGAAGAATCCCCCCTTTCCACTACTCCTCCTCCTTTCCTACACTGTAAACCCTAATGCTGTAACTAATTAATTGAGTTGAGTTCTATTAACTTAAATCATTAAAATTCGTTTATCTTAATTAACCTTGATGAGTATTTAGAACTTTTTCTTATTTTTGAGTTTGTAAAAATTTAATCTTTCAAGTAAGGTGAACAATTCTGCTGGGTTTAATCTATACAAAATGTCTCTTTAAAGTTTCATTAACTCAAATTCTGTCAGCCTAGTGATTTTGCGTCTGACGTCATCCAGGTTCACGTAAGTGCTCATGCTTCATTTGTTTTTTTCAAGATGGCGGATCGGCCTCGCTTCACACTACAGTAAGTAAAATATTTACAAATCCAAGAAATATTAAATGTATGTTTTAATTAATATAATCACAGTAACAGTTCAATGTAATGTATAGTGGTGGGCAAAGCGAGGCTTCGTGAAACACTGAAACTATCGAAGCAAATGTGTCGAAGCTTCGAAACGTTTCGAAACACCACTCTACGGTGACACCTAGTGGTCATTGTATTAGTATTTCACTGAAACAGCTTCAGCGAAGAACAGTTGAGCAAATTAAGGTACCAAACCCCACTTTGTAGCCAGGAGTCATCAGATAGTTTAGTCGAGCGGTTTGAGTTCATGACAACCATGCGGGAAAAATGGGTTCGAATCCACACTGACACAATTGTTTTGAAATGCTTTAATACCAGTTGGTAATGCTTTGTTATTGTATCGTTTTGTTTCAACATTGCTCTGACATCCGAATAAACACCTTGTAAATAAATTTGTATTGGTTTGTTCATAAAACAGGGTTGTTACTAGATCAGATACAGTTGTGGCCAGAAGTTAACAATAATTATTTATATTATTAATTAAATTTCCCATTGTATTTTATTAACGTCTATCCAAAACCTAAACCCATCACAGTACTGTAAAACTATGAATTATTGTTTTACAATGTTACAAAAATGATGCTAAATTGATGGCATATCCACAGCTGTATCCTATCTAGGCTACACCATAAAACAGTAACATGATTAAAATACATAAAAACATGATTTTGGAGTATTTGTACTAGTCGAGATTCGAACCCAAAACAAATTTGACACACAGCACCATAGTGCACACGCACGGTCCACTAGGCCATACTAGACAGTGTCAAAATCAAGATCATGTCAGTCAAATGCAGATTCTCCGGGTCTTGAAACGCCTATGAAATGATCGATGCTTTGAATCGCTTTTGTCACGTGACCAAGTGTTTCGAAACACTTTAGTCACGTGACCTGGGTGTTTCGGATTATGCTTCGGTGCAGTGTTTCGAAACACTTGCGCTTCGGGATCCCGACACTGTGTCGAAACGTCAGATTCACGTCAGCCATCCCTAGTAATGTAGAGTTAATCAGGGTGCGTTTACATGTCGTACATTACAGAAAACATGTTTAGCCTCACTTGTTGCTAACTAACGTTAACATTACTGTTTAAAAAGTTAGAATCAGTGCAATGTTAGCGTTAGTTGTAATGTGTTAACTCTGAATTTTAACAGAGTGTGATAAAGACAAAAATATTTAAAATCGGCAGATTACATTTTTCAAAAAAATTTAAATCTTGGCGCGAGTATGCCTTTTCTCAGCCTGTGCTGAAGTTGTCATGGAGACGTGCGCTCTCACAACCGCATGTCATGGCGCTGCGCTGAACTCCATCCAGTCTGTGAATGTGGTATTATCTTCGCGATCTGTAGGCACTTCGGAAACGAAAGGCGCAAGAAACGTAACGTTAATCATAACTCAAATGATCTCCGCCTAAACACTTAACGGTATTTTCTGATGACGCGCAAAAACGTAGTCTCAAAACTTAACTCTGTCACACGCAGCTTGTTGCTTGCTGATCCATGTATGAGGATAGCCTGACGGAGAACATTTAAGCTGCGCTCCTCACCTGAGCAGGTACAGAGCAGAGCTTCATTTTACACTACCACATTGAGGTAAAGTTGGTTTTATATTCATACATTCATTTAGTAACAACTTGTGACTCGCTCCATAAATTGTTTACCATGGTACTTTGTCTATTCGTTCTGAAATCACATGCAAGTATGACATGAAAACAACATTACACTAAATGCACTATTTTTTTTGACTGAACAATGTTGTACTTTGAAAGTCATTGGCTGCTAATATGATTTCACCATTAAGAATATGCAAAAATTACCTTTCTGAAATTATATTATTAAGGAGAAAGTCTGAATGTGTAAATATAAAACTAACTTTACCTCAATCACCAGCACTGATCAACACTTAATATTTCCTCGCGCTTAAGACGACATCTCTGCATATCAATGATTACCTGATTAATGCGATCAGTTAAGTGAGTTTAAATGTCATTTAGGTCAAATGTATTTTAAAGGTATGATAAAAGTTTTTTTTTTTTTCAATCTATTTTTTAAAATGTCTACTCTGGAGAGAATATAAACAGCCTAAAAAACAAAGTATGCATATCTATAACACATTAATACAAAATTATGTTATTAAATAAAATAATAACAAAACTAAATATTCAAGACGTGGTAAAGAAGACATAGTTTTCTGATGTGCAAATTTTGTAGCTTAAAATATATTTATATCTTAAAAATATAAATATTTTAGTCTATATATTTTTACATCATTAGACAATAAGGTAAGTTTTGTTATTTCTAGCTTTTAAAATCAGGCCTTAAATTTCTTTGTCGTCCTATTCAGTTTTAGAAATTTCAATACTGTTTAAATTAAATCTGTGTTCATCGAATTAAAGCAACTAACATGATAATCAGCTCTATTGCTAACCGTTTTGGAGGTTAACGTTAGACTTCAGGCAATTGTACTACTTCCACTCTCAGCTAAATGACACTGTGACTTTGTGTACATACAGAATTGAAGGTCAGGTGTTGCTGACTACAGATCGGTTCTTAAATGGAGGCATGTGAAAGGTGGGTAAAATATTTATTTTGTACTACTATGCCTGGCATATCCAGATAAAATAAATATTACAGTGTATTTATCAATGATACTTTTGCAGCAAGGAAAGTGAAACTTCAGCTAGACCTTGAGTTCAGTTTACAACATGAAGATCCTGCTTTCAACATCTGATCAACACCTGATTTTCATCTGAGGTAAAAAAATAGATAAGTAAATGAAACATAATAATAATATTAATACATTTTTTCTAGAATTGTATATTTTGTGGTGTGGGTTTGTTTTATGAAATTCTCTCTTGTTTCTTTTTGCTGTTTGCAGAGTACCAACATGTTACAAATGAGAATTTTCCCCACAAATTCTTTGCAAAACTGGACCACCACCTATTTCATTTGATGACAATTTTAAGGCAAACAGCATCCAAAACTGGCAAGACAGCAGATACCCTGGCTAATCTTTTAAAGGTTTATGATGAGCAGGTATGTTTGGGGTCACGTGTTAAAGTATACATTAAAATATAATTTGAATTATTATTATTTTTTTAACTTTTAAAAAATTGATTCTTGATTTCCAGGAACTGAATGATGTCAGTTCATGACGGACTACTGTTATCAGAGGTCTTTTGGTCTTGCTGCGTGAGCGTGACTTAAGATTCTTTAGGAACACCATGGTAAGACTTCATTCATTTTTTTCACAATTAGGCATGTTTAATGAAAAGATGAAAGTTTTGAAAACTTTTACTTAATAACATATTTGTAATCAAGAATAATTGATGAATCATATAATATTGGCTCAGTCATTTTGATACTGTCCTTACATTAATATCCTTGAATTATGTTTTTAGATTGATAATCCTGCTGACTGAAGATGCTTTATTGGCCCTGCATTCACTGAGGGTCTCTGTTGTACTGAAGAATGAATTGGACACCACCCACAGCACACTTCCAGACCTTTCTTGTCTTGTATGGATTAATGTATGCTCTTCACATAATATATAGTAAAGGACTTTGAACTTGTGCAAAAAGTTTTGCTTGGCATGGATGATGGAAAATAAAAAGTCTCGTAGCATGAAAACCTTAAAGAATGAGTTGATGTAGAGCTTTTTTTTTTTTTTTTTAACTTAATAAAGACTGTCTCTGGGGTAGTAACTTCAAAACATTTATTTACCTTTAATTGGTAAGTATGCATTTTATTATATATAGGGATAGTTTGTCCAAATGTAAAATTCTGTCATTTACTAACTCTTCACTTGTCCCAAACCTGCTTGAATTTCTTGCTTCTGTTGAACACAAAAGTTAAGTAAAGCTGACAACCTGTAACCACTGACTTTCTAATTGGAAAACAAATACTGTGGAAATCGGTGGTTACAGGTCTCAGCTCTTTTTTTTTTTTCAACAGAAGAAAGAAACTCAAACAGGTTTGGAATAAGTAAATGACAGAATCATAGTTCAACCAAGACTGAATATATATATATATATATATATATATATATATATATATATATATATATATATATATATATATATATATATATATATATTGTAACGAGCGCACACATGCCACGTCGCCCTGGTCGCTAATTCAACCCAGCTGGACCATCATCAACACAGGATCGTTCACAGCTGGACGTCATCAAGTGGAGAGGCATATAAACCAAGCCCACGCAAGAGAAGATGAGCTTCATTCACCCAATGACTCCATGCGCTAACGCTTGTCTCTCTGTCTCTCCACAGCAGACTCCAGCTTGTGACGATCCCACATCCGACTACTCACTGTCCTTCACTTACTTCCCGGAGCACCAGAGCACCTCACCTTGAAGAAGAGCACCGTTTACACCCCATTCACGTTGTAAATAAAGCACCCTCCGGGGACTTGTCTGTAAACTTATCCAACTGTGTCGCTGTTTTCCCTCTGCCTCGCTACAATATATATATATATATATATATATATAATCTGCTCTCCGTTAAACAGAAATTGGGGGAAAAATAAATGGGGGTGAATAATTCTGACTTCAACGATATATATATATATATATATATACAGTTTCTGTGTAGTTTACACTAAACGAGTCACTTCACAGAATGTGCACTTATTATTTTTTTTAACAAATGCGTTAAGAGTAAGTTTTACACTTATTAATGTATTATTAAATTTTATCAAACTTATAGTTGTTTTTTCTTGAGGCTCTTATGTCTGATATCATATTTACATTGTGGGTAATTTTTATTAATTTCAGAATAGTGTTCATTTTCAATTTCTTTATGTCTAATAGTTTTTATCGTTTTAAGACATTTGTAATTGCATAGGAGACAAATTTGAAAGTACTGTTGGACATTTTTTCTTTAACAATAAATGTCTAAAATGGTATTGTCTGTGTGTTTTAAATTACAGATTTATTTTGACAGATTTATGGGGTTTAAAGATTAAAATAATGGCTAATTTTATTTGTGAAACTGACGATGGAGAAGTTAATTTTAAAAAATGCTATCAAAATGTATGAGCTGGGTGACTAAGTATGTAAAGGTGAGATAAATAATTAAAAATAAGTTAATTGCTATTAAAATGTATGAGCTGGGTGATTTAAGTATTTAAAGTTGAAAGAAATTAAAGCAATTAAGTTAATTGGTATTAAAATGTATGAGCTGGGTGACTAAGTATTTAAAGTTTGGAAAAATTAAAACAATTAAGTTAATTGCAATTAAAACGTATAAGCTGAGTAACTTGGGTATTTTAAGTTAGGTGAAGTGTCTTGCATGAGTACAACAAACTCAAAACTTAATGTTTCTGTTTACTTAAAAAAGATAATTTCATAACTTAAAAAATTTGACGTAACTGATTACCTCAAATTTTTTGAGTTTTGTCAACTTATTCGGGATTACAGTGTATGGGTGGCACGGTGGCCCAGTGGTTAGCACTGTTGCCTCACAGCAAGAACGTCACTGGTTCTAGTCCTTACCAAGCCAGCCAACGTTTCTGTGCGGAGCTTACACATTCTTCCCATGCTCATGTGGGTTCCCAGTTTTTCTCACACCGTCCAAAAATATGAAACTTAAGTTAATTGACTAATCCAAATCGGCACCATAGACATGCACCTAGTAAGTAGTTATCTCTGAAGAGCAATCACTATTTGTTCATTAGCTACTACAGCAGGGGAGTTCTTCAGATCTACCTGAGCTCAAACTCCCCTCTCGCCTTGCAAATGGGAGGGAGCCCCGGGCTCGAGGATCTTTTGAGCTCAAGGCTCTCCCAGGACAAGATGCCAAACAAGCTTCATAATCTATCATCAGCTAAGTGTGAACTCTTGACATTTTTAAAATGACTTTTGTTACTTAACTTGTGTTTACTGGTATCCTTGTTTTTTGTCCTTTTTTGTTTGTATGTTCATCTTGTTTTTGTTTTGTTTGTTTTTAAAAATTATTTAATTTTAAAAACAATAAACAAAGAATTAAACAAAAAAAAATGTGTCATTGAGCCCAGTTCACTTGAATGATGTTCCTTTGCTCCAAAGCTCAATTTTCTTTTGGGTGACAAAGTACAGAAATCATATTTGGACAAGTTATACTGTTTGCTTTTTATAAAGCTTTTAATATTAGTGTGTTATTTCACGTCACTATATGGACGAGTGTGAGCAGGACATTTTTCTTTAGTTTTTTGTAAATTTGCTATCCTGATGTGGTCTAGCAATAAAAAAAACAAACATACAGCATTAAATTTAATCATCCAGCTAATTAATGCAGGATTTTGTTTTTGTTCATGCAACTGTGCCCTCAGGTTGTAAGGTACTATTTTAGCAAAGCTGATTTGAAACACAATCCTGTGCAAAAAGAGTTGCACAAATAAATAGTAAAGTAAATGTGCAATATTAAAACAAACATTGCACAAAGGAAGTGCACTCCACACTTGCCTGTACTCCATAGACTGGGTCCTCAGTGAGGTAAGCATCTGGCTTATAGGTCTCCTTGCAGTTGCTCGTGTCAACATCGCAGAGCAAATCCCTGATGCCATTGTTTTCCCCGCAGACCTCCAGAGCTGACACAGAAACTGAGATGTTCGCCCATGTCTTGTCTTTCTTTCTGTTAATAAGCTTGAAAAGCCACGAGATTGCGCACGGAATGACTCCAAGGCTTTGAGTGCAAGCATCGTGACCGATCATTGTGTAAGACATTCCTGTGAACCAACAGAAAGAAAGCGAGAATGCCATTTTTCATAATAGATAGTCATTAGAAAAGCCTCCCATTGGGGTTGTGCCAAATAAATCACCATTCAGAATGACAAAAAAGCCACAGCCTGAAATATGCTCAAATTCGTGGCCAACGACTTTACAAACTGGGGTGTAAAATGCGTTGTGGCAATGTCATGACCAATTAAATGTAAAGCACTTTACTGGCAGCCAAGCATGGGCCCGGTTTAAAAGATTTATGATGTCTGGCTGGGAGCCAAGGGCCAACATGGTGGCCGGGTAATTCAATCTAGCTAATAGAGAATGATGTCATACCTCAAATGCCATGTAGAGGTTCTTGTCAGGATTTTGGGCGGATAACAATTAATAACCTTAAAGGTAAATGACCTGTGATGACCCAATGTGTAGTCTCTACGCCGTCCATTAAAGGGACAACATTTCATGCACATTCATTAAGAAGCCCTACAAGTCACACAAGATGGCACAAACATATGTAAACCTAAACCTTTTTGTGTGTACACCATGAGTAAATGTCAGTTTTGAGATAAAGATCCAGATTATAGTGATAAAAACTACTGTCAGGATTTACTAAAGACACATAGTGAAACAATTAAAAGCCGTGTTGCCAGATATAGCTGATTTTTTCCCAGCCCAAAAGCTGTCCAATACTCGCCCAAACTCACAAAAACACACTCAATGATTAGATCAATATTTTATTTTGATTCATTTAGATAACCTAGTTACTTTAACTGGCATATTTTTTTACCATACAGCAATCAACACCTGCAGTCACAGAACAACGACATAACCAGATCACATGAAAACAGTAAAACACTGCCCCCACTAATGTTGTGTAGATTACACTATGTTTTACTTTTATCTATGTTTTACTTTCGAAATGGGATATAAATTCATACCATTTGGTGTTTTAAATTCTTTTGAACATAATTCTTGTGTTCTCAGACAATGCTTCTATGTTTGTTCTTGCCGTCAATTGTGGAAAAAAATGATTGATAAAAGTGTCATGATAAACAAATGTCATGAGTGTAACTGCAGGCGCATGCACACAAAGGGGAATCAGATTTGTCCAAGAAGTCAGATTTTAATACAACTTCTTTCACCTCCTCTTGCGGGTGGGCCCACGTGTGTGTGCTATGCGCTGGTCACTACTAACTGAATGGAGTAGGAGCACACAGTTATGTTTTGTTAAATAAGTTGCAAATACAATTTACATTTCAAAACCAACCACATTTTGTCAACCCGCCTTTGCCATTTCTTACCACCACAATCAAATTCAAAACTGCCCAATCTGGCAACACTGCCCATGGATAGTTATTCTTGCAGCTGACCTTATTAAATATGCATTTGTGGGAGTTACCCTTTCAGACGCAATATTTATGGAAGGAGAATATTTAAATTTAAAGCATGTACAGTAAAGTGATTTAGTATGGCTCACAGCTGTCAATTTACTGGTATTTGTGCCATTATTAAATGCCCTCAAAAAGCATATATTAACCCTGTGTTGTTAGTAGATGCATGTATTATGTAATTGCAAGCTTTCATGCTAATTTGCCTTTACTGTGTAATCTGGCCCATAAAATCATGCTGCAAAATATCATATAGTGTTATTCAGATGTAGAATTGAGATTGCGAGACTAATAAATATATATTATTATATAATAAATTATATATATACACACACACACACAAACACACACACACACACACACACACATATATATATATATATATATATATGTGTGTGTGTGTGTGTGTGTGTGTGTATTGAATTATATATATATATATATATATATATATATATATATATATATATATATATGTATATTATACATATATAAATAGTAGTGCTATGCAAAGGTTAATCACAATTAATCGCACCCAAAATAAAAGTTTGTGTTGACATAATATTCAATATGTGTGTGTATTGTGTATATTCATTATGTATGTATAAATACACACATGCATGCATATATGATTATAAAAATGTTTTTTTTTTTTTTTTATAAAATATATACTGTATATGTGTATGATACAAATTATATATAAAATAAAATATCTATGTAACTAAATACAATAAATATAATAAATATTTATAATTCAAACACACAGATATTATGTCAACTTTTATTTTGGATGTGTTTAATTGCAATTAATCTTTGCTCAGCACTAATAAAAATACAATGGGAAGATATTAATTAGCATTTTAAAGTAGTTTTTTTTATCACAAAATGAAAAACACATATGAAATGATTAAATAAAGCTAATTATGACTTTTTTTAATCTCATAATTTTTACTTTTTTCTTATGTGAGTTTATGTCTCACAATTGAGATTTTTCCTCTGAGATCTGCAAACTAATTTACAAGTTAACATTGCGGAAAAAGTCAGAAATGCAAAGAATCTAGCCCAAATTTAAAGAATTTCTTTGGTTTTGTATAAATAAATATATTTAGTTATTTTTAATTTTTTAAAATCCTGTTAGTTTTATAGATTTAAACAGGTTTTAATATCACTCACTTACCCACATTGTTTTGTCCAAAGCTAAGTATGCAACCATCCGCTCCTGCCAGCACACACTGAAGCACCTCACACAAGCTGTTCTCACAAACCTCAGCCTGAAAAAAATAAATAAATAAATAAAAATGATGCTTTATGTTTCATCATTTCACGCCATTCACATCTTATATTCTAAATACTCACAAAAACTATCCTGCAATGTGGAATTATTTAGCCAAATGTGCATCTAATACTGAGTGAAATGAGTTTTATTGATTGTACTGGATGAGAATATCCAGATATTGAATATCCGCACTCAAGTGACCAGATCCCTGCATGCTCTTATGACTCAGATGGGCTCCAGACATGATCAGTTTTCAGTCATCAGACAGAAATAACACAGCAGTGGGCCTGACCTGAGCTGACTCTTGGCCAAACACAGCATCAAAACTGAAGGTCTTGAAGGAAAGTGAAGCAGCAGAAGTCTGTCTCTGAGGCACATTTAGCACCGTCATCTGCCTCTTCTGGGGGTCCAGTTTGAAAGAGTATGACTGGGATGGATCTGATACAGGCGCTGAACAGACTCGCAGCATCACTTTCACCTGCAATTGGGGAAAAGACAAACATGTCTGGGTATTACATATAAATGTGGATTTTCTTTACATTTACATTAAAACCTTCAACTATATAAGAACTCCATGTGTATGTTCACCAAATATCTTTTACAAATGTCACCAAATGTTCTTTTTCTCTGGTGTTTATTTGATAAATTATTTAGTGTGAACCATCTTATCTACCAAAAGTCCTTACAAGCTAAGAAAAACAAGTAAATTTTGATTTTGTGGGGACAATTTTTGGACCCCTTAAGAAAAAAGGCTTTTAAATCCCATTAAATGCTGTATTATGAAAATGAAAAAGTATAGATTGTTTCCTGTGAGAGTTGGCTTTAGGGATAGGGTTTGGGTAGGGGAGAGAATATACAGATTTTACAGTATAGAATATAATATAAAAGTCATTACGTCAATGGGAAGTCCCCATAAACAGAGCTTTATGCAACTTAACAGTGTGTGTGTGTGTGTGTGTGTGTGTGTAATGGTGTTAAATTAAAAGACTATTTGAAGGTTTAGCTATTGGTTCAGTATGTATAAATGCTTATTTCTTTTTTTATTATATAAACGTTTGATAATTAATCTCATAATAAAAAAAAACATTTTAAAAAAATTATATTCATTTGTTGTGATTAAACAGGGATGTTCCACCAACTATTGATTTCTTAGCGCTCCTGTCATTAAAACGGTAGTATTATGGTCTAAAATTAGTATAAACTTATGAAAAATGTTACTGTAACATAGGAGTCTGGGATCAAAAGAGGTGAGGATCCAAACGCAGCTTTATTTGAGAATTGTCAGGCAGGCAAAGTTTAAAACAGGGGCAGACAGGAGCATGTAGGTAATCACATAGTATAGTCGAAGTCACAGGCGAAAGGTCGGGACAGGCAACAAAACATCGTAAACAAGGAAACAAAGGTCAAAAAGGCTAGACAAGGCAGGAAAAACTCACTTACACAAGACTCAGAAATAATGTGTGTGTGTGTGCTGTGCTTATAGTCCATCTGATTAGTCCTGAACAGTTTCAGCTGTGTGTGTTTGCAATCAAGGGGAATCGGGGCCAGGTGTGTGAATGAAGTGCATGATTGGATCTGTAGTTCATGGCAGATTTGTAGTTCTCCAGCAATCTGCAAATGCTAGATCGCTGGTGATGGTGACAGGTACTTTATTTGTTATTTTAGGAAAAAAAAAAAAAACGTTCTAAACAACAATTTAATTCAAAATTTGGAAGAAATGTGATCAGTAATTTACAGAACAAATGACATTTTACTCAAAAATAACATATATGACCAATTATATATATATATATATATATATATATATATATATATATATATATATATATATATATATATATATATATATATATATATATATATATATATATATATTATATATATATAAAACATATAACTAATGGCCATTATATTTAAAGAGATATAACATTGTCCTAAAATATATCTTATTTAGAAGAATTATAATATATATTAATCTTTATTTCTATATTGTTCATCTATCTAAAATATTTGACATTTGAATGTTTCTGATTTATTTTTATTATCAATGTTATAATCATTATTATTATCGTGACTATGCATTTGTCTTTATTACCAGTAATAAATTACAGGATAAGACAGGTGAGGAAACGCTAAACCACTGTGGCCAATATAAAAATCATCTACGCTAATGCAGTGCTGATCATAAAGTCGGTGAACGTTCTATGATTTAATGCCATCTACATTGCAGAGTGTCGATATGAACTGAGACATAAATATTCTTATTCCTGTAACTACAACCACAAGGGTAATATTCAAAATGTAAAGCATCTCACTTTTTACAAGCATGACGTCACTGAACACACATGTAAACCGGGTTTAGGTTAATGCTCTGTCTGATGTCTAATGCGTTTGTCTAGTGATATTATCTTCTCCATCCCGACTCTGTCAAATCATATTTACACGAAATGAATTATTTAAGAATCCATTATCTCTGTTGTGTGCAGGGCTGAGTGCGATGGCGAGCAGGTGCTGCCCCGAGAGCGATTGAATGTGAAACTCAAGACTCGTCCCATCAGTGTGGATGCGGAGGGTGAAGTCGGGCTGAGCAGGCAGTTAAAGTGATTTGGCTTCTTCAAGAAGGAGGAGGAGGAGGAAGTGTGATGGAATGAGCCGCCATTAGCATCACTTTTAAAGGTTACAGTATGAGCGGCGTCTCTAAAGCCTGAGATCAGATTTATCTCAATGACAGGCTGAAGGACATCTAAATCAACTGATCAGAGGTCTGGATTGCAAGTAAGAGACATTTTTGCTCATTCAGAAAGTTGTACACAAAGAAAACTGGGTTTAAGGCAAGACATTGCTTGGTACTCCTTTAGTTGATTAATTTAGAATTGAGCAATTCCATAGAAAACCCAACCATAAAAGCGAATCCATTTTTTTTTGTCTAGGCTTGTATTTTACAGTACTGCAAAATACTCAAAAATGTCTCTGTCAATGTTTTCAAACAATCATATTTGATTTACCATAGTCACACAAGTGGCAGTTTCACATCTGTCACATCCATAACGCAGAGATGTCACATGGCAAGTCGTTTTGACATTTAATCCATAACCCGTACTAGTATCTTTACATGTCATGTTTTTAAAAATATACAAGCGCTTACTCATTAGACATGGGTTCTTTTATTAGTACTCATTCATTAGATACTAGTACTCATATATTAGATACTACTTTTTCAACTAGTACTTATTTATTAGATAACAGTACTAATTCATTACATACTAGTATCTATTTGATACTAGTTCTTATTAAAAACATACTGGTACCAATTTATTGCATACTAGTATTAAATATATACCAGTAGTTATTCATTAGTACTAGTATTTATTTATTAGACACTAGTATTTTTTATAACTGTTACTAGTAACAACTCTTATTTTTATCACCAGTTCTGCTTTTTACTCGTCTTATGTTATGACTAGTCCAATTGGAAGAGGTGAGTTTAATTAAACATTTTACTAGTAACATTTTAAACAAGTACTAGTATTTAATAAATGTGTACTAGTATCTTTTAAATAAGTTGTAGTATCTATTGAATAAGTAGTATCTAATTAATAAGCACTATATCTATTAAATAGATAATAGTATCTAATGAATAAGTACTAGTATCTAATACATAAGTACTAGTATCTATTAATTAAGTACTAGTATGTAAAAAAATATGTACTAGAATCTAGTGATTAACTACTACTTAACTATTTTCTAGTCCCAGCTAGAATACATAGTCAAAACTGAATAGCTGATATCTCAATGACATATCCTTTAGAAATCAATGAAAAAATTTAAATGTATTACTAGTAACAACAGAATAGCTACTAGTCACTATTAAAAAAGTACAATAATAAATAAGAGCTGGTATCTATTTAATAAAAATTTGTATCTAATTAATAAGTCCTATTTTCTAATGCATACTAGTATTTATTAAATAGGTACTAGAGTCTAATGAATGAGTTCTAGTCATTTATTCATTTTCTTTTCGGCTTAGTCCCTTTATTTATCCAGGGTCGCCACAGCGGAATGAACCGCCAACTTATCCAGCACGTTTTACGCAGCGGATGCCCTTCCATGCAACCATCACTGAAAACACTCATGCACTCTCATTCACTAGGGACAATTTTAGCTTGCAATTCACCCGTACTGGAGCACCCAGAGGAAATCCACACGAACGCGGGGTGAACATGCAAACTCCACACAGAAATGTCAACTGACCCAGCCAAGGCTTGAACCAGTGACCTTCTTACTGTAAGGCGACAGCACTACGTACGCCGCCACCGCATCGCCCATGAGTACTAGTATCTAATAAAAAGAATTAGTGTCTAATGAGTAAGGACTAGTATCTAAAGAATAGGCACTAATAAATAAGCACTAGTATCTAAAGAATAAGCATTAGTATCTAATAAATAAGCATTAGTATGTAATCAATAAGCACTAGTATCTAATGAAAAGTACTTAATGGAAAAGATACTAGTCTCCAAAAAATAAACACTAGTAACATGAAAATAGATACTTATATGGGTTATAGATTTAATGTTTTTGGTCACATCCATAACGCATCCTTATTTTCCTCATTTAAAATGTAATATACGTTTACAGATTGATATCTTTATGATTCTATTACTCTGTGGTTTGTAATTTTGGAAAATATAAAGAGATGTTTCAATATAATGTTAAACTATCCTCTGTGAATTTTTGTTTAAATTTTACTGCAAATATTATATCCATAATGCTGGAATTGCTCAATTATATTCTTTTTTTTTTTTACAAGTTTTCCTCAATGTTTGAATGTGCAAATAAGGCAGTGTATAATTAAATACATGATTAACAATTTCCTGTCAAATCTACAGTAACTAACTGTAAATCAATGACTGCACAAATACTGTGTTTACATTTACAGCACCATTTATCTTGCTGTTTGTGTATTTACAGTATTGCATATCTATAATTATAATCATAGTGCAACTAAAATACAGTAACATACTGCATAACTGTACTACGGTAAAACACATTTCTTATTACAGTTAAATACTGTGTGCTTTACAAAAATTGTTAACAGTGTATGGATTCATTTGCATATATTTTTAGCACGTCTTTTTTTTACACATTAGACTCAAACACATTTCATTTAGAGGATTTTGGGAATCTCAGAATATACAACAAATAGGGTTTTCCCCCCACATAACATATTCTTCTACCAAACCTACAGAATATAGATTAATCAAATTGTAAAGTTTGGTGTAGTGCTATTAAGTATGAATTTTAAGACATCGTGAAGGAAAATGTTACTCATTTTGAGAAAATGGACTATTTGAAATCTACAGAGACTAAAAGAAACACATAAAAGAGTTGATGTTTTTGACGTTTTCTTTACATTAGACTAAAAAAGGAAAAGCCATCCCAAAATGTCAACAGGTGAATGAAAGTGTTCGGCCTGCAGCATCTTGCCTTAAAAGGATTTACACTCTCTTGAGATGAAGAAATTAATAAATAAATCAATTAATCAAATTAATTAATAATTAATAGCTGTTTAATTTTACATGAAGCTCATTGGGGCCACCATGTTGACGTTACGTGACCAGCCAAATAGTATTTGCTTTGTCTTGGTGACCCCATTATTGTACATATAGACACACAGAATAAATTATTAATGGTTGTATATGAAGAGCACTTCATTTGAAGAGGAATTTTGCTTTACCATAAAAGATGTTTGCTGACACTGAGGAAATAAGTGAAAAAAGTATAGCATTTCAAAGATTTGAAGTCAAATATTAATCAATAAGTAATTCATTATTTTATTAGGTATAGCTGCATTAAAGGGATGAAAAGAGACTGAAAAAAGGTCAGAAACAAACTTACATTTATGATTTCTGTTAATAACTTAGGAGCAAAGTGAGTAAGTACCATATATAGAAATACATTTCAAAATTATTTGATAGTGGGTATCTGGTCTAATCATGATTATGTAAGTTAAGCACAATAATTGTGTAGTATAAATAGGAAACTGAAAGAAAAAATAAAAATACTGGTGTTAAACATATAAAGACAGATATATATCTGTCTTATTTCTGTATATATTATATTATATTATATTATATTATGTTATGTTATATTATATTATATTATATTATATTATATTATATTATATTATATTATATTATATTATATTATATTATATTTACAGCATTAAACAAAATTATACTGGCCAATTTAACTACAAAAAGTAAGTGAAATATAATCATGAATCATGAATAATAATGAAACAAACATATTTTTGAAATGAGTAAAAAAAATGCTATTGTCACACATAACACGGTGCTTAATAGTTGTTTAATCACCCATACATTGTTTGATGTTTTATTACTACTTTACATTAAATAACAACCAAAATTCTGAGCGTTCAGACATACCTTTCCCATCCCAGAAGTCTCCTTGCCTTTCCCAGCGGTTTGAAAGATGCTGGCCGGTGCTTGAGGAGGAGATTTCTGCAGGACACCACTGAAGTTTGTCAGATGTGGAGAAGCGCCGCTTTCTGAGAACGACCTTCCTCTCCTGACCATCCCATTCAACTTTTGTGCAGCCCTGTGAACGTTCAATAATTTAGTTTAGCTTAAACCATGATCCTTTTGGTTGATTTTTAATTAGATTTTTTTTAGAAGCGCTTACTTGACAAAGAAGGACAAGGCGGCGGAGGTTCCAGCGGGGAGCAGAGAAGACATGCTGGATGAACGGGACGGCCGTGACGGGCTGTAGTTGCACAGAGCTGTAGAGGTCATGTTCTCCTTCTCACACACCTTTCCTGAATGTGAAGGACTCTGGGAAGACTGAGAGAGATTTATCGTCACTGAGACTGTCGATTAGTAATTACAAAAAAATTAAATATGCTGAAACTTCATACATATTCAGGTCATCCACAAAAAAATACAACCCAGGCTCATTCTGAAAACATACTCCTATATACATTTCTGGAGAGCGCCAAATACATCCCAGCAGGTACGTTTTTTGCAGTTTTTGTCCACCAGAGGCCGATATGTACGCTTATTGAGATCTCAAATTTCTCTCGCAAGTGCCATTCGTGCCTGCTGTTCTCACATAACAGAGGCTCCAGAGGCTGCTATCGACTGACTGTTTGACTGACTGAATGACTGACTGATCGACTGACCCACTATCCCTCTTCCCTAAACCCAACCAATAGTGTTTTGAAAAGCACAGATTGACTCTTACACTGACTTCCCTAAACTCAACCAACAACTATAAAAAGGATTTCAGAAAAATAAGCTCTCATCTGATTTTACCATATTTTCACCCTGTTATTTACTCATTTATTTTATTTTTAGGATTTTGTTTTAGTCTTACGTGCTTTCTGGAACCGTTCTTCATCAGACTCAAACCCTGACGTCATGGTCATCTCCTCTCTGCGTCTTAAGTATGATAGCATTATTATAAATAATGTGTTGTGAATTGATTAGCTGCATATTTGTATGGAAGAAATCCATCAAGACATTTGGTATCACTTTATTTTGATGATCCATTTAAGTATAAGTAGACTGCCTGCCTAATATCTGTTGATACTGCTCCTTCAACAGACACATTTTACTGACTATGAGAAACTTTGCAAGTACATGTCAACTTACACTAACCCTAACCCCAACCCAAACCTAACAGTCTACTTATAATCTAATGAGAATTAGTTGGCATGATACAATGTAACTTTATTTTACAAACGGACCATCAAAATAAAGTGTGACCAGGCATTTTACCTAACAGCTATTATTCCTAACAAAAAAGGTTATTATTCATAATAAATATTTCTTCATTAAAACATTGCTCATCTAACATGACAATCCACCAGCATATTTTTTAAAAATAATGTAAATTATTTGTCCTTGTAAAAGGTTTTTGTCTGTGTATATTCAGATTCAGATATAGGAGAAAGATAAATTATGGATAAAGGACTTGTATTTTACATTTTCAGAAAAAAGGTACAAGGGGGTACAAAAAAAATGTTTCTTAAGGAACGGTTTTGTACCTTTGTAAAAGTTGTACTTTATATGGTACAGAAAAGACCACGTATGATACTCTTCTATAGCTTTTATGGTATAATTGAAATAAGAGTACACAATTGTTCTCATAAAAAGGTACAAATGTGTTGGACATTGTTTATTACAATATCAATGAAAATAAATATGACTGAAAAGGCAAAGTGATTTTATGAATAATTTTCATATTAAAACATGAACCATCATTTAAAAGCATATGATTAAGGAAACTCATAAACATTCATTATTAAGTTCTATAATACAAAACAACTGGTAAAACAAAGCGGTATTGTAAACTAAACATTTAAGGCATTTTTATAAAACATTATAAGCCTTTTCTGATAAATACATTTTCAATATTGATATCCGCACATTTCCACTACACAGGTGATCTGCCAAAAGTCCTGCATATCCAAAGTGTTCATGCAGACATTTTAGTATTGTAAAACTAATCAAACATTGTGCATATCTTGTACAATACTTTTGCATATTTTATTTTATTTATTTATTTTATTGCATATCTATTTTATAATTAAGTTAGTTAAATTAACTTTTAGATGATTTCAAAGGTATTGAGTGAAAATTTGAAAAAAGATGTTTTATATTGTAGATGGGAAAAGGTGTTTCAGAAACATTTTTGTGTAAAGTGTTGTGAAATGTTTAGCAAAAATAGATCTTTTGATTGATGTTACAGTATTTTTTTATTCTATGTTGTAAATGGAAAAGGCGCATTTACACAAAAAGATACTTTTATTTGATGTTTTATATTTACTGAAACAAAATTTTGGACACATTTTGGATATAGTAAAAGGCCTTTAAAAGTTCTTGAAGGAAAACATTTGACAGTACAAAGTGTCTTGTTACTGTAGTGGTACCTTCATGGATCAGATTTGTACCTCTGATGAAAAAAAAAGTTTGGAACCACTAAGTGAATTGTGTATACTTTTATTTTGTTTAGGTATACATTTTCAATACATATAAGAAGCAAATCTTCATCTTGGATAAGATATCTGTACATTTTCTTTTATTTTTTTGGCTGAATCACTCCATTAGCAGTACTCATTAGTGTTTTCTGTCCTAACTGAATGTCTTTCTGATGTAAACATGACGTCTGGGTGAACTCTACACCACGAACCTGACTGTGTGTAATGCACTGCAGTCGGTCAGACACTATTATTAGGGAATGTCACTACAAGCTGAGTCAGATGTGCAGATGAAGTCATGAAGCTCTTTATAAGTGTCTCAGCAAACAGGCAGTGAGTGCCTAAGGGCCTGCAAGTCATACTTTAGTCCAAAGCCTAACCTCTTCAGACTGCTTTTTTCTGCCTCTGCTCGAGTAAACCATGGCTTGCCTGCAGTCATCCTCATATCCAGAGAGTCACTCTCCGCCGTTATGTCTCATCAATGCTTTAGTCCAGCCATGCGAAATAGGAGCCCCTTCTTTGCCCCCCTCTATTGGCAGACTGTAACGCCAATTAGCGCTGGGATCAACCCTCGGGCAAAGCCAGCAATATTGGCTCCACTGTTATTCTTTTCTCCATCTCTTCTTCCTTTCTTTCTCACTTGTCTGTCCTCCAGAAAGAATCGGAGATTTAATTATGTGCACATCTGATTTCCGCTGTTACGCTTTCGCTTTCTAAAAAAGCATGCCTATCAGTGGTCTGCTCACTATTTCAAATCAAATGTATGCCTTCTTCTTTTATTTATGCTTATTTAAGTTTTACTACAAAGACTTAGTTCAGCCACTAATGAAAATTCACTGTTAATTTACTCTCTCTCTCTCTTTCTCTCTCTCTCTTAGGCCAATATTTGTCTTTTTTTTCCTCCAGCAAGGCATTAAGGGCTTAGTTCACCCAAAAATGAAAAGCCTGTTATTAATTATTCACCCGCATGTCGTTCTAATCCCGAGATCTTTATTCATCTTTGGTCTACAAATTAAGATATTTTAGATGAAACCTGAGAGCTCTTTCATCCTCCTAGACAGCAATGGTCCCGAGACGTTTAGAAAAGGAACCAAAACTGTTCCATGTGACTTCAGTGGTTCTAATGTAATCCTACACACTCAAAAATAAAGGTACTGTACATGTGAACATCAGTATCTTAAGAGTACACTTTTGTACGTTTAACCATGAGGTTCACATTTGTACTTTTTAAGTATTAATATGTACCTTTAAGGACCTGTTAGGAACAAAAATAATAATTAATAATAATTCCTTACATTTATAAAGCGCTTTTTCTGGACATCTTTACACATTTTTGGGGGGAATCTCTTCATCCACCACCATTGTGCAGCATCCAACTCGACGATGCGATTGCAGCCATATTGTGCCAGATCGCACACCACACACCAGCTTGAGTGGTGGAGAGAAGACAGTATTATAAAGCCAATTATGATTTAGGGATGGTTAGGAGGCCATGATGAACAGAGGCCAGTAGGCAAATTTGGCCAGGACGTTTAACATCTCATCTAAAAGATGGCGCTGATTAAGCAGTAATTCATTAAGCCCATTAAGCAGAGTCCCCTTCACTATACTGAGGCATTAGGACCCACACAGACCACAGGTTGAGCACCCCCTGCTGGTCTCACTAACACCACTTCAAGCGGCAAACTAGTTTTCCCATGTGGTCTCCCATCCAGGCACTGACTGGGTACAGCCCTACATAGCTTCAGTAGGTGACTATGTGAGAGTTGCAGTCTCACTGGCTAGCCATTGGCTAATGACAGATTTTGTACCTTTATTTCTGAGACTGTATGAAGCTCCAAGAACACTTTTCTACACCAAAAAAAAAAAGTAAAAACAACTTTGTTTGCCAAGTTTAAGCTTTTAAAAGTTCTTATGTACCTAATGTACAATGTGCCTTTTAAAAAACAAATGGTATACATTTTTATTGCCCAAAATACAATCTTATCCTTAATCCTCTACCACACACATTATGATCTATCTATCTATCTATCTATCTATCTATCTATCTATCTATCTATCTATCTATCTATCTATCTATCTATCTATCTATCTATCTATCTATATATATATATATATATATATATATATATATATATATATATTTGACTGTTTTTCTTTTTTTTTTAAATAGCTTAACTTGAAGTGCTGTAAAAAAAAAAAAATTTTATATATATAATACTGTATAATATGTTGCAACGTCCAACAATGGATCTAACTTAGAAATTTCACATTGAAAACTTTTCTTATAACTAATCATATTGTTGTTTAAAATGATTTAATTGGTGTTGCAGTATCATACGCTTTAACACAGAATTATATATGACACCTTATACATACTTTCCAACAACTCATATTCCAACAGCTTTCATTTAATCCATTATTTTTTGCTGAATATTATTAAAAACAAACATAATAATGTATTATCATGTATACAACATCCAGTAAATATAAATATTTTCTCCAGTAAATATTATAATAAATAAATAACAAGTCTAGTATATCCAGACGCATCAGAATACTGTAGCTACTAGTTAACAATATTTATATATTATACTATATACTACACCTGTCTTATCTGCCTCTGAGCTAACTTACCTGAACTGTCACTATCAAATGTCCAGTCTGCATCATTCTCATAGTCACTAAAACCCATCTCCTCCTCACTTTCATCTGCAGGAAGGCCAAGTTCTGTCCTTTTCTTCTTTCGCTTACCATAGAACATGGTGGTGCTCACTTATACACTGTTTGCTGTATTCATATTCAAAAGTAGTATTGCGATTAAAACTAGATTTTATCCATAATCCAAATGTCATTAACACATGACTAAAAAAACATTTTATTATTAGCATTCATGTTGTTATTGTTACAACTTAAAAGTTCACAGCTGACCTTCCTAGCTAACTAACCCATTGCAATATCGCAACGTTCCACTATTAGTCAGTGTTGCTATTTGGCAACACAAACATTTGATCGATTTACAAAAAACGAATTTGATAAAAAAAAATTTATTTGTGAATGTCATCATAATTGACTAAATGTGATGTTTTAGATTTTTTGTGGATCTGACATAATTTGATCTTTTGTTTTTATTGATGTTTACATTTGCATTTAGCAACTACTCACAATAATTGCCAGTCTGTCAGAAATCGCTCTACAGAAAAACACAGCACGTCATGTGACTTAACCAAAGCACATCATTGGCTATACTAAGGTCTTCTCTTTCCAAAAAAAAAAAATAATGTTGGTCTAAAAAAACAGTGGCAGGGAAATTAACATAAGTATCATGTTGCCGTATGGTTGTACCATGCAGTAGAGGGTTAAATATACAAAACTGGATACACATTTGTGTCTTTATGTTAAGGTATAATTAAATTGTACTGCCCCATGCAGTGACAAGGGTTTGTTCCTTCTTTGGTACAATATTGTACCTTTTTTCTGACAGTGTATAATACATTTTCTCTGCTTTGAGAAGTAGTTTTGTATTGTTTATAATTGTTATTATTATTTATTTATTATTTTTTTATTATTTTGTGTTACTTTGTGTTTTTCTCTGTTCTTTCTTTTTACACTTTTATTTTTTATTTAATAATTCAACTAAATAAATTGGATGTTTATTTTTTCCCCTTGAAATGTAGAGATAAAAATCCCATGATCAAAACAATTAAATTAAATCAAGGTAATAATGTTGGAAATAGTGTTCTGTTACTTGCATACACTAATTGTTTCCCTTCGTATGCGTGTGAGGATCCATGAGTATCAATTATGTTTTGCCTTTAAATGTTTTTTTTTTGTCTCTTAAAGTAGCCAATGACTTCCATTTTATAAATCACCAAGGACTAAAACAAGTAAAAATCTTCTTCAATGTCTGACTGAAGAAAAAAAGGAGTCACCAACATTGTGGATGCCCTGAAGGTGAGTAAATTACAGCAAATAAATTTTAGTGTGAACTTTTCCTTTAAGCACTGAGTGAATCCACCATGGATGTTTGTGTAATGAAATGGAGCTGGACTAATGGACCCGAGTGCCGTCATGCCCTCGCTCTGCATCATCTAAAGATCTGCTATAGTGAGTGCTGATGGAGCAGTCTGGAATATTCACTCTCGGCCTCACTTTCATAATGCATTCTCATTTCATCTGTATTTACGAGCGCACTGTATGAATATTTCACTGCTCATTAAATATTACAGCTATATCGATCAAGCTTCTTGTTTTTTCTAACAGGCTTCTCTGTGGTGTGGATTGGATGTGGCTTTCACCATTTACCAGCAGCATTCCTGTATCTGCTTCCTCTGTATTTTATCAAGGTCAGCTTGGGCTGTATATCGTGAGATGACACACATGTGGTGAGCAGACGCAGTTATGTATATTTAATGCATACACTCTTACATTATGCACATGGACGATGCACTGGATATAAAATATGAAGTGGAGAAATGGTTTCTCTCTTTATCACAAGTGTTTGGAAAAGGAATACATTTACTAGTATTCAAAACTTTGGGGACGGCAAGAAAATTGTAAAAATATTGTGAAAAATTCTTGAACAATTGCACTAAAGGGCCAGATTTATTTAAAAAACACAAAAGATTGTCAGACGAAATAAATTTATTGGACTTTTAATCGGAATTGTCAGATATATAAAGTGATTTATGTTTTATGCTCCAAAGCAGTCATATCACACATTAAAGTGAATTTTTTATAAAGCCATGGTGTTTAAATATTTATCACCAATATTTTTTTAAGTACAACAGAACAAACAAAGTCTCAGAATATACACTCTTTGAAGGTAAATATAATATGAATTGCCATACATGTGGGTTCAGCTGTTGGAGATAAAAAAAAGAAATGTAGTGTGTAGTCATCAAAAAGTCCTAAAAGGTAGTTTGCCAGTCAGTTTTTAGGGTTTCTGGATTTGGATTGGGATGTTTTAGGTCTAAGTATGTGAGAAAGGGTTCCTAGGAAGTAGAGATTTTTCCATTAGAAATGGACCTTATAAATTGGAGCCTTGCCAAATGGATGACGGATGCCATATCAATTAAAAAGATTTGAAAAGAAGAAGGTAAAGGGGATTTCCAGTTTTTTAGATTAACAAGCTTGGGCACAGTCAAGCGCTGTGTTGTGGAGGGAAATGTTATAGGCCTTGGAGTATAAATCAAAAATGCTTTCCAAAAAAACTTAAGAGGGGCAAAACCAAAATGCATGAGCTGTGGTGTCCCCTGTAGTTTTACACTTATCACACATAGGTAAAAAAGAAGAAAAAAAATTGTTTAATTTGGTTTTGGTATAGTGTAGGTGATGAATACATTTTGCTATCATGATTTTTGATATTACATAACTTTGTAAACATTTGTTATTACCATTTATGGAGTCTCCCCATACATTTTGATAGCCACTTCGCATGACGTCAAACTTAACAAGTGGATACATATTGTATATGTGTATGAAACAATCACATAAGTATATGACATATGGCGAAAGTGCTAAATATAACTTTTGATACAGATTTTATAATATTACATGCAAGTTTACAAAAATCAGATACAACAGCTAAAGGTGTCTATTGGCACAAAATTTACTTTTTTTTATTGTTATGTCTTTAAAAACTGCTTGTGTCATTTGAGCATCTGCAAAGCATTGCTCCCCTACTAAAATTATGCATTTTAGAATTTGTTTTATCTATTTCAAAGTCAAAAAAAGACATAAAGACATAACAAAATATCCATAATTAGAATACAGTCAAAATAGTCGATGTAAATATAGCTAATAATCCATTTTATACAAACATACATGCATATGTCAGTGGTACAAATCAATCTAAAAAAAGTTGATTTTATGCTCAAAAAACATTTTGTATAATTATAAATGTTGAAAACCATGCTATATTTTTTCAGAAACATTTTAAAACTATATTTTGAAATACACTGAAACATTTAAAAATATATTTTTTCTGCTGTTTTAAATGCAAAAAATAATGACAAATGTGTGTGTTTATTTACCCGGTGTCACTGTCACAATCACCAGCAATCTAGTCCATACAGATCGCTGGAAAACTACAAAAGAACTACAAATCCTATTTTACTTGTTTACACACACCAGTTCTTAATCACTGATGATGACACACATTGCTAAGTCTTGTTTTATGCCGTGTTGTCTTGCCGTGTTTCGATCCTTGCTTTGTTTAACTGTTTTAAACTGTTTTGATTCTTTGCTGCCACTTTTGCCTGTATTCTGACCAGGTATTTTGGATTACCTTTATTCTTCTGTTTTGCTCCTCTTTTGACCATTGCCTGTCTGACTACTACGAACTGCACGTGAATCCGTACGTAACACTCATGTCGAAACATAAATATTTTAAGTAGTGTCTGAACATAGACTAATATGCACAATTCTGTATGATTTAATTCCATTGCGGGATGAGCAAATCATACTAAATACAAATGAGAACTAAGAAATTCATATTAATCCGCAACTAAATAAAAAAATTACAAATTGCTTGAGATTGCTTTGTATTTTTCACATTAGCTAATTCAACGTGAAGATTTCTCTAAAATAACCTAAACAAAGCCTAATAAATTAGTTGTTTATTGTTACTTGTATGCCACTTAATGCAAAAACTAATATTACAAACAAAACCTTATCATAAAGTGTAACCATGTTATCAAATAAATACACAAAATCCAAGACTTACCTTCTGGGATTCTGGATGAATTCCTTTGCATGAGGACAGGGGCCACAGGGCCTCAAAATGCTGACGGCCCTTAATCCAGCAATGAGGAGCTGCTTCACTGGGCCTCTGATGGGGGTCTGAGACGACAGATCGGTGGCTCCAGGTTCTGGGGAGCGTTTGTGAGCCTGGGTCTGGGGTTGTGGATGGGATGTTGGCAGTAGATGGGGGAGTCCATATGGCTCGGTCCTGGGTAAGGATGGTGCGGATGGCCTCCTGCTTCAGCTGGCTATAGTGAGCGGAGCAGACGCTGCATCGGCCCTCCACACTGCCCCAGGACTCCACACTAGCAGGGGCTTTCATGCTCTCATAAAGATGAATGGAGATTTTGGGATCCTGGGGGGAGCATGGAAAGATGTTGTTGATGAGGGTTGACTTGCTTGGAGAAAAAACAACAACTACTAAATGGATATGTATTTGTTTAATTAATTAATAATTGGTAATATGGAACTTAAAGCTTATTTGAATTGTGTCAGTTATTTATAAATGTAAAAATATTTAATGAAATTTGGAAATATGTCAGTAAATGGTAACACTTTAGGTTTGATATTAGTTCATATTTGATTAACTAAAATAATGATTTTATTATTTTATGTTATTGTTAGTTCATGAAAGTTCAGGGATATTAAAAATATTCACATATATACTACTCTCAAATTATACATTTTTAAAAAATATTATTTGTCAAATATGTACTTTTTAAAATATATTTTACTTTATTATAGTAATTATTAAAAATTTACATTTTATGTATTTTTTTTACTTTTAATTTAATATTTTATCAAATTTAATTAATAAATAATAACAAACAGGTTTTTTATTAAACTATTTACATTCATTTGTTTGATACTTAAGAATTTGTTTTTATCTAAATAAAATAATTTATAATATATATTTTTTACCTTTTAAAAGCTTTTATTTTTACATGCCAAAATAAGTATGAGACTATGTTTAGACATAAAGAGTTTTTTTTCATGTTATACAGAGCAAACAAAAACAAAACACCCCTTTCCCAGACCACTAGACATAGGAACAATATAAAATATTTCAATATGGTCATGTCACTGGCCCATGAACATTTCCTGCTTGTTGTCAAACTATTTCAGAACTGTAACAAGAGGCAATTTAATCATAACTTATAATATCAAAAGAGCTATCATAATATTATTTATCTATATGTGGCTCTTTTTAGATTCTTGAAAGCTATAGAAATTAAAAATGTAAAACAGGAAATACATTGGGACTATTGTTTTTGTTACAATCCTTAATGAGGTCTATACACTCAAATGCCCATAGAGAAAATAAAAGATGAAAACATGTCATAAAAATAAAATATGACATTAGTTCCATTTTTCTCATATTGTCATGTTGTGTGCGTCCAGTTCCATCACAAGAGCTAAAAAAGGTTGCCAGACCTTATAAAATTTCTCAACAGACCCTTTGATAGTATTATTTTCTCCAACTTGAGATGAGACATCACTTCTCTTATCCAGTGATTATGTGTTGGTGGAGTCTTTCCATTTTAACAATATCATCGTCTTCTAGCCAGAAGAAAACCAAATTAGGCTAACATTTTAATTTTGTCTTATGTTAAGAGGAGTGTTCTCAGGGGCCACCCTGAACACCACAAAAAATGAGGATGGCTCTACTACCACCCTAAATGCCTCGGAGAAGGTCTCAAAAATACTAATCCAGTACATGTAAAGCTTTGGACATGTCCAGAACATGCGCAGCAGAGTAGCAGGAGCCTCCCCGATCGCATATGAGATCAATGTCAGCTTTAATCTTAAAGAGTCTGACTTTTCACCAGTGCAAATCAAAGAACAATTTTTAATTGGATGATGGAAAAATTCCTTGTATTATTTTGTGCCAATTTTCGTCTGAAATTGATTCATCTAAATCTGTCCATTTATTTTTAAGCTAATCTAATGATACTTTATCTTGCATGTTGAGTAATTCAAATATTTTATTATTTAGACTTATTTTCCATGATTTACATTGTATTTATTAATTTATTATTTATTGTTTTTACATTTATATATATATATATATATATATATATATATATATATATATATATATATATATATATATATATGTATATTTATTTATTTATTTATATATATATATATATATATATATATATATATATATATATTTTTTACCATTAGTAAACACTGAAATTAACATATCGTAAACTAGTCGTAACAAATATATCATTATTTAATTTAACTAAAGCAGGATTTGTTAACAAATAGAAAATTGGTAACAAATTGAAACTTAAAATTACCCAAATTTTTTACATTTTAAAACCTAGATTTATCATAAATTCCATAATTTCTCAAAAAAGGCTTAAAAAAGTGATCTAGTACCCTATTTCTCCCCACATTCACCAAACACTGAGACAAATGCCAGCAGCAAATGCATTTGTGCCTCAGCTGATCGCATGGTGTCATTTACTTTATTGTTCTCCTCAGTAGAAACTGAGTTTTCATATTCCGCCCATTACGCTCCATATTCTGTAATCAGGGCTAGCCAAGTGTCACATGAATCACAAACCAACTGCAAAGGCTAATCGATTTAAACTCGTTTCAAGGGAAAGGAAAGGGGAAAAAAGCATGCGCCTCATATGTAATTGAAATATGAGACAGAATCTGTGCTGATGGGGTGGAAATGCAGCTCACTCAACACCACCCTATAAAGTGCATTGCTCTCAAATGCATGCGATTTCTTTTTATTTGAACAAATATACTTACTTTAGTAGAAAGGTTTCCGTCGATTACTTGTTTTAACGCTTCCCCTCTGAAGACGTTGAAATGAGAGATGCACTTTTTGCATAAATGCCCGGTGTCCAAAAACTCTCTTTTCGTCCCAGTGGAGCTGTATTCAGGCTGGTAACCGTTTAAAGTGTCTTTGGGCCATTTTGATCGAAGGAGAGAGTTTGTGAGGGGTGTCGGCAGCGAGCCTGCAAACCCTGTCCATGGTGCTGCATGGGAATCATAGGCTGAAGATCCTGCGCCTTCGGGTGCGGGACGCTCCTTCTGCGCGGCGGGACCCCTCAGCACGGGAGCCGTTTTAACATTGGCCATCTGTGAAATTAGATATAAACGTTAACGAGTTATATTCTTTTAGGGGGTAATTTTATTCTGGCGTATATAGACAAGTCATTATGAATCATATTTAGTCATGATGCAAGATAAATGATGTAGAAAAGACCAGTCACACTTACCGTGAAACGCTGACCGCCTGTTGTTTCACAGTATCCCGTTTGATTCCTCATATTCTGAACAAACAGATGCTTAATATATTCATCTGAGTTCGTCCTTTACAAGTTTCCATTCGTTGTTTCACGACAAAACAATCCGACTTCACCTGGTTTAAAATGATGAGATGTTCTCCTCACATGAAGTGATTGCCCTTTTTGTTCTTTGAGGACTTGGTGATTTCTTGAGTAGAAGTGAAATTAGATCTCCGTTTACGCAGATGTTAAAAGTCCTTGATTTAAAACCCCTTGCGAGGTGTTCGTTTGATTAGTGTTGTTTTTAAACTCGTTAAGTTTCTTTTAGAAAACTCTGCATGCATAGCTCGTATTGTTAAAAAAAGCTTTTTATATTAGTCCTTCGGTTGTTGTTGCATTATGTCTTCATCTTTTTTGTTCTCCGTTACAGTACCACCCACTTGTCATTGCTCTAAGGAATAGAGATCACGCTGTTGTGGTTACGGTTTAGTGAGATTAATCATGAGATAGCGCCACCCATCGGTTAACATTTACATCTGCAACAGGCTGCGTGTGGTTCACACAAGGCATTGAATGCAAAGTTTGGAGATTAATGCATTTTAGTGAACGAGAAAAGAAATTTAAAATTTAATTTAATGTGACATTTAACTTTTTTGTTGTTGTTGTTGTATACACTGTAAGACCCAATAAGTTAAGGTAACTCAAACCATTTAAGGAAACCGATTGCAACAAACCATTTAAGTAAAAAAAAACTTGTACTGAGTAATAAGTAATCAGAACTTAATCCATTTGAGTAAAAGAAGCTATTTGAGCACAGTAAAGCCCAATAAATGAAGAGAACTGAGTACTGTAAAACCCGATGAGTTAAGTCAACTCAAACCAACTGAGTACTGTAAAACTCAATAAGTTAAGTCAACTCAAATCGTTTGAGGAAACCGATTGCAACAAACTATTTGAGTTAAAAAACTAATCTATGAGTACTGTGAACTTACTCCATTTAAGTTTAATTAATGAGGTATTTAATTAACTCATTATCTTCAACACTGAGTTCAAAATCATTTCAAATGAGTAGAATTAACTTTTTAGTAAATTTTGAGTTAACTACGCTCATTTTGTTTTGATAAAGTTGACTGTTGGGTTTTACAGTGTAAGGGAGAGCAGGAACGAAAGTTACATTCATTTTCATGAAAACCCAATTTTAAAAGATAATGTTTTTATCAGAAATAAATGTTTTGCTGTGGTTACTAACTCACAAGAGTGGTCTATCAAAATCAGGTGTTTTTTTGTATCAAAAACTTCAAAATAATCTCATTTTAAACAAGTTATACCTTGTTGCTTTTGACCCCGTCAGCAGGGATTTTTTTATTTAACATTTCACTTACATCAAATGTTTCAAAAGCAATCCAACAATGCAAAATGTTTAAAATTCAATACAATTTTTAATATTTTTTATTATTATTGGCTATATGCATTAATCTTAGAACATCAGAACACTGCAAACTCTAATGTGGAAGGTAAAAATGATGCATGGCTATTAGCAGTGGACATAAATAACAGTGTTACTTTTGTCCAAAATGGAACTCTTGCCATTTAAAGCTGATTTACAGAAAAACTCAGACATTGCAAACTCAAGGATGTGTTATTGCACTAAATAATCTGTAGATTGATCATTAGTGTGACACATGAAAAGAAAAAAAAACAACTTGTAATAAGGAAAAAATAACCACTACAATAATTTACTTTCTGCACTTAAAAACTGAAATTTGGAGCAAAACATTTTTTCAGCAATTAAAAGTAAAGGTAGGCCTACTCACTCTCAGGTCATACAAGATTTAAGCTTTTTTTTTTTTTCTTTAATTGAACTTTTTAAACCATCATTTTTTGGTATGCCATGCATAAAATATATGTGTGCATGATGCCGATCCTTTTGAACACAAAACAAACAAACAAACCAAAAAGCCAAAACTGTGAGAGATCTGATAAACCACTTTTGATTGCGGATCAATAAATAATCATGAAATAATAGTTGAATTGTACATTTTTTCAACCCAGCAACACGGTTGCTCAATGGTAAGCACTGTCGCCTCACAGCAAGAAGGTTGCTGGTTCAAGTCCCGGCTTGGTCAGTTGGCATTGCTGTGTGGAGTTTAAAATATACTATAAAATATACTATAAAATATATATTTTTCCATATCAGGACATAAAAAATATCTGATTCTTGGCAGGTTTTTAAATTTTGAAAAATAAAACCTCAGATGAATAACATAGCATTAAAAAAGTCAGGCAATTCCAATCAAATGCCTGAACTGGTGATTATCTGCAGAAGTTGGTCTGAAGCTTCAGTGTGTGTGAACACAATGCCCATCTCACAGCTGAAGCTCCGCCAAAACTAGGTCATGCAACCAGACAATGATCACCAGCAAATGTACAACAGAACAGCTGTAAATAAAAAAAAAATAATCAAGGTGTTGCAATACTCCAGGCAAAGTCCAGACCCTATTCTGACTGAAAAAACTCATCCAGAGTGATCTGTGAGAGTGATTAGTATGCTACAGAAAATGCTTACTTTAACTTATTACTGCTAAAATGGATCTACATGCATCTATCTAAATCAAGATGTCCTAAGTTTGTCACCCATGGCTTTTCTGTTGGCTTTATTTTTGATGAATAAAGAATAATAGTGTAAAATGTCATGTGATGTTGTTCATCTGAGGTTTTATCTTTCAGACCTGTCAAGGACCATGTCGTTTTTTTTATTATTTTATTACAGAACACCATGAAATTCAATATGGTGTCCTAACTTTTTTACATTACTATATGTCTGACTTCCCTAATGGCCAATGAGCAATTTGCACCCTTGCTAATGGCCCTGAGGACAGTCTGGAGAAGATAGTGATGTATGCTAACTCACATGGGAGTTGACACAGATTGTTTACAACAGTGAGAGAGAATGCATCTGGTTTATTTTTCAGGATAATTATTCTTGAGCTTATCATGGATGCAGCAACCTAGTAGTAAACAAACAACGTAAGGTCAAACATGAGTTTGACTCCAAGTTAGTGAATGAAGCCAATGTTAAGGCTCTTGCATATGGTTTGTCTAGCTTCCTATATAGGACCTCAACATGTAGGAGCCAGAATATTTATTCATCAGAATTAGTTTTATTGCCAAGAGTGCTTCATATACACACGGAATTTGTTTAAGCTTCCAGTGTACCTAAAGTAACAAGTGACAACACAAAATAAATATGGAAAAAATAAATACGATAAACATTAAACAAGATGCGGTTAGTCAAAAAGCTCTGAATGTTGAATTGGATGTACAGATTTGTTATAAATATACAAGTTATAAGGTGTTGTATTAAAATCCGAATGGAAAAAGTATTGCATTATGTATTGATATAAGGAGCTGTGTACAAGTGCGTATGAGAAAGTACTGCACAGTTGGGGAATATTTAGCTGTTCATGAGGTAGATGGCCTGAGGAAAGAAACTTTTGTATGGCTGTTTTTGTGCTTGGTGCTCTAAAGCTCCGACCAGATGGTAACAGTTTGAACAGTGTGCTGGGTGCGAGGTGTCCAGAGTTTTACTCACTCTGGAAGAGTACCGTTCTTGAAGTGATAGAAGGGTAGTGCTATTAATTCATTCAGCAGTCCGGACTATTCGCTGTAGTCTACGAAGGTCCGTTTTGTCAGCTAAGCCGAACCAGATGGTGATTGAAGTGCAGAGGGTGGATTGGATGACAATTGTACAATTGTATAAGCAGCTCCTGTGGCAAGTTGAACTTCCTCAGCTGACGAAGGAAGTACAGTCTCTGCTGGGCTTTTTTTCACAATAGAGTTTATGTGAATGTCCCACTTCAGGTCCTTAGAGATGGTGGTGCCCTGGAACCTGAATGACTCTACTGCAGCCACAGTGCTGTTCATGATGGTGAGTGGGGGGAGTGCAGGGGGGTTTCTCCTAAAGTCCGCCAACCGCTCCACCTCCTGTCTGTATGCAGACTCGTCACCGTTCCGGATGAAGACGATAACAGTAGTGTCATCTGGAAACTCAGGGAGCTTGGTGGAGGGGTCTTTTGCGTTGCAGTCGTTGGTGTACAGGAAGAAGAGCAGTGGGGAGAGAGCACATCCCTGGGGGGTACCAGTGCTGATGGTGCGGCTGTCGGATGTGATTTTACCCATTCCGATAGCTGTTGTCTATCTGTCAGAAAGCTGGTGATCCTCTGACAGTCAGAACTAGGAACAGAGAGCTGATAATAATGTGGAAAATACCTGTCAGCAATGCATCTTTTTTTAAGACTTTATTTTTGTATTGAAAACTTTGCTATTGGGCAACACTGTGGTGCAGTGGATAGTGCTATCGCCACACAGCAAGAAGGTCGCTGGTTCAAGCCCCAGCTGGGTGAGTTGGCATTTCTGTGTGGAGTTTGCATGTTCTCCCCGTGTTAACATGGGTGGATTTAGTAATTTTATGGCCCTAAGTAATTCCAGCCAAGGGGACCAAAAGTTCTAAAATGCACATTTTTTTATTTAATTTTTTAAAATTATTATTATTATGCAATTTTTTTCTTATATCATTCGATCTCGCTTTCTACATTTTATCTTTATGCAAAAACATGTAAAGCACCTTGTAAAATTTTTTCAATTATTTGTTTTCTTAAGTTGAATGCACAACCAAACATAATAAAGGACCTGTTTTTTTGTTAAAGCTAAATCTTTACTGATTTTACTGCTAGACTGGGCTATGATTAAAGATGGGGGACACATCTGCGCAGAGGTAATAATTACCAAATCAAATTTTTAGACCCTCACTAAACAAAATGTGACAGAAAACGATGTTATAATTTATAGTATCATTTATACTTCTAGGTATTTATTTGGGGGCCCTCAGATTTCCTGGGGCCCTAAGTGGCTGCTTTCCTTGCTTATTGGTTAAATCTGCCCCTGCACATGGGTTTCCTCCAGGTGCTCCAGTTTCCTCCACAGTCCAAAGACATGCGCTATAAGTGAATTGAATAAGTTAAATTGGCCATAGTGTATGTATGTGAATGAGTGTGTATGGGTGTTTCCCAGTACTGGGTTGCAGCTGAAAAGGCATCCGCTGCGTAAAACACATGCTGAATAAGTTGGCGGTTCATTCCTTTGTGGCGACCCTTGATGAATAAAGGGACTAAGCCGAAAATTAATGAATGAATGAATGAATGAATTTTGCTGTTGTCAACAAAGATTTCCTGTAAGTCATTCTTGGCTAAAAAAAAAATCTTGTTAAGCAGGTAAGAGGTATTTAAACATTGCAAGACAATGATATGAACGCTGTAAAATGTATTGAGAAAGTAAAAGCTCGATTTGCAAATATTTTTGAGTGATTGTGAACAGAGCCAGGGTAATGTATTTTTTTCAGTGATCGTATATTCAATGTATTAGGCTTTTGCTTGATAATACAATTCATAAATGATAATAAATTCACAAATTGCATTTGGTTTATTGGTATATTTTGCCTATAAGCAAAAAATAGGCTTGTTTGAAAAAAAAAAAACATTTTTTTCTTTTATACCAAATATCATTACAATTTAAAGATCATATTTCATTTATTTATTTACTTGAACATTTACTGTAAATATAACAAAATATCCAGCATATATTACGCAGCGGATGCCCTTTCAGCTGTAACCCATCACTGGGAAACATCAATGCAATTTCATTCGCACACATTCACTATGGACAATTTAGCTTATCTAATTCATCTATACCAAATGTGTTCGGACTTTTTGGGGAAAACAGAGCACTAGGAGGAAGCCCACACAGACATGGGGAGAAAATTGTCCTATCCTAACAAAGTACATTAATGGAAAGCTTAATTATTCAGCTTTAAAGCATTTTAAAATTCCTGCTTATCCCCCCAAATTCACTCAACTGCTGAAGAAAATACTTAAATGTACATGATTAATATGCTTGAATTAAACGTATTGAATTTTTTGTTAATTCCTTTGTGTACTTTTTTTATGTATAACTCTGTATTCCCGTTTAAATGAATGAATAAATAAATAAATAAATAAATAAATAAATAAATAAATAAAAAAGAATAATAAACACCCGAATTCATCTACCAAAATGGGGGCATGTTTAAAAGTCGAGGAGGATCATTTGTGCTGGACACGCCCATGTTTCCTCGGCACAGTAGATTTGGGAGGGGTCTGAGTACCTAAGGCGCCATTGAATTGTTTTGCCGGTGGACAGACGCAGAATCACCGCGGCTGTGTGCAACTCACAGAAGCGAAGCGGCCGTCGGCTCCCCTGCATTGCTATATTCAAACAACCGAGTCTCTCTGTTTTTATTAGACCATCTACGCTAAATCGACAAGATGAGTGAAATCAACGTGAAAAAGCTTAAGGTGAACGAGCTGAAGGACGAGCTAAAGAAGCGGCAGCTCTCTGACAAGGGGTTGAAGGCCGAGCTCATGGAGCGTCTGCAGGCCGCGCTCGACGCAGAGGCCCAGGCCCAAGAGGAAGAAACGACCGCGCCAGGGACTACAGAAGGTAGTAAGGTAGGAAACGATGCCGATGGAAACGGCGTTGCAGCCGAACAAGAAGGTACGGGTGAAGAAGAGCCGGAGGGGGAAAACATGGAGGCCGAGGAGCAGAATGGGGAAGGAGATGAAGCCGCCGGTCAGGACGACGAAATGGGAGAGGAGGAGGAGGAGGACGACGACGACGACGACGCCGGGGAGGAAATAGACAAAGCCTTAGACGATGAAGATGATGAAGAAGACGATATCATTGACAAAATCGACGTTGAAGACGGTGAGCTTTAATCTCATCCATTAGAGGGTGAGTTTTTTTGGTGTAAAAAGCGGTTTTCTGGACGCGGGAGGATCGAATTCACGTGCGCATTGAAGCCGGTGAGATCATCGTTTAGCATAGGTGGCTAATGGCTAACCGGGAGCTATTGTGTATGTAGCCGACGTGCTAATCCTTTGGATTTGAGTTTAGTTTCTGTACTAGCTCTGAGCTTTTTTTAAAGATTGAGTTTACGGTTTTGAGTTTTATTTTTTATTTATTTGTTTGTTTTCAGTGTAACGTTATGCTAGTTAAGCTAAGTTAGTCGAAACGCCCGCGCTAGCTAGCCTTTTGTCTTTTGGTTTGTTGGTTATTGTGCATATTTTGTTCTGAATGACTATATATTTGCGCTATAATCTGCAAAATAACAGTTTTTTGTTATATCTTTTTATTTTGGTCGGTTAGGCTAATTTAGGCAACGGTGAAATGTCTCGCGAGAGAATAGCCTCGCTGCATGCTCGAGGCGCGCTGTTCTCGCGTGGACGCGGACGTTGTTGTGCAGAAAACCTTATGGTAGATAATGCAGAATTGATGGGATTAGAGCGGAAAATGAGTGATAAGGTTGGAGTCGTATTTTTCAAATTTATTTGATCATATATTAGATGGAGCGTCCAAAGAAAAGGCCATTGTTTAGTTTCTGTTCAGAATTCAAGATGGCGCCGTCTGCTTCCGTTCGAGGTCAGTTCAGGATAATAAATTGACGCTGTTCGCCTAATGATGCTCATTCAAGATGTGAGCATTTATTGTATAGCCAGCTGCAGAAGCCTACATATAAAACACATATTGTAACATAATATTCACTTGTGAATGCATTACATTGTTGCAAAGAAAAGCACTTGATACACAATTGTTTGCACCACCCATATTATTTTTGTCTGATCTGCTTAACACAGTCAGATCAATGTTGCAGTTTAAATCCTGAATGCCATAATGATATAACCAAGCAAATTATTCTGTCTGATCAGAGGTGGTCGGCTCATCTTCTAACTGGTGGAGTCCGAGCACTCCTGTTGTGTGGGCCACCCTTAAAACCCAGGGTCCAACACGTCCGGGCATTTCATTACTGTTTGTTTTATTTTCAAAGGGGATGCGGACAAAGACAGCAGTGCTGATCAGAAGAATAAGAAGGGTGTTAAGAGACGCCGAGAGGATCATGGAAGGGGCTACTTTGAATTTATTGAAGAAAGCAAATACAGCCGGTAAGGATGAGAGTAAAGGCCTTCATTATCCCACGAAGTGCCAATTTTAATATATTTCTGTGTATTGGCTTTAAGTGCCAATGCTTTATCTTGAAAAGAAATGCAACCCTCATCTACCTCTTAAATAAATACCATATTTGTTGGGGGTCATTCTTGAGTAAAATGAAACGCCTTACCTTCAGTGAGATCATGGAACCACAACAGTCCTCAGATGCAGAAACGATAAATATTATTGTTACACATACACTCTCTTCTCAGGCTCACTGTGTGCGCGTGTGGCAGTTCAGGCAGTGAATAAAGCAATCATGATAGTACGGGATACGGCTTTTCTGTCAGTGGCAGTGACGTAGAGCTTATCGCACAGTGTCATGACGTAATGGGGCGGTTAATAATGGTAATAAAGCAAATTGTAATTTTCAGTTGCTTGTAATAATTGTGCCTTTTTCTTTTTCCTTCGTTTTCTTAGTAAGATCTTAATTCTGAAAGGTTGATTGTTATATTTTACGATTTTATATGTAATGTAATTTGGGTAAAGAACTGTATTAACTCTTCCTTTTAAAGTTTTTCACGTGTGATCGGCAGGTAAGTACAGCATCTGCAGATTCTACACATTGTGATGAGACAAAGGAAATCTATTTAATTCTTTTAATGCATGTTTTTTGTGTGTGTGGTGCTCAGATTCAGACTGAATACATTAACTATCTTTTCTTTTGTATTTCTCATCTATAGTGGACCATTGTTTGTGGCTAGAAATATTTTACTGTTAAAAAATTCCAAATGGAAGGACGCAATCATGAAAATCTTTATGGCTGTTTGACTTTTTGGGCCTTTACTGTATGATTTATTGTTTCTAACAAAGAAGTTGTTTCATTAACTGACCCAGTCACTAATGACATCCATTAGTTTGTTGGGGGATCTCATAGGTTGGTTCATAGGGCCCTGGAGGACATTATAATGGTTTCATCCCCCATACATTATGAAATGTAAAATTGAATGGCTCCTGTCAATACAGGCCCTCAGGTAAAATCTGTAGCCATTTAAACTCCTTCAGTTTGGAATTACAAATTCTTCAGAAATCTCTCCAGTAATCGTAGTACATGTTAAAGTCTGTCTTGTTTATTTTGGTAACTGCTAAAAAACTTAAGGTGTCCCTAAAGGCCCTAATATTCTCGTTGCAATTTTATTATATATATATATATATATATATATTTTTTTTTTAAATGTTTCAAATACTTGAGCCATAGTATAATTTTAACATGTTGTTACCGCCAAGACTGTAAAGTGTTCAAACTAGAGTTGCACTGAAATGAAAATTCGGCATGCCAAAATCTAAAACCATAAAGGTTTTTATATATATATATATATATATATATATATATATATATATATATATATATATATATATAAAATACTTTTGTAAGACTTATAAAAAATTATACAGATTTACAATTCAACATTATAACCATATTTTATCTACCGTGATATTGCATTGACTTTTCTGGTGAGCATGTGCACTTCATGCTTGGATATGAGTACAGTTAGTGTCCCCATAAAGCTAGTCTAAGGTGTACTCTGCTGAAATGAATAGGTTTCTTAATGCAGCACTTTCTGCATCCAGTGTAAAAGCCAATTCAATCTAGGCAGTAATTTTATCTAGAGGAAAAGTGTAACCAGGGTTCTGAAAACTGCTAGGTAGTGTGATGCAGTCTTTTTTTAATAGGCAGTTCTCTTTCGGCTAAAACTGAAAATAACGTTATCCATTGATTTTTGTTTTTGGCAGTCAAGTTCCGTACGTCCCTGATTTAAAGATCATATGATCATCAAATGATAAATATAAAAATGTGCAATTTCTCTGTAATTGGGCTTTGCATTTTACCTTTTTTAACAGACAAGCATTCAATATTAGTGATGTATACATATTAGCTTGATTTGTCCTTTCCAAAAAAAGATGTGGATGTAGATGAATAACCTTAGACCTTTTCATATTGTAATTTGATTAAGAAAGGTCACAATCCTCTCCACATAGGAAACATATGACGTTCACTTTCAGTTTTCTTTCAGGCTTCTTCTCGAGGTACACTGGTAAGCAATGATGGTAAATTTTGCATTAAAACAAAATGAATTCATCAATGTAAGGTAAACTAAATTGACTGATGCTGCTCTGGCTGTGATGGAGGACCTCACCTCGACGTGGGAAGCATGCCATTCCATCACTCCCCAATTTTTCTGATTCACTCATTGCATTAATGGCATTTTGCCTCTCTTTCAGGACCAAGTCTCCTCAGCCGCCTTTGGAGGAAGTGGATGAAGAGTTTGATGACACCCTGGTCTGCTTGGATCCATGTGGGTGTTTTTTTTTTTTTTATATGTGAAATGTTCTGACCAGGAGTATTAAATTGTTAGAAACTGTTCAAAGTTAGACTAACAAATTTGTTTATTGGTTCTAGACAATTGTGACCTTCACTTCAAAGTGTCCCGGAACCGTTACAGTGCCTCCTCTCTTACCATGGAGAGTTTTGCTCACCTTTGGGCAGGTGGCCGTGCATCTTATGGTGTAAACAAGGGCAAAGTCTGCTTTGAAATGAAGGTGAGGCCTACAGCTTTTGAATTAGGACTTCATAGGAGTGTAAGAAACTCATATTATGGTATTATAAGATCACCATAAAAGCTGCTGTTTATTTGGTGAAGATAAACAAGTGTTCTTTTTATTTTAATGTTTCTGCCATCTCTTGTAGAAAAAAAATCTAGTTTTGTTTTAAAGCAGAAAGTGTTTGCATGTTGTTCCTCGCTTTTTCTTGAGTTGCAGTCCCACAGTTTTTTTTTTATTTTTTTTTTATTTTTTATTTTTTTGCCATTTTAGTGACATTATTTTTATATATGCCGTGGTTGACATTTGAAGTGGATCAACTTTTATTCTACTTGGACTACTCGGTTGTTTTAAAACCAAAATGTGTGTTGAATTATAGCTTTTATTTTAAGCGAAAAAAGCTTTACTAGTTTCGGATTGAAGCTTTCCACTGTTAATTATCCCTATGCAGCTCAAAACATTGATTCACAGAAATTGAGCTATTTAAAAATGCTTACACAATTATAAACCACTGCAGCTTACTCTTGAAGAAGCACTGCATATATTGTTCTGCATTAACAATTTGCAGTGAACCAATGACATGTTGCCGTATTAGTTTCATTTTGTGTTGCCCTGCTTTCTTCATATTGATAGACAAGTTGTAGATTTTGGATTTCTATATGTTGCTTTTTATTTGCAGGTCACTGAGAAAACCCCAATCAAGCATTTAAACAGCAAAATCATGGACTTCCATGATGTCCATATTGGCTGGTCTCTGGCTAATGGGTGTCTGTCACTAGGTAAGTTGAGCTAATTACTATTAACGTGCCTATAAGACCATAGTGTATGATTGCACAAGCCATTTCATTTATATTTTTACTGCTGTTTTAGGTGAGGAGGAGTTTTCTTACTCCTATTCTGACAAAGGGAAGAAGGCTTCAAACTGTGTGACTGAAGACTACGGGGAGGGCTTTGATGAAAATGATGTCATCGGCTGCTTCATTGTAAGCCATTCGCATCTCTCTTCAATAACAGTTCACATGTACTCTTCAGTGTTTGGACTCTCAGCAGTGAATCTTAAACCACACTGAACTTAAACTCTGAAAACTAAACTAACACTTTCAATTCACTATACTCTTCTATCTGAAGCTGCTTTGACACAATCTACATTGTAAAAGCGCTATACAAACAAAGATGAATTTAATTTAATTTTTACTTCACATTTATTCTTATGTGCTTTTTTTTTAATCTAGAATTTCGAGGCTGATGAAGTGGAGATTTCCTTTTCTAAAAATGGCAATGACCTTGGTGTGGCTTTCAAGGTCAATAAGGAGTCGTTGGCTGACAGAGCCCTGTTCCCCCATGTTCTTTGTCACAACTGTACTGTTGAGTTCAATTTTGGTCAGAACGAGACTCCGTTCTTCCCTAAGTTGGAGGACTTCACCTTTATGCAGCAGATTCCTCTGGAAGAGCGTATCAGAGGACCCAAAGGACCTGTGGCCAAGAAAGACTGCGAGGTACTTGTACATTTCCATTCAAACAATATATTTTTTTAAATCTAGTATGGTTTTATTAATCAAATAACATAAGGTTGCGATGGACTTACAAGTCTTATAATAAGTGTTCTTAATGTATGTGGATAAATTATTGCATTCAGTAAATGTAATCACTGTGTTACTCTCAAGGTGATTGTCATGGTCGGCCTTCCTGGATCTGGAAAAACTACCTGGGTAGTTAAACATGTTGAAGAAAACCCTGGGAAGTACAACATCCTCAGCACCAACACCGTCTTGGAGAAATTGATGGTGACTATTTTTAGTTGGGTATTATTTATTGGCCTTTTTATTCTTTTATCTTTTGTCGTCTAATCTCTTTTTCCTCTCTCTTTCCCCCAGATTAACAGCGTAAAGAGGCAAAATAAAGACATAACAAAACTCATGGCCATTTCCCAGCGTGTTCCTTTTTACCTGGGCAAGTTGATTGAAATTGCTGCCCGCAAAAAAAGACACTATATTTTGGACCAGACGAACGTCTCTTCAGCAGCCCAAAGAAGGAAGATGTGTCTGTTTGCTGGTTTCCAGCGCAAAGCCGTGGTGGTCTTTCCCACAGATGAGAACTTAAAGGAGAGAGCGCAGAAGAAGGCAGAAGCGGATGGTAAAGATATACCCGAGCACGCCCTACTCAAAATGAAAGGTGAGACATGGTGTCATTTTTCTGTTGCGTTGTAAAACCAGCATGTTCTTAATGAATTCAAAACCCTGACAGCCAAAATATGAATATCAGGATAAAGAAAAATTGTTGTTCTCTGCACAGCTCTCTACACGCTTCCAGAACAAGGGGACTGCTTTTCAGAGGTCACCTATGTTGAGCTGCAGAAGGACGAGGCCTCCAAGCTTTTGGAGAAGTACAAGGAAGAGAGTAAGAATGCTTTGCCTCCAGAGAAGAAGCCCAACCAGGGACCCCCAACTCCCAAACGGGGATCCCGCCGAGGAAGAGGGCAAAAGAACCAGTTCAACAGGAGTGGTGGTGGTGGTGGTGGTGGTGGTCAAGGAAACCGTGGAGGCAGGGGTGGATTCCAGCCCCGAGGAAACTACAGAGCGTGTAAGTAGAGTTGTCTTCAGTCTGTCTTTGTAACATCTGTTTATGTATTTATTGTTGAAATTTGTTGAGGAATAAGGAAATGATTTGCCCTTTCCCATTTTGTTTTTGTATATTTAAATGGCTTTATGTATTTTGCATTCGCAGGGTCTTTAATTTTAAAAGCAAAATTTTATCGGGCCAACATCCAATCTCCAACAATCCATCTTAATAAAATCAGGGAAAGAACTAAACAATTACACAGTTTCTCATCATCATAATACAGAAATGTATCCCTTTACGTTATCTTCCATTCATACAAAAACTATATACTAAAGGGGAGTAGACATATTTATAAATGAACATGAAACTTGGGGTTTTTTAACAGAAATGTATTAGGTTGAATACAAGTTATATTCATTCAATTTGGATCAAAAGCCAACAAATGTATAATTTTAATTTATTTTTTTATGTAATTGCCTCCACCATAAACATACCTTTAACAGTGTTAAACTTGTCATTTAAAAAAAAGGTTATAATAAAGAAATATTGTGTTGAAGATGTGTATACAGCTAGAGTTGTCTTGTTTTCACAGAGTATGTCGCTAAGAACTATTTAAAAAAAATTTTGTGGCAAGCAAAAGAAATAAACCCTTCATAATGGTCTTAAAGGGGTCTTGAATTTGACTTTAAAAAACCTGCAGAGACCCCTTTTAAAGCATTGAGCCAATGCACTTGCATATGAGCAATTCCTGCGTTATAGATGTGACATTTACAGTAAGATCCCATAACATAAATTCACAGAGGATGTATATCTTAACGTATTGAAACATGTTTATATTTTCCAAAATTACTAAGTGCAGAGTTATGGATCAGAAAAATATCTATCTGTAAAAAAATGTTTTACATGAAAATAAACGTGTTATGGATGTGACATTGTTAGCGAGTGTATAACATACTTTCATACTTTAATTTCTCTGTTATGAGTGTGATGGGTGTGCGACTTTAATAAATCAAATATAATTGTTTGAAAACATTAAGACATTATGCATGTTTACAGTCCTGTAAAATACAAGCCTACTCAAACATGAAAAGGGTTTTGCTATTGTTGAAAACATTACTTTTTCAGATAGACCCCCCCCCTGAAATTCCCCATTGGAATTGATCTCTTTTCTTCTTTCAGTGCTTGCACCACCTCGTGTGAGCGGATTTGATCGTCGCCCGCGGGGTTACATTCTGCCACCTCCACCACCACCACCAGTCTACCGAGGTTATCCTAGCAGAGACGGTTACAACAGAGGAGGGTCTGGTGGAATGCAGAGTAGAGGAATGTCTCCGCGCGGTGGACAAATGAGGGGCAACATGGCCAGCAGAGGTGGTGGAATGAGCCGTGGAGGACATGCCAACAGAGGAGGAAACATGCACCGCGGAGGTGGACAAGGTGGTCCCAACCACAGAGGACACTACCAGCAGGTCAGTACCTAGTATACAGTGGTCCTCCTTCTACATGCTGTAAACTTGTAGACACTTGTGTTCGTATTCAGTGTTAAGATGCATATCAGTTTTGTAGAAACGTATTTGGTCTTACCAACAGCACTCAGCGAACTTAACACTATATTACTTGAATATAAACTCATAATACATACATATTGACCTTATTAATTTCTGTCCCCATGTCTAGTTGCGCATGTAAAATATGTACAGTATCATTTCAGCATCAATATCGCATTTGCAATAGGCCTGTGACAGTTTAATGATTTGAAAAGTCCTACTAAATTGTACTGTTTATAACTTTAATGATGATTGATTTTATTTAATTTATTCTTTATCTCATTGAATTTGTCCACTTGCAACCGATAAAGTACTGTTTGTTTTAATTGCATCGTATGCTATAGATTGTCTATTTGATTTTATGTGATGCACTTCTACTGCAGTCATTCCAAATCTAAAATTATTACTCTTTTTTTTTTTTTTTTTCAACTAAAAATATTCAAGTCATCTGTTGAAATTGTATTCGTATCGCAATGTAAATCACAGAATAACAAAATATTGCAATGTTAATTTTTTTTTTATATTGTGCCACCCTAGCATGTACCCTGAAATCCTGTAAAGCAAATAATGCGTATTAAAATAATGCATGTGGCGTATGCCAGATTAGAAATGTTTTTCTTTAATAAATGTATTTTCACCACTGTGAATACATCAAAACATTTTTAAAGGCACTCTTAAGTGTTATTCACTGTGCTTTAAAGCACCCACAATAACTATATCCTACATGTTCATTACCATGATGTACTGAAAATTTACACATGTCTATATCTTGCTGACCTCAAACATTAAATCAGTAATGTACACGATCGACACTTGAGTTTGACTTGAGAATAATGTTGAATATTTGCATCTTTGTAGAAATTCCACGGCAGAGGAGGCCACCAGCAGAATCGTGGAGGATATGGCAACAAGAACAGCTCTTTTGCCCAAGCCTTCAACCAGAGCTGGCAACAAGGGGTGAGTACAGCTCTTCATTCAGCTAACACCGCTGGCTGAGTAAACTACTAATAACCAGTTTATTAATAGTTTGAACACTTAAAAATGCTGGGTTTCACTTAATCGATTTGCCTTATAGGAATTGATTTAACCTGTTAGTTTTTACAAGTTTAACTGGATTGAACAAAGCAAAAAATTAAGAATTGTGTTTTAGCTTATTTTAAATAAGTTTTTTGAACCAAGGTTTTTTATTTTTTTATTTTATGTAGTTGGGTTTTGGGTAGGATTAGGGAAGCTAAATATGAATTTACTTTATAACTTCTAATGAACAGTTAATATCTTAATAATAGGCAGGTAATAAGCCAGTAGGTAATGGCATAATTATGACCTAAACTAAAATAAATTCTGCATTCATTTCCAAAAGGAAATCCAAAAATATGATTTGTAAGATTGACTGTGATTTTGCAATGTTTTCCTCAAAATCAGATTGTTGTATAATTTGACTGTTGAATCTCTGTTTGACCTTTTAGTTCTGGAACCAGAAGCCATGGAATCAACAGTACCATCCAGGATATTATTGAATGCACATTTGTATTAAAGACTCGTGGCCTGTGGTGTGCAGCCACTGAAAAAAAAAAAAAACCATCCACTTTTATGGTCCTTGTTTAAAATAATTTTTTAAAAAAGATAGTCCATTTTTAAATAAGAGAAGCAAGTGGCAAACAAACATTCCGCCTCTGAAGTAAACAGTCTACGTTCAACGGATGTGTGATGGCTTCACGCTCAGATTTTTTCGTAGAAAGGTTTTCCTTCCCCTTTTATTTTCTATCACAGCTTTGATTGATATTGTTCTATCACTGCATTTCTCTTGTGCGAGTGATGCTTTGAATTTCAGGGTTGTGCATTTTTATTCTGTAAAATGTCATTTTTTTACACAATGTAAATTATTATTTTATTATTTGTCAAGATTTTTTTGTGAAAGACTTGTGTTCTAGTGTGAAAGAATCCATATATAGTCTTTTTGAGGCTTTTGTCATTAATCATTAATGCAGCAACTTCATGTTTAGTGCAGGAGTGAAAATATTGTTCTCGATTTTTACTTTTTACTGTTTGTTTAAGCCCAGACTGTAACGGTTACTTCATAGGTTTGCAATAAATGACGTGCTTGCTTTTCTATGACCTTTCATTATGGCTTTTGACTGATACCTTGAACATTTGATTTCAAACAGCCTTTGAATGTCAATTGGTTTATTCTCAGACTGTCCTTTTTTTAATGGTCTTTCTGTCTTAAATTTAAAATGGTTTTAGTTGATGTGTGGCTATTTTCTTAATGCATTGCTTTTTTCACAAGTAATTTTATGCCTTTTTAAATCTTAAGTACGATGAAACGTGTGTATTCATTAAGCATTTGATTGTGCTTACTGCATTACATAAGTCAACTCATATCCAGTAACTTCATAAAAATTGTGCACTAAGCTCATCAGCTCATTTTGTGGCGATACATTATAAAATATCCTTGCAAAACCTTTATCCCAAGCTAATCGTGTTATTTTTATCTGTAACCACTATATTGATCTGTTTAATAATGCAACTAATCTATTTCCAGGGCACATAATATGCATTAGACTATATTTAGACTCGTTTGTTCCTGGATCCTTTTTCTTTTGCATTAATTTGTCAAATAGGGATTGAATATTGATAAATCATCATCTAATAGCCACCACATAAACAAGTTTTGTGAAATGCTTCAATGTTACATGGAGTTAAGGTTATCATATCAAAATTTCTGGATTAAATCATTTAAGGGATTTTAATTATAACCTGCATTTTGATACTCGTTATTCTGGCCACAATAATATCACATCTACATCCGTCCTGATTTTCATGAAGACTAGCCCTTGATGTTTTGAATTGATATATTTCTTATCGAGTGCCAAATGGCCAAAGAAAAAGGGCAGCTATTTTTAACTTAAAATTGGTGTAATTTATCCTGATGTAATAAGTTTAAGTGGAATATTTCGTTTGACTATAGCAGTAATTTATTTTGGGGAATGTTTTCTTCTCTAATACTTTTGAATTAAATATTGACCCCGTCCTTAAATAAAACAAGTGATTTTTTTTCTAACTGAATGTCATGGCATGAGAGATTTTGTGATGATAGTGTTTTACTACAGAGACCTTGCTTGTGCAAAATGTGCTATTTTGAGGATGGACGTTTCTTTTCTAAATTGTACTAAAATGTGGCATTGTGTTATCGGGAGACTGCAGTCGGTATGTATTTTGGGGTCGAGTTCGTTTTTCAACGAGATGAATGTTAAATTGTTACATAATGTAAGGAAATGTGTCATTAAATGATGTAATACACCTCTGAGGTGAATTTGTTTTATTTTTATTATCTGCCTCCCTTAATTTCTATTAGAGTTAGTACTGTGATAAAGGCCCGTTCAAGATACATTAAGAAATCGTTTTATGAATGGTTGTAGTAACGATAAACTGATTAAAGTTATTGCTATTCCTGATAACGAACAATGAAAACATTAATGGCTAATAGATACATCCTGCTTTAAATGGTTGTTTCAGTCTGATGTTTTCAGTGTATTTTAAGGACGAATATTAGCGAGTGCGCATCAAAACAGAGACAACATTAGCGTTAAGAAAATAAAAATTTGATAACGTCCCACGCTTGCAGTTTGACACTCCCGCCTAAATAATTGACGATGCTTTTCACGTCACCTCCACGTTTCAAAGCATTTCATGGGGCCTATAAAGAGGATATACTTGTAAGAAAGCGTTTCACTCAATTTTATCAATTGCTTTACTCTTCAAATTAGATTTTTATTGGCGTCAATGTTTGAATGAAGAATTTGAACATTCTGAGAGTGTACAAAGTAGTCTTTATAGCGTAGTAAGGAATATTCAGAATTTGGAGATTTTTTTTGTAACTTTGACATTGTAAATTCTGCTTTAGAAACATGAATGAAACTTAAAGGGGAAATAACGACCCAGTTTTACAGCTTGATTAACGACCAGCGGTGTCGCTGGTGACTGCGTTTGAAACTATTGCTTACACTTCCGGTTTGTTAAACGTTCTTACAAAACTACCACATTTTAGATGATGGAAGACAACTGGAGTAATGTTTAACACATAATATAGCTGCATACTCTTATTGGGGTTAGCCTATTCTTGGTCTACTGAAAGTAGCCCAAGTTCTTTAATTGTATGTCATCCAATCATTAATGTTTTCAAAGAAGAATGTGTATTTTTCAAAACAAAGAGCACCACACAGTGAATTACCTGCAACGCCTGGATTCTGGAACTCACTCAAGTTACTTAGAAGTAAGTATTTATGTCTATAAACACGTCAGTTCATCGAAGTTAGTGTGTGATTGTTCAATCAGTCAGTACACAGAAATCTAATATAAGGCAATATATGCATATAAATGACAAAGTTCGTATTTGGATTTTACATGTATAAAATGTAAAATATAACAAACAATACAGCTTACTTTTTTTTCCAAACATTGGATTTAAACATATGTATTGTATATGCTCCAATATATAACTATGCAGTTGTAGTCAGAATTATATTCGCCCTCTTGTTCATTTTAATTCTTTCATATTTTTTCCCCAATTTCTGTTTAACGAAGAGATTTTTTTCCCCAAATCCCAACACATTTTTAAACAAAGTACTTTTAATACTGCATTCTAAAAAATAATTTATTTTATTAGTTTTGATGCGCACTTGCTATTATTCATCCTTAAAACAGACTGAAAACATCAGACTGAAACTAACATCTAAAAAACGTTATGGGACTGAACAAAATATTTTACTAGATATTTTCAAGTATTATTCAGTTTAACGTGCAATTTAAAGACTTAACTAGTGGTTATAGACAAGTCATTGTATAACAGTGGTTTGTTCTGTAGACTATCGATAAAAAAAACTATTGCGTAAGGGGGATAATAATATTGACCTTAAAATGTTTTTTTTAAATATATAAACTGCTTTTATTTTTGCCGAAATAAAACAAATAAGACATTCTCCAGAAGAGTAAGTAGAGGAAATACTGTGAAAATGCCCTTAATCCATTAAATATCACTTGAGAAATATTTGAAAAAGAATAAATGTTGCACAGAAATGATAATAATTTTGCCTTCAACTATGTGTTTATATATATAAATTTCATTCTCATTTCATTATTATTGAGTTATTTCATTTTAAAGACTATTAAAAGAGTGTATTCTTTGCCATAAACTTAAAATTACTAAACCTACACACAACCTACACCTACCCGGTTGCAGATGGCTACACTTCTTATTTCATATATCTGTTTTAAAAGTACATTTGATCATTGTGATATATACTCTCGGGCCACTTTATAGAGTACACCTTACTAGCACTGGGTTCGACCCCCATTTGCCTTCAGAACTGCCTTAATCCTTTGTGGCATAGATTCAAGGTACTGGAAATATTCCTCAGAGTTTTTGGTCCATATTGACGATAGCAGCATGCAGTTGCTGCAGATTTGTCGGCTGCACATCCATGATGCATATCTACCATTCCACCACATCCCAAAAGTGCTCTATTGGATTGAGTTCCGGTGATTGTGGAAGCCATTTGAGGACAGTAAACTCACTGTCATGGTCATGAAACCAGTCTGAGATGATTCTTGCTTAATGACATTGTGCATATTCTACTGGAAGTAGCCATCAGAAGATGGGTGCTCTATCATAAAGGGATCGACATGGCCAGCAACAATACTCAGGTATGCTGTGGCATTGACACAATGCTCAATTGGTACTAATGGGCTCAAAGTGTGCCAAGAAAATATCCACCACACACCATTACAACACCAGACTGAACTATTGATACATAGCACAATGGATCCTTCCTTTTTATATTGCTGACACCAAACTCTGACCCTACCAATCCGAAATCGAGACTCATCAAACTAGGCAACATTTTCCAATCTTCTGTTGTCCAATTTTGGTGAGCCCATGCAAAATATAACCTCAGTTTCCTGTTTTTGACAGGAGTGGCACCTGGTGTGGTCTTCTGCCGCTGTACTGTCAATCAACAGTTTTGTCTTGAATGAATTTTGTTTTTGCGGGGAAAGACTATTGCACAGAGAACTAAAATTCATCTGGAGCAATCCCTTGAAAGAACATACGAAGGCAACTTGTTCAAAAGAATAAAAAAGGGACTATGAATCATGTGTCTATTATGTGGAGGTTATTTAGGTCATGTTTAATACATTAATTCTGACTTGAGAAATGTCCCAAAGTAACTGAACCACTAATACACCTTTTTATGGGTCATTTTGGGATTGGTTATTGTCGTTTTTGGTGGTGAGCTTGCTAACTTTAAAATGGCTGATAAAGTATATGGCTAAAGCATTAGAATAATACTTTACAGGAAAGACTTAACAGAGGGAAGAACTCTGTTCTAAAAGATCTAAAATCTAAAAGATTAGACGCATCTACAAAAAACAGAAATGTATGATTATATTCATTCATTCATTTTCTTGTCGGCTTAGTTCCTTTGTTAATCCGGGGTCGCCACAGCGGAATGAACCGCCAACTTATCCAGCAAGTTTTTACGCAGCGGATGCCCTTCTAGCTGCAACCCATCTCTGGGAAATGCATGATTATAATTTACTAATTTTGCATGTGAAAACAACCTTGGAATTTGTATCAGAACAATTTGCAGATGTTTATAGGTATATTTAAATAAAGGTTATTGACAGTTAACACCTTTTAGACTTTACAAATTGTTCTGTTTAATAAGTGATTATTTATATGTTTACCTCTGCTCTGCATGTGGCCATCTGCAAACATTACAATATGCAAATTTGGTTGACAAGGGGGGAAAACAAATTCACTAAATGAGCAAAGTTTCAATGAAAAATAGTTTAATTTATATTCAGTCAGTCTCACATATACAACAAACCCGTGCTATATGCTCAAAATAAAACATCTACAAATCAATGGCATCATATACAAATGCAAAAATAAACGCATATCAGATTAGCTCTATTTACAAGTCTATACAAAGTGCTCGAGGTATCTAGTAAGGGTTAAATTGACAACACCCATTCTAAATCTTATAAGTTTAGGTAGTATAGTGCGTCATGAAGATAGCTGGTCGATACAAACAGGCTATTTATACAACTGAAATATTGTCCATTGCGCATCCACATTTTTCCACAATCATGTTTGGGAATTCAGCCACTTCTATTTCTGTGTAATCTCCCTTTTTTACTAGATACATCATCGGTAGTGGCGCGCTCTCGACGACCGCGCATTTCCTCTCTCCGTAGCCGTAGTTGCGCTTTGGCTGCCGGCAGCCGCCTTTACACCTGAACGCCTGGTAACCGGACGGCTCGATGATCCAGTACTGTGTCCAAGTCAGAGCTCGGAAATTGATGAAGTACTGTTCCCTGCAGCACATTTCACGGTCTTTGTTGTTTTCACAGTCTCCACTAGACCTGCAAAGTGAAGGAAATGTATTTTAACACACTGATAAATATAGGATACACTGTGAAAACGCAGGGTTCCACACAATTTATTCATGTTGTCCCAACACAAATCGATTACATGTAACTAATTTAGGTGGATTAAAACAATTAAGTTGTTAAAAAATAAATAAATAAACCCTCAAGAATTGTGCTGTTTAAGCTCATTTCAAATATGTCTAAATAGTTTAAACAAGCAGCAAAAATCTTTCTTTATTGAAGTCATCTGTTATATTTATGTATATTCATTAAATATAATTTATTATAGACTATAATTACTTATTAATTATAGTAATTTACATGATAAAATAATCAGTGGTATCTATCAGTTTTGTAAAGGTAGTAGGTTAAATGTTTTTTTAAGAACAACACCACCAGTTTTGACAGATAGGGTACTTTACATACAAATTCTTGAGTATTTTGTTTTACAAAAAAAAAGCTTTTAATTTAATCTGCCAAGGTAATTTAATAAAGCAGCCTAATTTAGTTTTATCTACATGATGAAATAACTCATATTAAAACAAGAATTATGGGTACAAACAGGCATTTAAAAGCAGAAACTAATAATAATAATAATAAGCACAAAACATAATAACACTTTATCAAATTAAATTCAAAACGAAAAATAATAATAACGAATTTAAGCAATTGGTAAAAACGACTGAAACAATTTCTGAATGGCATGCTTACCCAAACTCCTCTAGGTTGAGTGTGTAAAGCACCAGCTCTGGTTTTCCCAGAGTGTTGTCGTCTGGGTCTTGAGTTGTGAAGTGGACACACTTGGCCATCTCTGCCGCGTAACTGCCGGGTCTCTCGCCCTCGATCCACACCTCAAGGTGCATGGGCATCTCCATTCGGCTCCTAGACCAATATTGC